ACCACGCAACTGGCAGAAGCAAAGCGAAAATTTGAGGATGAGCGTCAACTTCACTCTCAGACTCAAAGCAAAAACCGACAGCTCCAGGCAATAATTGAGGCCCGAGAGAAAGAGGTTCTTCTGCTAATGAAGAAAATTGACCCGGAAACGACGCATAGCCTGGCCCAGTTTGACGGAAGCGAGAAAGGTGCATCGAAAACTCCGCCCAATCTCATACCAAGCCTTACCAAAAAGATTGAGGAGCTACAACAGAATCTGCGCGTCCAGACGGCTGGACGTTCGAATGCTGAGTCCCAGCTGTCTGATTTGCGCAAACGGTATGAGGATGAGTTCGGGGACTCGCCGAGTCGGCCGAAGTTAGAAGAGATCAATCCAAATCAAGGGCCGTTTACATCGCCTATAAGAAACAAGCTGAACACTAAACCGCGCTCAAATCTTTCAACGCCAACACGCCGTTTTCCCAGTAATGGAAACGATGCCCCAGACTCTACTCGGTCTGACCGAACAGCGGATATTTTGAGTTTCAACAATCGCCAGGACCTTAAGGCTGATCTTGAAGAGCTCCAAAATCAACTTCAAATAAGCCAGATGCAGAATCGGCACCTTCAGAGTCAGCTCGAACGGTCAACCTCTTCTCGAGACCTCGGGGCAGAGGACAGCCCATCCCTTCGACGTGTTCAGAAGCTGGAACAGGCAAATAGTAGGTTACACGAGATGTTAGATGATTCTGCAAGAAAAGTGTCCGCCCTCGAAAAGAGCATTCAGAGCGGCGAGCTATCTTTCCGCGACATACAAACAAAATCTCACGAGGAGCTTTTTGATATCATTAACAACCAGGAAGACTCTCGGAGATCTCTTCTGCATGTCCATAAAAGTACTGTCGCCGAACTTCAGGACACTAAGAATCAGTTCGAAGCGCTGAAGCATATCCGTGCCAACTTGGAAGTTGAGCTTCGTGATACAAAATCCGAGTTGGAAGAAATTTCTCAGCAAAGAGATCAAGATGCTACTAGCCGAAGCCAACTTCTTGAAGAGTTTGCTGATCTACAAATCAGACTTGACGCAGAATCCTCGAAATTGGCTGATGTTAGTTCTCAGCTTTCACTTTACAAGTCCCGGGCAGACGAGTATTTTAGCAAGCTTGAACAAGCGGAGATTGCTGTTCTGAAAGCCTCACGAGCAGAACAATTTGCGAGATCACAGGCAAAGGAAGCTGAGGAAACGTGCGCAGAGATTATGTCCGAGCGCAAACAAATGGATGCGACGATCGAAGACCTTCAAAGACAGAACCAGAGCTATGAAGAGAAATTCGAAGATCTTTCTACCGACCTTGAAGCTGCCGTCCAGGCCAGGAAACGACTCCAGCACGAACTTGAAGACTACCGAAGCCAACGAGCCATGGACATCGAAGACAAAGAATCGAGCATGGAACAAACCCGCAAAAAGTACCAAGCTGAGTTTGCAACGCTGACACATGAACTCGACATCGCCAGGGAAGAGAAACTCTTCAAGCAATCCGAAAATACCCGGCTCCGAGAAGAACTCGACGAACTCCGATCGAAATGGGATGATGAGGTCCTCAACAGCTCCACTTGGTCCAAAGAGAAAGCTCGTCTCGAATCGACCCTCTCCGACCTCCAAGCCTCCCGCGATGAAGCAGTCAACGCACACAATGATGCGCAAGGCAAGATCGTTTCCCTCCTATCCCAGGTACGTAGCTTGCGCACGTCTGTGGATGATGCAGTGGCCGAGCGTGACATGCTGCAACGTGAAAAAAGGGGGCTGGAAATGCGTCTGGAGGAAGCGAAAGCTGGACTTGAAGATCTTTCTCATAGCGATAGTCCATCTCTCCGCAATGCGGCGGGCATGGATCGCGAGATATTAGAGCTTAAGTCTAATCTTGCGCAGCAGGAGGATATCGCTGCTGCTGCTGTTGGAAAGATGAGAAGAGCGGAAGCGCTAGCTTCAGAGATGCAGAAGGATATAGTGGCAGAGAGGGAGATGACGGCACAGCTTAGCAAGGAGAAAGCAGCGTTGGAGAAAAGCCTTAAGGATATACAGGTCAAACTCGTTGATCTTGAAACTAAAGGCTACTCCAGCGCCAGTCAAGATGTCCGATTCCTTCATGGTCGTGTCAAAGAGGTACGTTCCCCTCTTGCTCCCAATTCTTTCAATTCTGTCAAGATCGTGAATCTGAAAACTGACCTGTCAACAGTTGGAGGCCCAACTCGAAGCTCAAGAAACTGCGCACTCCAAATCCGTCCGCAGCGTCCGAAACGTGGACCGCACAGTCAAAGACCTTCAATCGCAAATCGAGCGCAAGGAAAAGGCCAATACACAACTCCAGGAGGACGTCTCGCGCTCTCGAGATAAGATCGAGAAATTGTTGAAGACGATCGATGAGCTGCAATCATCGGAGAGTAACGTACAGCTGATAGCACGAAGGGCGGAGCGGGAGTTGAGGGAGGAAAGGGAGAAGGCTCTAAGATTAGAGAGGGAATTAGAAGGGTTAAAATCCCTGGGGGCCTACAGTGGTGGAACGATTCGGAGGAGCATAGGGAGTGGGAGTTGGGGACGGATTGGGGCCGAGAGAGAAGCGCTGGAGAATGGGGTTGAGGTCCCCGAGCGAAAGAGTAGTCTGAGTCGGAAGATGAGTATGAGTAAAGGGTTCTTGTGAGGTTACGGTAGAGCGGTACGATGGGATGGGAGGTATCTTTATGCCACGGCAGGCGTTGTAGAGCGGGTAGCGATGCATGTGCGTTGTATTTTATGGTTACTTTACGAGGTACTAATTAATGGACTGCTTTTGTTATGATTGGATGATTGAATGATTAAAGTAACTCGAACTGGAAGGGTTCATGTTACTGTAAGCAATGGTTGCAGATCACCACGGGATATTCGAGAAACTTTCCAGTAGGTGCTTACTTGGATACACTGCTCCAATATTTATAGGAGACTTGTAGGTTACCAGACTGCTAATTAAGCTCCTCAGTTGTTGATTAGCTTTCTAATAAAGTCGTGTAGGAGAGTAGCTTCTAAGATCAATATCGTATTCCTTTACTTCTATTTTAGTAGATTCAGTTTATAAGAACATACGCTGGACTACAAAGTTAACTAATCAAAAGTGATGTCTCGTCGATCTTATGATACTACGCTTTACATTTAGAGTAACCCCTTTTCAACAATCTAAATACTTAATTACGTAGCAATTCATTATCCAACAGAGTTGTTTCTTTTTAAGTTTCTTTAAGGGGGGGGGGGGGGGGGGGCTGTCACGTGTTTACCCTTCTTATTCTGGCTAGGAAATAAGCGGTTGAAAACATCAAAATCCAACATCCCACCTCCCAAATCATGACATGATAGACCGAAGAGCACCATTCCATCCAGAAGTCAAGACCATCAGTATACTTTGATTGTGAATCTTGATACAATGTACGATGTTCTAGCGGGAAAGTTCCGCCGTCTAGAAAAAGGATAGGAGCACTTTGTCGCTCAAAGAACGGGATCACTGTGAAGAGCCTTGCCTTGGCTCTTTTCTTTCCTACTTCTCAAAGAACCTCGCCAGCTGAATCATTAGCATCACTGTCATGAAGGAGTACCAGAGGAGGCTCCAGCCAGGCGTCTCTTTCCTGATAATTCTCTAGATTGATCGATGAACTCGCAGTTGCAACTTGCGAGATTCCTCCCCTTTCTCTACTGAGCAAATCCCAGAGAAAGTCTATCTCTGTCTGTTCATTTTCGAAAATTGAGTCTACGTGGATTAGTGTTCTGCCTTGATTTGTACAATTGAGTAGCATTGAATGTGTTTCTTCTCAAAATTGCTCGTTTTCAAAAGGTTCCCTTGGTTCTCCATTCATACTTTCGTTGCTGTACCGAGAACAGTCCAAATTCTCATTCATCATAGCATTTGCCAACATGTCAGGCATTGTTTTCCAGACTCTTCCTCGGTTTGAAGTAAAGATTAGAGACCATGAACGTAGTTCGTTCTTGTCGGGCACAATGGATCAATGGAAAAGGCCAGCCTATTGTCACTATCGAACCGTGCGTATATTTACATTGACTAGCAGTATGCTATGGTCAGGGATCAAAAGCAGTCCCCGGCTCGGACCTCGGAGATATTGCTTGTTCATTATACTTTCATGTCGTACAATCTTCCGTCCTTGTTCTCCTCAACCTTCTCCCATTGTTCTAGGACATTGTTCTAGGATACAAAGAAGGGAAAAGTTGCCGTGCTTTGATCCCTTTGATATAATGAGAAGCTGTTACAATGCTATTATACCGAAAAACAAAAGGCCAATGTTCTTTTGTTCTAAGACAGACCTCGTACTTCAGATTCTTTTTGTTTCTCATGAACAATTGCATTATCCTCAATGGATCAACAAAGACTGCTCAAGTTCTGTTGTTCTGGACGAACTATTCAATTGTCCTACCCCTAATCTATTAACAAATACACTCATATTCTACTGTTCTGGAACATCCATTCTTTTATTCTCTATTTGCGTATTTAAATCGGACAGAAGTCTCCCTATAGTCTCTTTTCTCCATCACACATAAGAATATCTACATCAACACAATCATCACAATCATCTACATCCTCAGAATCATCTACTCTTCAGACCAAACGAAATCCAAACGAAAACCAAACAAAACCAAACAATCTCATCATGATGTTCCTACCAGACTTCGTGACCCTCCCCGGGGGGTCAACTCTTGCTTTCCCAACAGATCTCTCCAATACTTGCATTAATTGCATCTCAACCGCTGTCTACTGTTCTTCCATCTTAGCAGTAGTTTCAACAGTCATTGTTCTTTGCATTGCACTTCTGCAAAGGCTCAATTCAGACAATACCCCTTACAACCCCATTCCTGTGTTCTATTCATTTCTCAAATGGCGGCCCGTCATCGTTACTATCATCTTCGCTGTTGGCTTCAAGTCATATCAGAATACCTTGTTACAGAACCTAGTCGAGAAACTTACATCACAGGCTTGGCTTCTAGCCTTTATCGCCCTTACAGCATTCAAGTTTGTCAAGGTATTCGTCCATACCATCTCTTTCTATCTTCTGACAAAACCAGCTAGACAACCACTCCATCCCACCTTCTCTCCTCGAGACATCACAGTAATCGTCCCCACGGTAGGTGAACTCGATGCCGAATTCATCGAATGTATTGAATCGATTCTCGCTAACCGCCCAAACAAAGTAATCGTGGTCACCGTCGGCTTGGCCAAGTTCACAAAGGCACGAGAAGTCTGTTCCACTATCGATGCCCGACATGGCAATAATGGAAAGGTGAGTGTGCTAGCGACAACGGAAGCTAACAAAAGAGCTCAGCTCCTCAGAGGGGTTCTAGAAGTCGACACACCGTTTATAGTGTACTCAGATGATCATGTGTTCTGGCCCACTACCTTCCTCAAGAGCATCCTGGCACCAATGGAAGACCCTCAAGTCGGAATCGTCGGTACCATCAAGCACGTCCGGCGTGATCGCTCTGGTGGCTTTTGGGAAAGTTTCATGAACTACATCGCCTGCCTGTATCTCGAGCGTCACAACTTTGAGTGCACAGCAACCTACAACCTGGACGGTGGCGTATTCGTGATTTCCGGCCGCACAGCCCTCGTCCGAACTTCGATCATGCAAGATATAGATTTCCGCAAGGGATATCTTAGAGAGATGTGGTTCTGGGGCACCGTGGGTCCGATGAAGGTAGATGACGATAACTACATAACGCGCTGGATGGTCAATCACGGATGGAAGACCGTATTCCATAATGCTCCTGATGCGATTATGGAAACGTCACTAGGAACCACAGGAGGAGTTGAGAAATTCCGCGGACAGCTCATAAGATGGGTGCGAACGACATGGCGTTCCAACTCTACCTCACTGTTTGCCGAACGAAACTGCTGGTCAGTACACCCCTGGACGACTTACGCAATGTTCATCTCGTCCTTCGTCAACATTGCAATCATCTACGATCCACTACTCATCTACACGCTCTATCGCTCTGGATACACGCAATACATGTGTACGTTACTCCTTGCAATCCTGGTCTCCAAACTCATCAAACCAATAGAGCATATGCGACGAGAGCCGCAAGATCTTTGGGTCATGCTCCCACTAGGTCTCCTATTTGGATACGTGCACAGCCTATTCAAGATCTGGGCTTTCTTCACGGCGCGCAATATTGGTTGGAGTGGCCGAAAGGGCATCAAATAGGAGGCGGAGAGAGAAGAAAAGAATGTGAGTAACCTCCGCAGGTCGGTAGGTACTTCAAATTTCATCTCTGGTTTCATAATTTCATTTCTTATTTCATTTTTATTTCATTTTCTGTTTCATTTCTGGGATTCTTTGGGCGGTTAATATTTGGGAAATATAGAATTTTCTATATTTCCACATTAGAGAGAGTCTTACAAAGACATTATGCGGGAACAAAGAGGGGGGTTCTTAATCTTCACAGTTCTGTTTTTGCTTTACAAATTCTTTATACGGTAGCGTTGCTGTTATTTTCACCTGGCACAAATAAAACACCAAAAAAACCTACTTTTTCGAGTTCCACCATATGCATTTGTGAAAGAAATATATACATAGGTAAAAGATATGAGCTTTCCCATCTCTAAGATACATATCCATCTTACACAGCCCTCTCAGCCTCAATGAAAAAGACAGTGCAAGAAGCTTCTAAGTATTTGTCTATGATTTGTTCAACCTGCATCCTGCAGATTCCGTGTATTTTGAAATTTCATATCAGTACCACGGTGATCCTGAACTTTCTAGATCTTCTGAGCTCAGATTCTAGATTTGCATTTGCTTATCTAATTCGTATAGGTAAAGTAAGTCAAAGAGATAGAATTCGAAATAATAGTGTAGGCAAGTAGTTTTTCGATTTCGAATGTGAGCGAGATAGGATAGGATAGGATAGGACATAGATGATAATACATTTCTTTATATCTAGTGTATAGAACACCCCCAAACTCCGAGAAACCCCAATTTTTACCTAGACACCATCTTAATGCTTTTCTAAACCACGAGTTAGTTAACTGCCAACACGCCCCTCTCCAAAAGAATAGATGGAAAACCACACACGTATATACATACCCAATTTAAGATATCAACCAAACTCTTTTTCAAAGCGGTTTCACTTCGCAAACCACCCTCTAACAACACTCATCACCTTTCCGGTTCCCTCCACCAAATCTCTAACCATCTCCTTCCATACATCCTCCCCCTCCTCTTTCTCTCTCTCATTCTCATTCTCTTTCACCACCCCATTATCAGCGCGGAATAGAGGAAACCCAAAGGCAGCAACAGCGCTGGACGGAGTGATCAGATCTTGCATATGAGTTGTGCGGATGGGACGCAGATGTTTGTGAGCGGGTCGCAAACGCGGTCGTAGGATATCTTCTTGTTGGGTGCTGGTGGCGGGTTTAGAGGCGGGGAAATGGTTAGATGAATGGTGGTGCTGGGTGCGATGTGGGTTTATGTGGAGTTTTTGCTGCTGGGGATGGTGCTGTTGGTGTTGGTGTTGGTGTTGGGAGGTGGGAGGGAAGGGCTGCGGGATGATGAGCGTCGTGAGGTGGGGTTTGGGGGGTGTTGTTACTGCTGCTGTTGCTGTTGGTATGGAGTTTGAGATGGCCATTGTTGTTGGTGTCATGGAAGGAAGGCGTTGCATGTAATGTAATGTTATGTTATGTTATGTGTTGCCAGGAATGAACGAAGAGAAGGAGAGACGAGATGAGAAGATGAGAAGATGAGAGAGAGAGATTCTATAACGAGGAACACACTTCTTCTCCTACACTCCTGTCAAACTCAGATTCCAGTAAACCCCCACCAATCGAGGAGATACATTGACTTATATCTCCTCCTCTCTCCCATACCTCGCACTGGACAAAGGATGAGGCGCTTGGTATTCCCTCAAGGAATTGTAGATTGAGAGGAGGGGTGAAGAGGATGGAGCGTGAAGTGTGGGAAGCTAGATGAGTGCTCCTGTTGGATTGGAGGATGCGGCTGAGGCGTAGCGCAGCCTTGCGTCGGTACGGTGGGGAAGGGAGATGTGGTAGGCGAATCGAAGGAAGTGAAATGAAGGGATTAAATGTCTGGGATGGGATGGAGAGAGATGATTGGAGAGAATGTGGGATGGAAATACATACATAGGGAGGGATTGGCTTGGGGACGAGGCTGGAGGGTCAGAGAGAGTAGTTTCAGCCTGGTCTGGCCTGGTCCGCCTGAGGACCATGTGATTGGGGCTCAAACAAGGGTTGAAGAGAGAGATATATGTTGGGAAAATCAAAATAGATAGAATAAAAAGGATGATTTGTTTTTCTCTTATCCCCGAAACACCTTGAATGCTTTGAACGCCACATATATAAATATACAAAAGAATCTTTTTGAAATCGCGGCGAAGATGCCACCCTTTGAAACGCCCACCCAGATATACCCCTCTTGAAGTCCTATTCATCCAAAGCCTCACAAGAATTTTTTATACAGCCACACTAACGAGTCCCAAGAGCGCTATACAGAGGCCCAGATGTGCCAATTTCGATCCCGTCTCCTTGGGGACCTTCGCCGTTTCCGTGCGCGTCCGGACGCTCTCTCGTTCCGTCTTTGTTTCCGGTTCCGTGAGAGAGCAATAGACATAGTTACAATCTCCAGAAGCATTTCTGTTATCCCCAGTAGAATCGAGTCCCGTATTTCTGGGATGGGTGGTAATGTCGGAACCGTTCCATTTTGGGGCTTCTAGACATGCCCCGCTGGCTGTTATCAAGGCGCAGGCGTGTGAGCTCGGAATGCTGGCTGTCGCCGCGAGAGAGCTTGCCATTTTGTGATGATTTCTAGACGGTGGAGCGATGGAGGTGTGTAGTGAGGTGGTAGGTTTTATGGAGGTGTGAGGATGATGGCGAGTTGGGGCATCGGATGGGAGAGAAGAAATACGGAAAGAGAGGGACTAGCAGAATGAGGAGACTTCATTTTGATATATTTGCAGGTGTAAATCATGAAACATGGAAGGCTGAATTAAGGATTCAAGGGGTGCATGGCCAGAGTTGGCGAAGTTGTTCTAATTGTGAGATTGGAAGGCTGAGCGAGGCTGTGCTTTTTGGGCGGGAAGCTTGGCAGCCTCCTTTGATTCTGGCCAATCATATAGTAGTGATGAACTTGAACCATGATATGTGCATCTCCTGGAGGAATGCGAGGTGGAATCAATGTTGATGGCTCCTTGAAATTTTGCCATCAGCTTGAGGACTTTCCTGTCGGTTGCTATTGAAACCAGCGACCCACTTCGTCGACCCACGGACGGTGTGATTTACCACGACCAGGGCTCTTGGTATATTGCATCGGCAGTCCTGCTTACCGCAAGTAAACAATGGAGGGATGCTGAGTGAATTATTCGGAATCTTTCATGTTTGTGGTTAAGGATTAGAGAGTGTGTTGCAAAGAGAGGGCGGGATGGATGCACGGGGGAAGCATGATAAAGAGACGATTATGTACTACTGTACCCCAAACAGATGTCAGACTGACTTCGAGCAGTGCAGGGGGAAGGATTGGGTGCTTATGCCCCAGATATAGTATATGCAGTGTTATCAGAGCGCAGGTTGAGGCTCCTCGAACCTTGCAAGCAGACGGCTTCAAGGACCATGTGATTTCTGCCGCGACCAGGATGACTGCATCTTGGATTGGACTAATGCTCTTACAGAGAAGCGATTAAAGAAGAGCGAGACAACAAGGGTTGAGCAACGATAAGTTGTAAATGTAAGGTAGTTGATTTAGCTGAACCCTAAATGTATCCAGTACCTTACCTCAGCTTAAGGGCCTTTCTCTCTCACGTGACTTCGGACAAAGATACTTCCCTTCCCTTCCCTTAGAGGCATTATGATAGCAATCCCTTCGTGGATGATATGTCAATCATTACCTAGCGCATGACAGACAAGGGCAAAAGGAAGCCGGACAAGAGGAGACAACATATGAGAGAGAGCAGGACAGAAGCAACTACGTCATCGTCAATGCCAACAACACGGCAGCGCAGGTCCGCAGGGAGATCGGGACCCGCAGTGTGGCTTTATTAACCTTTCACGTTTCCACGACTCCACCACGCCGGTCTTCTCCAGTCCTAAGTTGCCCGGGACCACACCACAATCGACTGTGGTCGACAATTAGATCGTCCCCGAACCAATAGCCTACTCAGTCGCTCTCTCAAAACAGCTGATGCTCTCGCGCTGCCTCCCGCTGCCTCTGTCAACCGCCCGCTTGGACAGTCTCCCAAACGAGTCAAGTGGCCAGGGCATGTCTCTGCGTCTGATCCCTTGGAGTTAGGACGGTCCCAGGAGGGTTCTGGCTATTTACACCATCATTAATTCGCAGCCAGGAACCATGATTGGCCGTCTGTCGTGGTAAACAAGTCATGATGCACACAGCAGAGCCCGCAGAGAGCCTCAGGGAAGCCTTCGTCTTAGTGCTATTTATTTAGTCTCTCTCTCTGTTCCCTTCGAGCGCTCTGAGCACCGTTCAATCTATCAACAACCTCACGATTGCTCCAAATTGCCTGCTCTGAGAGCCTTCGAATCTCGATCGCCTCTCCGACTCTTCGAGGCCCTCTGCCTGCTCCACGCCCGTCCCAGAGTCCCGCCTCAGGCCCACAGTTCCAATAACCGCGCACTCCACGGCCTCTATCCCCACCGTCTCCAGACCAATCGCAGCGCTCTGTCTTGAGCGGCGCCAAGTCATCATCGCCTCCATCGTCATACCAACAGGAAGCTCTCCCCGATCTCTCTCAGGTCTCCCAACTCGTTTTTCTCCATGCGATACTATCCTCATTAGCCCTTGGTTGGCAGAGGTCCAGAGGCTGCTTGCCTACAGGTCGACATGTTCGGAAATCGAAGGAAGAGGGGATCTTCCAACCCGGTAAGTCGTGATCTCCTCTATGCTCCAAAGCTCGCCCGCGCGCGCATGCGACGGGCGCATTACTGGTCTGCATTGGAAAGAATCATGCAACATCTCCATCTATCAGACCGTGCATACTGGTTCCTGCAGAACAGCTACTAATTGCTCTCTACGTACAGCCTCCGAATATCTCCAATCCCAACCCATCTGCAGCCACGGCCGCTGCTTCGGCTTTCCTAAGGAACCAGGCTTCCAATGCGTCGCTCTCGTCCGCCGCTGCCGCTGCAGCCCTACGGTCCCGGCCAACGACTCCAATATCCGTGGGCGATGTCCAAACCAAGAGGATGCTCCGCCGCGCTGGTTCGACCTCATCCATGGGAAGCTCGGTCGCAGGATCCATAAAGGGACCAGGAGGCGCAATGCTGGAGCGCAGAGCCAGCATTGGATCGATGAGTGAACGGACCTTTAGGGACCCCTCACCAGCACGGGCCGTACCAAGTGCAGCGGATGCGCCTCCAGTCCCCGCAATTCCGAAGAATATCTCGCGGACAGCATCTGGCGCGCATCGACGAGCGGCCAGTATGGAAGCACCGGTAATGCGCGTTGCGTCCCCGCCTCCAAACCGAGCCACTGGACGAGGATCAAGCCTAGGACCTGCGACCGTTAGGACGCCTCCTGGGAGGTCCGGGCAAAGATTGTCAAGTCTGCCCAGTGTGCAAGAGCTAACAGGTATAGAGCGACCAGCAAGTAGAGGGTCCGTCAATTTTTCCTTACCTACGAGTTCAAGGCCGACATCACCTGTCAGTCAGAGACGGCTAACATCTCCTTCAACACAAAGGACAAATCCGCCGAGAATTTTCTCCCCTACTAACCCAAATCTGGTCTATGACCCCAACACCCGCAGCTTCTTGCCCTTGGCCGAAGTCTTAGCGATTGAGCAGAAAATACAGGATGCTGCACACGTCCCCATCAAGAAAAAGAAGAGGGTGGCACCTAAGCAATATACTGGGACACATCTTGCAAATGGCACGGCTGGGGGGAGGCCGAGAGGCACAGCGGTAGATGAAATGAGGGCTGCTGAGGAGGCTTCAGAACAGACCGTCGAACAACCTATATCCGTACCTGCGCCAGCTCCAGAGCCGGCCCCTGTGCCCGTGTCAGCCCCTATTGATCCCACACCTATTAAGCCTACGAACGCACCGACAACTGCGACTGTAGCAACGACGGCACCGAAGAAGAAGAAAAAGAAGGTGGTGGTGGTTGCGAGCGAGTCTGACAGCGATGAACACTCATATGTTCCCAATTCATCTGACAACGAAAGCGATTACTCTCAACCAAGGACCTTCAATACTCGGGCAGGAGCGCTGCTGGCCAAGAGGCCATCGGTCGTGCGAGAAGATAGGGAGAGGGAGGAGGAGGAAGACGATACCCACAGACCGGTTGACGGACAACGCGCTCCCAAATTGAGTGCAGCCACTCGAACGGTTTCACCAACACCACTACCTCGCTCATCCGCAGGTAAAAGCCATACCAGAGGTCAACACTCTGCATCCGTTGCTTCTGCGCAAGGACAATCTACGAGCCAATTCACGCCAGCACCAGTTAACTCGGATACGGCACCCATCACACCACAGAACAAAGGGCTCACAACAAATGGGAATGGCCGTGGTGGCAGAGTACATTCTGTCAGCCCAGTGCGAACTGCTCATTTTGCCCCAACTCCTGATCATCTAGCCGTGAAACATCAGCCCCCAGCACGGTCAGTTTCGCCCCGAAAATCAGCATTGAAGAATTCTTCCTCCGATTCTCCTAGACGGCAGTCTCCCGTGGGTGAAGCCGGCCTTGGCCACAGACATACCAACAGTGAAGTATCCAATGCTTCAAGTGTGGAATCCGAAGAGCAGCCCCTCCCGAGGAAGAAAGCTGTCCGGGTCAGCTTCGACGAGAGCAATGTCGTCGTCGTACAGGCAGCTGGACAAGAGCCCATTGCCCCCCCAGTTACAGCAGGCCCACAGCAGGACCCACGGGCAAAACGAGGTTGGTTTAACATTGGCAGTCGTGGCAAGAGGGAGCCAACCATGATCGAAGACGTTGACGGTAAGATCATGCAACCAAGGCCAGCTCTGCCTTCGTTTGGCAGTGTTCGAGAGAGAAAGCACAATCGGGAACCTGTGGAGGAACGGCCACTGGTGAAGCCGGCAGAACATGTACAGAGTGTTGACACCTCCGTGGCTACGCCTTCTTCGCCCCTATTTACCACGCCGACTGGTGATGTGATTGAGTTGCCGTTGGGCCAGTCGAATGATCATGCTGTAGGAGCCATTATTTCTCAAGATGCTGCATCAAAGAACGCCGCCAACATATCAAAATCACGCGAGCCACTGCCTCCTCAAGTGACATCTGTGGAAGGCAACGAATATCATTCTGAAAGTGACAGTTTCGTTTCCCAGGGTAGCGCGGACAAAATGGACGTTGGAGTTACTACTGCCAGCAGCGATGTTTCAACCCGCGGATTGGAAAATGGAGCGATACACGTTGCCTCAGAAGATGAGGACAAGATCGACGGGAGCAAGACCAATGGCGGGATCCCAGAGATCTCCGTATCTTCAGCAACACCTACTCTGGAGGAAACAAATAAGAGGAGAGAGTGGCCCGACATGCCTGTGCCTGGTAGCTGGGAGGGGAGCACTAATTCAGATTCAGAAAGCGAGTCTCAAGACGATGGCATGGCAACTCCTGTTGCGACTCCAGCCACAGTTGGCATTGCAGAGCCACTTCCTGAAGGAGCTGTTCCAAATCCTCATGTGCTGAATAAAATACCAGAGAACTCGAATGGCCACCCTGTCATTATGGAGGAAACCGAAGAGTCTGATGCGAGTCTATACAGTGATGCTGCCGAAGACCTATCAGATGTTGAAGGTGGCTTCATGTCATTGGATGCTGTAGTCCAAAGCCCGGTTGTTAAAGAAGTAGCTCCTGGCACTGCAGTTACCACTCCTCCCGAGAGCCCTGTAGAAACGAGAGAGATGACCCATGAGAATGGTCAAGTTGGCAAGAAATCTAGCGCACCTGAACTCAGTGAGGGTTGGGAGAAGGCACAGCAATATTGGGGTTCGCTTTCCGCCGAGAAGAAAAGTCAGTTAGAACAGCAAGCTCGAGAAACAGCAGCTGCAGAAGCATCTGGAGCGTCCGATTCAACTATGGAAGCGCCAGCGCCATCCCCCAAAGCCAAGAAGAAAAAGAAGGCGACAATCCAACCAAACCCGGTTGAAATAGTGGTAGAACCTCAACCCGTTGAGCATGGACGTACCTACATGATCCAGCCTGGAACCAGAGCTCCTGCCGGTAGCTATATACCTGCTATGCGGATCTCGATGCGTCCAGAGCCTCCTAGTACAGCGACGGATATTCACATGAGGAAGTCTATGAGGGCTCAAGGTTCCGTGCGCCAATCATGGCGAGAGTCGCCCGAAACTACCCAGCCAAGAGCAACGTTAGTGAAGAAGCCCCAACCTCTGAATTTACCTCCCCCAGAAACCAGGGCTGAACCCGCTGCTGCGAACACGCATGCCAGCGCAATAGCAGCAGCGAACGGGGACGCTAGCAAACCTGCAAAATCTGCGAAACCTATACTTCGACGTAAAGGTTCTGGTGATAGCGATAGTAGCTTCAAGCGCTCTAGAGCTGCTGAAAACACTAGCTTCAGACGCTCGATGCGTGGTCCTACCGATAACGAACTCGGGGGTCAGCAGTCGCCTCTTTCAAGCCGATTTAGTCTACGATCATTATCTCCTACAGGCTCTACAACGAGTCGCCGCCCATTCAGTGCAGCTCCAGCTGTATCTGCACCCCAGGCCCCTCCCCAAACCTCTATGCGCACATCCATGCGGAATTCTTACAACGCGCCTACGCTCCGTGGTAACAGGGAGCGTGGCAAATCTCCCGTACGCATACCTGGTTTCGGGCGCGGGCAATCTAAGTCTGGCACTGGACGACCTGTGTCTCAGCGGGCAAGCCGTTTTGCTGATTCTAGCGACGAAGAAGATACTCGTCCTGCATTCCGCAGCCGCTTTGTAGATTCAAGTGATGATGATGAAGATGTTCTACCACCCCACGCGGGCGGTGGATTTGGGCGCGGGACTATGCGGGCGGGTCAGCCTGTACGCGGAATCCCTCGTCAGCCGGGCGTTGAAGATGGTGATTCGACTGATTTACCAGACAGTGACGACGAGAAACCACCTGCCTCACCGGGCAAATTATCCAAGGTGAAACAAAATAGTACAACTCTAGCTACATCAAACCAAGGGGCAGCACTTGCATCTGGCTCTCTTCGCCGCAATGGGTCGGGCCGGAATGCTATGGGCAGCCCAATCTCACCTACAACTAGTCCAGACGGACGATCTGGCCGCGGGAATTTGATGTCCATCCTCCGACGCAAGAAGCCGGATCCTTCTTCCAAGGTCCGGAAACCAGACATAGAATCTGCAGCGAGGCGAGATACACCTCTTGAGCGTTCGAGGTCCGACCTTCAAGCTATGAAGCGGAATGGTTCTCAACATTCGACACTCGGCTCACCCAAACTCCAGAAAAGAAACAATGTCGCCTCCTGGCCACTTCAGGACCCTGCGCCCGCCCTTGTTAACGATGATGGAAGACCATTGTCAGTTGATGCAGGGGATACCGTTGCGAGTGCCGAATTGGCTAATGTCAATACCGCGTCTGTTTCTGCCGCTTCCGCTGCCGTGGGCGGCGAAACCACTACTGAACCAGATCTGGTAACAAGGCGTTTTACAGTGCAAGGCTTACCTGGGGAGTTGAATTCGAACGGCACTGACAAGGCGGCGAAGAAGAAGAAATTCGGGAAGCTGAGGAGAATGTTCAGGCTTGACGACTGATCAGTTTTCTCCTACAATACATGTATTTCCTTTTTGGGTTTTGGGAACTTGGCAAGGGGGGTAGCAAAATGGGAAAGGAATATGGCAAAGGCGTGCCATTATGGTCTGACGCCGGTTGTGGTATCAACACACACACACACGAAGACACGTGTTTCTTTGATTGGGGTGGGAGGGGATGCTTCTTGTATATACACCCGTTCGTTCCTGTACATATTTCGCTGGGCGCTGTAAGAGGCCGATGGAATAATGCTTAATTAATTCTCACAACACAGTACTCTTACAAGTGTAAATTAGATGACGGAATCCTGAGCGGAGGTAGGGTTTTCTAATGGTGGCCCCTTATATCAAGCCATGTAAAGGCATGGCATGTCCAAGTGGCATACCTATCTGCATACCACGTCTTGTTTCACTTTGCTTGGCATTCTGCGCTTAATTCCTCCTCCATCCCAAATTAACGCTCTCGGTCCGCGCATATCCTATCCAGATATACAGAGTTTCCTTTCCCTGTGATACACTACCTTCCGTATCCTCCTGCTTCTTTCTGATATTTCCTCCGCAATGGCCTAGTCACCCCAGCTTTCCTTCCAAGATTTCCTCCATCTATGCTTTGCAGTATAAAGATTGAAGTCCAGGAACGGACTTTGGGAGGTCAGCTGAGCCTGAAGCTTGCTTAGAATTAGTCGTGAAGTTTTATGGGAAAGGAAATGGGGAAGAATCTGCTTACTTACCCATCTATCTATCTCTTGACCTGTAACACCCTAGGGGATTTCTGAAGATTATTCTCCCTTCTTCCAATTTCTCCTTCCCACCAACTCATCAGCGCCAGAAGAAGGAAGCCCTAGCACAAACTCATCTCTCGCACCCACACAAACACTCACTCAACCCATGACTAACCCCGCGACACCCAAGGCAATCAAAAGCGCCGCACTAACCGTCTTCTTCTTCTTCTTCTTGCCTCTTCTCCACAGCGATGTACTCGCCTCACTCTTCTTAACCTCGCTCTGCTTCCCATCGAAACATTTCCCTTGGACTCCCACGGGGGCAGTGCGATGTATGCATGATGCTTGTGCAGTAGTGGTGGTGGTGTCTATATCTAGATTTCCTTCTTCTTCTGAGAGGAAGGTATAATAGTCGTTGAGGGAGTAGTAGCCGTCGCTGGTGAGGACTTGCGGGGAGGAGGAGGAGGAGGAGGAGGTCATGTTGAGATATGTGGATGGGATGATGTCGATGCTGGGTATGTGGTTGGAGATTGCGTCGTGGGTGATGTTGGGAGTGGAGAGGAGGAGGGTGGTGTTGGGTTGGGAACAGTGCGTTTGCAGATTGTAGGGGATGGTAGAGTTTTCTGACATTTTTCTTCAGGAACAGACAGATCTCTCTCCTCTCCCTTGCACCAAGGGCCTTCTTATAAGGTATGTATACTTGCTTTCTCTTTGCTTTTCGAAATGAAACGACGAGGAAAAATCCCAGCACCGCGAAAAAAAAAAAAAAAAAGGAAAGAAATAGATGAGTATGGGCTGTGAGATTCTTGGTTCCAAGGAACAAATGGAAATAATTGAGAGGATTATATTATATAGGTACATAGGTACGTGACTGGGCCTCGCAATCCGCGGGTTTATTTCGAGCTTCGAAGCACCCGTGGATGCAGGACCCGAAAAGCCTTCGAGAGGCTGAGCGCCCACTCGTGCTGCTCCTTCGCAGCGAACCACCACAGTTGCATTGCATTGCGCTGTGCCACTACCAGACCGCCTTGCGGTGGAAATGAATACATACATGACGATAATTCGGTTCATGCTCATTGAGCATTTTGGGGAATGATGAATTTCTTTGAGAGAAGCTCGAGTGAGGTGGATGTCGCGCGCGTGTGTCGTTGGCAACGTGATGCGATTTCAGCATTCACGATACGAGATGTTTAGACTTTTGTGCTGGGTGGTGATCCCTCTCCCTTGGAAAGGAATCAATCAGATGGTCAACGAGGTAAGGTACTAAGTATTCCTCGGTTCCTCGAGGCGTATCTGTGGGATGCTGTTAGGTACGAAGAGGCTCTTGACAGGTGGCTGATTTGGAGATGGAGTTGTGGAAGTGGCTTGAATTATTATTAGCCACATCTCTAACGACAAAATGGCTTGTCCTGAACATCCACCATTCGACCCACTGGGGCGGATGTACAGAATTGACATTGACATACTCCGTACAGGAGTGAAATACTGCTGTACGTAGTGTTGGCTCTTTGAGCTCCCTTTATAGTCGATCCTGGCTAAGCTTGACGCCGCCTTATCGCGGAACCCCGAAGAGGCAGGACGTTTGTCTTCTCAGATATTTTCTTCTTTTCTGATACTAACACCAATTCTATTTCTTCAATGTTGTCCCGTTCCCTTGTTCATCTTGTTCCATCATGTCTTACACATATCTCGCGACAATTTAGAGGCATGTTCTAAGTGGTATCCGGCCTCCACGCACAGTTGACTCGCACCGCGCCTGTGCTTCAGCCGAACTCATTACGCATCTCTCATCAACTCTGATATTTTCTTGAAAAGAGTTTCCCATATCTAAAGCTGTCAAGATGTTTGACCCATCAGCAGCTATCATATCCCTAATCGAGCGTTTCATGACAGTGACAGTCCCCAAAAGCAATGAGCCCAGACCCATACCCACCATCCCAGAATTCATCTACAAGACAGCCATCTGCTTCATCGGGGCGTGGCTCGCGCAGTTCATTCTGGGGGGCCTCTTCAATTCGGCGAACCATCCACTTGTGGATTTTCCGGGTCCGAAAAGGGCTGCGTTCACCGAGTGGTACCGGACGTATTTGGAATTGTTTTGCGGGAGATCTTGGGTCCATGTGCTGGAGGAGTGGCACCAGAAATATGGTACGTTGGATTGCTTGATTGGATTTGAAGAGAGCTGATTGAGTCAAGGGAAAATTGTCCGCGTTGGCCCAAATGAGGTGTGTTGAAGATACCTCCATTCAAGACACGTGTGACTACGTGCCGGTGAAATATCGTAGCATTTTAACGCTGTGTTAGCTTTCCTTCTCTGATCCAGCAGCCTATCATGAGATCTATAATAGCAGTAACTTCTGGGACAAGGAAGCTTCAGTCTATCAAAGTTTCGGTCAGGACCATGCAACGTTTGGCTTCCTGAAATATGCAGATGCCAAGAAACGAAAGGATATCATGAGTCCGCTTCTCTCTCGTAAAGCGATCTCAGACCTTCAGGAGCTCGTGCAAAGTAATGCGAGTACTCCCTCACATCTTTCAAGATTCCTGACTAACTTCTTCTCAGGTTGACCGCCTTTGTGAAGGGCTGACGAACAACAACGCGGCTGGGCGGTCCTCGGACTTGTTTTTTGGTCTTCGGTGCTTTGCAGTTGATACCACCACTTCAGTCTGCTTTGCAATATCTGTGGATGCTCTAGACGAGCCCGAGTTTAAAGCCCCAATCGTAGAAGCAATGGAAAAGGCTCCTGCACACCTGGTCCTGTTCAAACACTTCCCCTGGCTTCAATCAATTTTTATTAGAATGCCACGGTGGCTTACTGTTATGGTTGCTCCACAGACTTCTGGAATAGCTCGAGTTATGGATATACTAAGGACGCAGATTAAAGATGCCATGGCCAACCCATATAGCTTGAAGGACTCGTCTCGTCACATCGTGTATCATGCACTGCTTAGTGTGGAAGCGAACGAGGGGGCAAAATCCGCTGATGAAAAGAGCTTGCTTCAGGAAGCCCAGTCATTGCTACTTTGCGGTAGTGATGCAGTTTCAAATCAGATCATGCTTGGTACTTGGCACTTGCTCGAGAGTCCAGCCCTTGTTCGGCGGCTCAACAAGGAATTATTGAAAGTTTGGCCAGTTCTCGATATAGTTCCGAGCTTTGCAGAGTTAGAGAAGCTTCCGCTTTTGGTAATCCCCTCTCTTTGCAGCCTGGATATGGCTAATAAGATACAGACAGCAGTAGTCAAAGAAACGCTTCGCATTGGCCCAGGTGGCATCCCTGGAGTGTTACCTCGTGTTGTTCCAGAGAAAGGAGCGACAATAAATGGATCTTTTATTCCCCAAGAAGTAGGTTCACCGTTTGACTCAGAGGCAATTAGAGCTGACAAAATTTAGACTATTGTGGGAATGAGTGGATATTTCGTACACCATGCCGAATCCATCTTCAAGGATCCCAAGACATTTGATCCAGACCGCTGGCTAGGAGAAGACTCGGAATCTCTTGACAAGTGGTTGGTATCTTTCTCGAAAGGACCTCGCTCTTGTTTGGGAATAAAGTAAGCTCCGATCTTTGAAAGTGACAGTGATGCTGATAGCGCCCAGTCTTGCATATTGTGAGCTGTACCTAGTTCTCGCAGCTCTGTTCCGGCGATTTGATATTGAGCTTGATAGCGCAAGGTAAGACTACCTAACTTTCTCTTTACAAATGAGAACACTAAGAGTAAATGATCGCTCTAAATCACCGCTAACAAGGCACAGCGGAAGATTGAAAGACTTGGAGTGGAGAGACCACTTCGTAACGCGTTTTTCGGGGCCGCACCTGCGCGCTTTCTGCAGACCCGTCTCCAAGTAGCTGGACAAGATTTTCCTGTTCGAAAGCGAAATCTACACTGCATACCAGAGCAATTAATCAGATGGGCTCTGTCCCGATTATATCTACTTGCTCTTTCCGTACACCAGAAAGGAAGTGGTTGCAATACGTGATGCCAAAAAAGGGGGCAGTCGCGTTCCAGTTCCAATATCAGGACGATATGTAGCTTCGTTTCAGGAGGCTTCTTCATCTCCACTCCTAATTATTTTCTTACATATCCTCAAATTCTTCGGATCTGAGCTCGTTTCATAGGTCTGAGCTCAGTTTGTCGGTCCTTTCATTTTATTTCACCAAACCTGCACAGAATGAAGCAATCTCGCAATAACGGAAATGAATTCCAGTCTGCGGAGGCCAACTCCATCGTTGGACCCTCGAGGCCAATCGACGCCGCAGGTGATGAGTCTTCTCTGCTCCCAAACACCAAAGCCCCCGAACCCAACTCTTCTTCCACCAACCCAACTACTACAGCAGCATTAGCATCAGCATCAGCTCCATCGCCCTCCGTCCAGACGCACGATCTCCTCATCGCTGCCAATGCCGAGCTACTGAAGCTCGAAATAACATATGGGTTCTTCTCAAACCTCTACATATCTCTCCCGCCCGCAGCCTATGCCCCTGTCCGAGCGCGCGGCAGCATCTTATACCACGTATGGAACAGCTCCTGGCGGCTCGGCAAACCCTCCGTCCTCATCTCCGAAAAAAGCAAACACGGGAAGCCCGTCGCCTCCATGATATTGCGATGGGGAAGAGCGGATTTGTTCTCCGTGGGCAGTACCGAGAGCGAAATGCGCTGGGAATCCCTTCATAGAACGAGTGTGTGGACGCATTCGCGCTTTGAATTCGAGTGGGATTTTGGAAAGGAAGCAGGAGGCAGGAGGAGATTCGTATGGCGCCGCTTGTTGAAGGATCCTTGGACTGATCAGCCGGATTTGGAGCTGAGGGAATTGTTCGAGTCGGGAGTGCCTGGGATGAGGGGTTGGATGGGAAAAGAGGTTTTGGCGCTCTATTCGGGTATGCATTGGCATCGGTGGAGGAGAAGGGGGGGTTTTGTCATTCGGCGGGTATTCGCAAAGCTGCCTGATTCAAGGCCACTGAAGCTTGAGGACATGGGGGACTGGGAAGTCGTTATCCTGGTGACGGCATTGGGTATCGTTGAGGCGGCCAGGAGGAGAGCGAATAACAGGAGGCAAGCTGTTATGCCACCCCCGTCTCTTATAGAAAAGCTCATTTGAGCTCGTGGGTTTCCGTTGGGTGGTCACAAGTTATTGTCCCTATACAGAGACTCCCTATACATACCGTATCCTCCTATTCCAATCTTCTGATGGCGTGAATCTTACCACGCTGGTGGGAATCCAGCTTCCCGCCGCGTGCTGTGCCTTCGCTCCCCCTGCGAGCTTAAAAACAGGCAAGCAAATTGCCTCTCTCGTTTGATCCTGTTGTTCAGTATATATATCATTACCATATCATCGCGAGAACCACAGCTGCACCGACGGCATGCCATCTCCCCAATGCTTCCTCACGCCACTCTCCAGCGTCTGCCTCAAATTCTCCACATACCACAAACTATCACTAAACTCCCTGACCAGCGCGCCTCTTTCCCTCTCCAGTCCGCGGCCATCCGCGTCCTCCCCCTCCCCCTCTCCTCTCTCCTCACCAGCACCCGACGACTCCTTCGGCATCACCAGCGCAATCGCCTGCAGATTGGGCATCAGCCGCACCTCGCTCAGGCTATCAAAGCGGAACACGCGCAGGACCTCCCAGACCTGGACATCGATTGCGCAGCGCAGGATGCGATCACTGTGCGGGCTCGCCACGAGATCATATGCCAGATCGCCCTCGGGACTGCAGTCGAGCGTGTCGAAGAAGATGGTGTCGAGCGGGAACGAGACGAAAATCGAGGAGGGGTGCTTGGGCGAGAGGATTAGTCGCGTGTATTGAGTGAGGCAGATAGCGCGCGATTCCGGATTGGTGTGTAAGAGCGCTGGGGGAGGTAGGGGGGATATGCTACGGGGAGGTTAGTTGGTTAGGTAGCTGGTGATTGATGATGATAGGAAAGGGGGGGAGGGGAGAGGAGAGGAGGGACGTACTATTGTTTGGCGACGCGGCTGTACCGGACGGGCACGGTGCGGGGTCCTGGAAGAGCGAATTCCCAGATCTTGATCCGGAGTTCGGTAGGGAGGGCGCTGAATAGGGGAAATTGGGGTTTAGAATCCATGGTGGTCATGGTGATGATGGTGATGAGGTGTGTTGTGGTTTGGGAGAGAGGGGCGAATAAGTAAGGTATGTATGGAGACGCCAGATAAGTGAGAACCAACCACGACTTAGCGAAATACGTATGGGATCATCAAGCTGGGTTGATTACTGAGGACGTTGATTACCTTTAACTCAATGACTTTTGAATATTGCTCTTAAACCCGATATCTTTATGTTTTGCTATTTATTTACCCTGTTGTGATGGTTGACATGAAGTTGAGGTTTCGGTTATCTCGTTATCGTGAAACTGCCGTAAAAACGTCATCTGGCTTCCAGCATCTCAACGATAGACGGACTTTTTGACATTCCTACTGAAGGCACGGTTGGTGCTATCCATTATTCCTAAAGGTAATACTTATGCTATTACAGGTACTATTAGTATCTAAATAAAGGCAAGTCAAAGTTGGACGGGGTAACTCCACCTTAGATCAAAAGCCTCAACCGTCAGATTCTGCTCTTGATGCCCTTAAAACAAGTATCTAGTTAAGATGTGAGAAGGTATGCAATGCCATCCATCCCGTGGCGATACCCGTCATGTCCATATTGAAACAGTCCTGATCTTCGATATTGACTAGGAAGGATATGGTACTTCTGGTAAAAAGAAGAATAGGGGCAATCTTCCTCTTCTTCCTGCTCGTTAGTATTAGTACAGAGTCTCATTCGATTATATCGAGCACTGTAAACCCCCCAAACCGCCTAACCTCGACTTTCAAGAAGACTTACAATCGCCATACCGGAAACTGGCACTGCGGGTACCGGAAAAGAAGAAGGCTTTCATTACTTGACCGAGTGCTTTAGAACAGTACAAGAATCCACTCCATACCTACCTTCTCTTATTCACACACATCCCTTTCCCTCCCCTTTTTATAGGGAACTAAAGTAAAGCAAAGCAAAATAAAATAAAATAAAATAAAAGAGCAAAAAAAAACATACAACAGCGGGTATTCGCTGGTGGTCACCCACCCAACTACTAATCCGCCGATCTAAGGCTTATGTATGGCAGAGCGGACGGGATGCCCAGGATTCCTTAGTCTATGGTCGTATGTGACGAGTTCTCTATCATTAAATCTTCTATACAAGAGATACAACATCCACTCCCTAGCATCCTTCCCTGTTAAAGAAAAATGGTATAAAGAAAGAGAAAAAGAAAAAGCGGTTCCTCACTGTATATCCCTGTGTAGCAAGTCGGCTCTTGCTTTTTAACTTCTAATGGCGATAGATTCTTCGAAACTGCTACAGAAATCTCTCTCACCTTCCGAAAATTGGCGTGTCCGTCGTTCAAAGCGCAGATCATATCGGCCGGGATGGATTATAACATATCTCAGAACCCAGCCAATTGCAATCCCTTGATGTGAGAGCACCATGCTAGCCAGCGGAGAAATACATTGAAAAGGTCTGCAAAATCCGCAGATGGTAAGATTAAGTAAGTACTTGATTCTGTCCATAAGTTATATAATTCTGTCACGTCTACGAGGTCAGGCTGGAGCAGACGCGTCCCGAGCTCTTCCTCGACGAACCAATTTCAATCTCCATGCTTCAACTAGGCTGTCAGGAATCTCAAGTTGCTTGTCTGGGAATCAACTTTTAATCTACATAGAAGTCAGATATACAGCCTTTCTATGGACTTTTACGATAAAATCCTTGGATACGGTCCTCTTGTCCCAGCTCAGGTAGATATGGACGTAGCCTTGCGGGGTCATAACAAGGCTGAGGGCGGCAGAATCAGACCGCTTTCCGGGGTTCTATGACGACGGTCAACAAACCCCCCTTTTATTTCTCAGGACTGCAAGAAGGCTGTCTTGTAACGGGGAATCAATATAAATCCGTGGGCATTTCAAGTCTACAAGTCATTTCCTAAATAGACAGCTAGCTCCTTTTCCCTCTAACAACTCCCCAGATACTGGAGATCAGCATATCCCATGCTCGCCCGCACCCACCTCCTTACCAGACACCTGCTATCCTCCTCGAAGCTTTCCCGCCTCGCGAAGATGTCCACCTTCACGCTCCCCGATTCAGATATATCCGTCAAGCTTGTCGATGGACTCACTCAGGAGCAACTCCTCGAATTCCCCGCCTTCAAGGCACGCACTCTCCCAAGCCCTCCTTCTCGACCCCCAACTAATCCGAAGTTCAGAACTGGCTCACCAGACTACAACGCAATCTCGCGCTTCAAAAAAGCAACCCTGCTCATGAATTCCACGCCGCGCCCTACGCCCTCCGCTCCATCACCATCCAAGCCATCGACCGCTTCGGCAACCAGCGTCTCGGCTTCGTGAAGCTCGTCGCTGACGTGCGCAACGCCGCCGGCGAGTCGCTGCCCGGAGCCGTCTTCCTCCGCGGCGCCAGCGTCGGCATGATGGTAGTGCTGCAGCCCGACGACGTCGCGGCGGGCAGCGAGGCCGAGAAACACGTGCTGCTGACGGTGCAGCCCCGGGTGGCGGCCGGCGCGCTGCAGATGGTGGAGTTGCCGGCGGGCATGGTGGATGGGGGCACGTTTGCGGGGGCGGCGGCGAAGGAGATTTGGGAGGAGCTGGGCTTGGAGATTCGCAGGGAGGAGCTGACGGATTTGACGAGCTTGGCGATTCAGGAGGGGGAGGGGGAGGAGGAGCTACCGAGGGCCATGTTCCCGTCGCCGGGTGGGTGCGATGAGTATGTGCCGCTGTTTTTGTGTGAGAAGAGGGTGCCCAGGGGACAGTTGAGGGAATGGACGGGGAAGTTGACGGGGTTGAGGGAGGAGGGGGAGAAGATCACGTTGAAGTTGATCAGGTTGGAGGATCTGTGGCGGGAGGGAGCGAGGGATGCTAAGGCTTTGGGCGCATGGTCGCTCTACGAAGGCTTGAAGAGGAGTGGGAAGTTATGAGGCGGATAGTAATCAAGGATTCATGCCATGGTCATGTTCTATTGCCCAAGCGTGCTATAACTTCAATCGTTGTGCAATCTCGATTCCCTCAGCCAGCGTGCCAACTCGCGCATCGATAGCATAGCCTTCCTTCTCCAACTTCTGGCACTCTGCCCATAAATTCTTCAGCGGCACCATGAACACCTCGATAAACTCATTCTCCTCCAATTCCGGCTTCGGGTCTTTGTTTTCGGCCGTCGACATATCGATCGTCACATGCACCATTTTCAAGTTCGTATTGCAGAATCCGGGATCTGGAAAGGGAATCCTCGATCAGCATATGCACCAAAACCACAGCAGGGGGCTAGCCGCTGGCGTTGAAAGATTACCATTGAACATAACCGGACTGGACTCGCTCACAACGCCCACGTAGCCCGTCTCCTCCCTCAGCTCCCGAACCGCCGCCTGCTCCGCCGTCTCCCCAGCGTCGACCAGCCCGGCCGGGACCTCGATCGCTACCTTCCCAATCGGTGGTCTGTATTGCTTCTGCAGGATGATCTCGGGTCCTGTGGCAGGCCATCAGCATCATCCATCTATCCATCGCGGATGGAAGATACGCACCACTCGCTTTCTCTACAATGGCGACAATTCCCACCCCATCAATCTCTGAGTCTGCCGGGCGCGTGCGCCGCTCTGCATGCTCCCATGTTCGTGTCTTGCCGAGAGGATCAGTGTATGTCGTCCTGCGATCGTATTAGCTTTTTACGTGTTTGTATCCGGTCAAGAAGGACCAATTGGGAGGGGGGGGAAATTACAGCACAAGTTTGGTCCATTCTGCATCTTCGCTTTTCTATCTCATAGGGAGCAGTTAGCAGCTGGAAACATGGTATGTCTGGTGTAGAGGGGAGACGGGGCATTAGGAGGGCAGGAGAACGAACCAATGGCTCAGTTTTCAGGATTTTTGTATCTCTGGCTGACATCTTGACTACCGTGGGTAGAGTAACAGCACTATTAGTGCAAGCGGGTGGTGATGGAGGAGTGCTGGGCCTTGGCGTCGAGGTTAGGAGGGAGGGGTCGAAGTCGGTGAAGATGTTTGAGATGCGCGCTTGGGAATTGTGCCAATTACGTCACTGTCCTTTTTTACCAATTTCCACAGGAACTTCTCTCTCTCTTTATTTTTTTATTTTTTTATTACCAAAGGATTAGGATTTTCTTCTACCTTCTCATAACCGTAAATTCTAGGTACCTTTATCACATCTACAAGGAACCAAATCAATCAAGGGGGAATGACAGTTATGCCCCTCTTCAGGCACAAGGCTGTTACCCCGGGCGACAGACAATTACCCGCTTAAACAACCTAAGCGAACAACGCCTCAACATCCACCCCCTTACCTACCTTACCTTTCCTACGTAAAGCGCATACTCTGTTCATACCACCACTTATGTAGAGCAGCCGCTTCAACGTCGAAGGGGGTTATTAGGGAGTAACGCTGGCCGGCTTAATTGTGGCTATTGTACATGATTCCACACTCTCAATCATAGGTAGTGAATAACCTTATCGTTCAAAATCTCGTTGCGAATGACTTCAGACGGTAGTTAATCGTCGATGTTATTCTTTCGTTACGAAGAAAGCCTTAGACAACGATTAATCGTCGATATTCTTTTGTTGTGAAGAACTTCAGACGATGGTAAATTACTAGATGTAGTTTAGCGTCGGGGATTTATATAGTGATTGAACGTTAGTAGTGATGCCAAAGGGAACTGTCCGCTACATGCTCTGTGACTTGGTCTGTCTGTCCATCTTCTTAAGTACTCTACAGACAAAGGGATGTGAGGTCGCGCGATACGGATGTAGGGAGTCGGGATCTCAAATGTACATTGCAGATTCAAGAATCTACCTAAAGGCTTGTAGACTGAGTAGAGTAGACCTATTTGTATCTTTGAAATAACTATATACACTAGATTCCCTCGAAATTTGGGTACAAATTCGCTGGAGCCTGGGAAACAGGTAAACGCTCAACTCATGCCATCTGTGTATCAATTCCTAATCATTCTATTCCTACTCCAAGACCGCCGTGCCTTAACATAACCAGAATTTCGAAGGAAATCGTCACTAATGATCCCAGTAGATATCTCATTCCAAATCAATCGCTAAATGAAAGTAAATCGCCCAATCCAAATCAATCACTCAATGAAAGTAAATCACTCATTCCAAGTAAATCGCCCAGTCCAAGTCAATCGCTCAATGAAAGTCAATCGCTAAATGAAAACCAATCGTTCAAAGAAAGTCAATCGTCCAATGCAAATCAATCGCTCACTCAAAGGAAACTCTCACAATGAAAGTCAATCTCTCACTATATCAGACCACCCGGCATCGGAACCATCATATCGGCCCCAACCCATCCATCACCGGTTAGCATCATCGGAGCAGGTCTCTTCGCATCCGTACTGAGCGCGTTCCCCACATTTGACCCCAACATCTCCGGGCTCGGACTGCGATGGATCGTATTTAGCTGAGCCAGCACGCTGTTGCTTTCCTGATCCTGCAAGATGCTCATCCGATAATACGCGTCGTAGAAATCGCCAATGCTGGTCTGGCTCGCATCCGATATGCTCCGGCGCTTACCCGTTCCAGTTTTGATGGCGGTCAGGGGAACCGGTTCTAGCGAATACAAATCCAGGGGAGGGAGTTTGGGGACTGGTTCCTGCTCATCTGTTCCACGGTTGTGAACATCTGAGATGGAAGTGCTGGAACTTGAAAGGGAGGAGATGGTAGATTGATCAGCCGTAATATGGATGTGTTGGCCGAGTTTGTAGTGTCGGTGATCGTGGTCTCTTCTTCTTCTTTCATCGCTGTTTCGTTGGGGCGCTTTTCGGGGCATGTATTTGACGGAGTCTCGGGCGCGGCGAAGACTGCGTGAAGATGACCGGGATGGTGAGATCTTAGTCACCGAGCCAGCAGATGATGAGCCAGCAGAGGAGAGCTGACGGTTGACATTGTTGTTTGTGAATGTATTGATGGATGTCCTTGTGCTGGGGGTATTTGGCGTTGGTTCGCTGTGAGCCTGACTGCTTCGAGAGCTTCGAGAGCTTCGAGATTGCGGCCGTTTGATATCGACCGTCTTGGGCCGGGAGAACGATATTCGATATAGCTCGGCCACAGAATCGCGAAGCACTGGCACCTCTGAATCCCAGGTATAATCGTCTTCTGCGGCGGAGCTTGTATCGAGTGTAGGTAAGACCTTTGCAGGTCGGGGAGAGGAAGGGCTCTGTGGTAGAGGTGGAATCAGGTCGAAGCGGAAGCTCTCAGCGCTGCGACGAGACAAAGAATGCGCACCATCATCACCTATGGAATGGCCGGAGCGTTGTAATTGTCGCGGAACACGTGACGGAGAGAGTTTTGATGGTGTGGAAGTGGGCGTTGTTGCATCGAGGATGCGAATCGGGGAAGAATTTGATTTAAGCGCAGATACGGAGGTTTTTGGTGTTAGAACTGGGAGTTCATTCTTCGACTTCTCAGAAGATTGAGGTTGTGGGATTTGCGAGGGATTTGAATCCGTAGTTGGTGTGGTAGGCCGGCTGAGATGAACATCGAGCGGGGACATCCAGTTACTAGGAGACACCCAGTTACTAGGCTTTTCACCTCTCAGAGACCTTGGTGACCTTGGTGATGGCAAAGGCGGCGATATGGGGGCGCCTCCAACAGTCCCAAAGCTAGTTGTGCTGTGGTTCACACGTCGTAGGTCTGCCGGCAAAGGGTGGAGGCGAAGTGGTGATGGTCTGTTCCTAGTACCTTGAATATTACGCAAGGAGCTGACACTTGGATTGCCTGCAGTTGAAGGTCTGCTGGCTTTTATCATGTCCATCCAATCGACAATAGTCTCAGTGGGCGCAGGCTTATAGGGAAGAGACGGAGAGGTCGGTCCTGGCTGGTTCGCTCCATCGAAATGACCAAGGCTTGGAGCTCTTCCACGTAACAAACCTCCTTCTTTAGTCTTCTTGCCGACAAGCTTTTCTCCGTCGCGCACCTCTCCCGTGTTCTGCTCCTCCGCAGATTTCCTATTTTTCCTATGCCTAGAGCTTATGTCAGATACGGTGATCTAATCTCAACAGCTTTGTTACCGTGCTTGATTGATGCTGTTGCAAAGGTAGGTGTGTGTCAAAGGCGACTACAACTTGAAAACAGAGAAATCCCAAAACAAGTGATATCGAAGCGCTCCATCGGTAAGACCCACCCAAACTTGACGGCGAAGCCGATTGAACCGAATCCTCCCATTATAGATTATTATTATATCAGTTGACCTCGATAGTGACAGTGTTGTGAAGTGTTGTAGAGCAACAGTGTTATAATGAGTGGTATAGAGTCAGCTCCATTAGGCGACTCGTATTCAACAATCGCAAAGAGTGACTGGGTAAAGGGTGAACAAAGAGAGACTGGATGAGCAACAAGTTGTCCCGTCGTCTGGTGTATATACCAGTATAAGTTTGCCAACAATGGGTTCGAGGGGTTCAAGGGGTTCAAGAAGCTCAAGACCCGCACGGACACTTCTCGAGCTTGCAGTTGGGTTCCAGGGTTCCGGGTTTCGTGAACACGAATATATGGCCCGTCCGCACAGATGTGGTGTCACTGTTTGATGTATGGGCGTGGGATTGTGCAGCTTCAACTCCTGAATGGTGCGTATCGACTTCGATACTTTTGGAGGTCGGGTATCTCTGAACACTTCCGCCCTTGATCAACACTTGTGGCAACATGTGCGCGGGATTCGTGCATTCGTTGCACTCCAGGAAGATCGGGAATCGCTGATCCGCTATTATACAATATGATAGACAACCTGATCGACGATCGATAAATATGAGACGATAAGGATCAAAGGAATGACGCCACATGTCATGGAGGTCTATCAGCCCTTCATGGCGAGGAGAGCCGCAGGCGGCGATGGGTACGAATCTCAAATCAGAGCTGAGGGTCTCAGGGTTCCCACGCGCTCATCCCGCGCTCACGATGCCGCGCCTCATCACAATCCTGCGAAGATTTAATGACGAAGCTGAAGCAGGCACCCAACATGATCCGTGGGCTAAGGATCTGTGAGCTGAAGATCTGTGAGCTGTGAAGCGCTACTTCACGATAGTTACAGATTTCTGTCGAGCACTGAGTCGTGTCTGCAGATCATCAAACTGCATCAATTGATCGCGGGGAGAGGTCGCAACCGTCAGGCATTCCGATTCGTTGGAATGTGGATTAATAAGTAGATCGTCCAGAGCTGTAGCGCTGGCAACATGGCACGGTCCCCGATATTGTCGGGCCTGGGCTCTAGCAAGGATCTGAAAGGAGTCTCTGAGCCTCCGCCAAGCACAACAGCGGAGCGCAGTCTCAAGGCCCTGGGTCTGACAATGAGGGGTAGAGCATAATACAGAGATCGCTGAGATTTGTATGGAGGACATATACTTGGAGTCGGACTTGGGGTGGGTATGGGGAGGAGAGGTGGAGCGGTGAAGGAGTGAAGACGTGAAGTCGTGAAGTCGTGAAGAAGTCCCTGGATTCCTTACGGGAAATATCGTGTACTAAGGCACCCTACTGTAAGTTTACCTGCACATATACGGAGTATTATTTAGGTAATCTGCATATATACGGAATATTATTTAGCTAAGTTCCGCAAGTCAAAATATTCCATTTCTTCCTCAGAAAGCGTCTACCTAGGTATGCCCTGGTAAGACTTCAAAGAGGTGAAGTGCTTCTTTGTCTGTCATAGGAGTAATATGTACGAGAAGATCTCAATAGTATCTATTATCGCCTCCCCTCTACATTCCAAATGCGCTCAAAAATGACTACTCACACTCAGCTAGACCAGCTTAAACTCCTCCAACAGGGCCACGCCCCCAGAGATGACTTCTCCCCCATCTACACTCCCCTCCATGCTCCCCGCCCAGCGACTATACAGTGTCGTCGACTGCTGCAGGACCGTCTTGATATGCACACGCGCAGTCAACGTGCTTTCGTTCCCAAGATGCAGCGTGATATTGAAACCCCCTGGAAACCCCGAGGATGCAACAGGAGGATACTCATCATTCACTCCGCTTGGCCTGACCTTGACCGAGTCCTCCCGACAGCTCGCAGTCAGGATCTCACCATGCCTTGCCGCATACCCACTGACATATTCCGAGCCATTGAGAGCGAGAAAATCGAACCAGACGATGGAGTAGTTGCCCAGCCGGCCATGACCCCAGAACCAGCTCCCGACATTCGCAGCGAAGGGCTGGTCGCTCCAGTTCTGCGATAGCCAGTCAGAGGAGCGCAGGAGGAGAGGACGAGGGGAGATCTAGAGAAAATACCTTATCATGGTACCCGACGCCGGTCCAAGCAAAATCGCTGCCAGCGATCTTGAAATCCACGGTCCCGACTGCGTCAGGAACTGCATTGGACCACCCGATGTTGGGCCCGACCATCATACTCTGTCCCGCCTCTGCTGTTCCACATGGGTAATGCGCCGGCGCCAGGCTCCGGAGCTCAAAGGTGCCTACGATTCCGTTCTTCGGGCTGTTAATCTCAACCCGGTACGTGGTCATGTCTGGCGCCCCGATCCAACTCGCTCCCGTCCCTTCAAAGCACCCGGAACTGCCGTCGCCCACAGTCGTGATGATCGCTTCGCTCGCTTCAAGGACAGCGTAGAATTGGGTACCATTCTCGAATATGCAGTCGAGAGTCGCGATCGTTACAGTATCCGAGGGCGCCAGGAATGGGAAGCCTGACGGGAGAGCATTGTAGAAGACGATTGAGAGCGCTGTCTTGAGGTCCGGAGACACGGCGTCGAAATACCACCAATCCCAGGAAGTGCTGTTGATGGGGGAGACTTGGGGCCCGTCAAATTCTGTCCCGGAGACGAATCTCGCGGTGCTAGGCCCGGCAATAGCTGTCGAGGGGATGATTTTGAAGGTTGGTGAGACCGATTGCTTCAGAGCGGGAAGAGCTCGTGATGCGGACGCGAGAGGGAGTATGGCCACAAGCCAGGCAAGAGTGAAAACCCCCATCATGGAAGAGCTACATAAATCTGAAGGATTGCAAGGAGAACAAGTCCCTGTAGAGACGGAGAAGTAAGTAGGTAGGTTTTAAGGGCAACAGATTAAACCTTAATTGTCCAACGATGTTTCCGGTTCAATTAATCCAATCTTATAAACAGACAAAGGGCTTGGTTTCGGGAAGTTGTGCGACAAGTGAATCTCACGGATAAAGGGACTGAAACCTTCCCTCCTCCCGCCATTCTGTCTACCCACGAGCCATGAACTTGGAGTCTGATCGAACAATCTTTCTTCTTTTCAGTTTCATCTCACGGATAAATGGAATGCCGACACGGAGGTTGGATCAAGACTTTGGTATTGATACGAACCCCATTTGGAACATGATCAGCTTAGGCGCATGAGCGATGCCCAACCGTGACACTTCTAATTGCAACATTCTTTACCATTTCCCTGTTTCGCACTATTAAGGGAAATCACGTGGTAAATGGTCCTTAATTTGATGTCTGCCAAGTCGCAATTGACCACAAAATGGGGTTGTCTGTGACACTCCTAAGTAGTTGCTTGTGCAATACATGTCAAAGACTTCATTCAAACAAAGACAAGTATATAGAAATAGAATAGGGCTTAATAAACTGTTGACCATCTCAAGTATATGCGAATCATCTATATTAAATCCCAATACCTGGTGATCGGAGTGTGTAAATACAATAAATTGTAAGACCTTGAAGCTTTCCAGGTCCCTGCTATCCAATCTCTGGTGAGGAAAGAGATATTTCCCGGTATGTCTTTCTAACCAACCACTATCTCCTAATCGTTTAAACACCAACTTTGGTAAGGGTAGAACTAGGCGCAGAGCACCAAGATATGAGGGCTGTTGGGCATACGCAGAAATCGGGTTCGGATCTTTGAGGCGCCCTGTTAGCCAATATCTTACATCCACCTTGTTCGAGCTTCCAAAACACGAGTCTCGCTAGCTCTAAAACTCTACCCTGGACTGAAGCCTCACGCCGGTGAGCCTGTCCACGGCGATTGTAAAGTTGTCTCGAAGTACATAGTAGAGAGGTGAAATGGCTTCTCCCTTGACGGCGCCACGCTAAGACATGGTAGTTTGTACGGCATTTTTCGGGGGAATGCCGGCCTTCAAATGCTGTGGATGGTAGACTCTCCGTCTATCGTTCGGGTTCTTTTCAAACCCTCTCTGTAAAGACTTGAACGAGGCCAATAACCAAGCGCAGACGTAGACCTGTGGTATATATGCCTCGGATGTTGCCTTCACATATATTTTCTCCATTTCGTTCTCCCGTCTGCGCAATCGACGTGAACCAGCTTGGTTGTATGATCGGTGTTACCACCCTCGATAACCAAAGCCGTCAATCTCCCGCCCTTTACACATCCTGTATCAAGACCTATGCTGTACTTTTCGACCTGTAGTCCTAGTTTCGCATTATGTCCATATATGACTGTGGTCCGCTCATTTTTGGGTAGCTTGTTCTGGTATTTGTTCCACACCTGGAGAGCCATTAGCAACCATTCAACGAGTCCTGATGCAGCAAGTTTACATACCTTCAACCATACCGTGCCTGTGCCTTCATCACTTGGCACGCCATCCTTTGACATAGTCCTCATGTTCATGACCATAGCGGGATTCTGCTTTTCCAACTCCACGCTTGGAGTTAAGCCTGCATGAACAACGACCACCTCTCCCATATCCCCAATCTTGCCTACCCTCAAAATGACTGGGCAGCCCTTCAACCACTTCATTCTCTCCGGGCCCAGCAGCCTGACCAATGACCTGTCTTTGTAATCTCCGTGGCTGAAACTCTCTTCCTCAAGAGCATCTTCTACCTTTTCTCTTCCCTCGTTCGGGCCTGGCAAATCTGACGTCAGGTGGTCTGCGACCATATCTGCCTGGGCAAGTATAATCCTATCCTCGTGGTTCCCTCTGACGCCCGTCGCGCCCAAACTCATAGCCAGGTCTACCACGCCCGGCGAGTCCGGGCCCTTGGAAATCATATCACCAGCCAAGATCAGATGATCCTTATCCTTATCGAAATCAACCTTTTCCAACAAATTCACCAGCTCGTTCTTCATCCCATGTACATCACCGACGATAACCAATCGGCCCGGGTGTCGGTTCTTGCCTGTCTCGGGAAGATGTTTCGAGGGGAGGTCGAGGACTTGGATCGTGTCGATGAATATCGGCCGCTCATTCAATCCATATTGTCCGGCTTCTGGGTTCTCACCCCCAAGCAGCACATCCTCGGATCCCCATTCCACTACAGACCGGGAAAGCATAATATATACGGTCCATGAGATTCCCAATGCGAGCGCGAGATATATCAGCATCTTGGCTCTCGGCTGCGTCTTCTTCATCTTGATCATCGTCGGCTGTTCGCCCCTGTGCTGAGGCAGTGACGGCATTCGTAGAGCTCTCGACTTCGGCGGGGTGGTTCAGGATCGCGTCGCGCAGAGACTGCCGTGTCGGTGTCTTATCGAGGTCGCAGGCTCAGAGTTTCAATCTTCACCAACCACATCCAGAATGAGTCGATATTCTCTAGAGTGTTGAACTTTTCTTCCTTAACATTTAAACCTCGATGTTCTGTCGTGACGTATGCTTCGAATATGTCGCAAGTTGATATCTTACCCACCTCACTCTGTACGCGGATGGATGACGTCTCCCTCGCTTGGCGTCACAAGCGAAGAAACCCCCTATTCTCACGGGTAGAGGACGAGGCGTATGCAGGATTGAAAGTTATATTGAAGTGCTGCGAATTCAAATATTCTGTGGGCAGTGGCCTGTACCTGAATTTCAAAATTATGCAGGGTTTGCTGAATGAGTCCAGAACGAGTATTGTGACCAATTTATGGGCCAAAGGGCTGTCACGGCCAATTCGGTTGAGAATTCGACGGCGGTAATCGACTAACCATTTGGACTGAGTGATTCAGACATGTACGCTACTTCTTCCAATGTCAGCTCACATTCTACCCAGAAGCTGGTTGTTAATAGACATTAGTCCTTCATCTCTCTACAAGTCTTGTCATATCGTTTTATTTTATTGACGTTCTGTTTTCTTTTTTTTGCTTGCACGTTCACTCTTCCGGGGGCCCTCAACTAGATTGTCAATATCACACTTTTCTGGTTATGACATTATGTCCGCATCATTAGGATAGCATCCGAATATTTAGTCTGATTGACATACCTTAGCCAACTCTATAATCTTTTTAGATTCCCTTATTTCTGCCCTTCATGCCTCAACAACTGCAAGCTTCGACATTTCACGAACGTTAACTCCAAAGAGTTCAGAATGCCTCCCCAACTAGCACTTAACCCCACTAGGGATTGGATCGATAGGTTACCTCACTCATTCTCCGTCATCCATCCCATCCTCGCCTGTGTTGCAGTCCTCGGCATCAAAGCCAACATGGAGAAACGTGGTATTGCGGGGGAAGGTATCTTGCAGGTCTGGTTTCTGCTCTTCTATAGCTGTCTCGGCCTCCTCTCCATGCTTGGCTACTTCAACGGTTATTTCTCCCAGACCATCGTTGTGCTCGACGAAGAAGCATCGCTCACCGAGTGGGTGGACTGCGTCAGAACTAGCATCCGCAACTGGATCTGGACGCACGAGATCATATTCAACTATGTGCCGGATGGAGAAGAAAAGGCTGCCCAACATGAAATGGAGAACTTCGCTGCCTACCTTGCTGATCCGAGCCCCTGCCAAGTCCGCCCTCCCCAGTTTTCACGGAGGTGGAATGCGTTAACAACGGTTCTGTTCTGGGCCGTCACGTGCTACTTGACCCAATATACGTTCCTCCTTTACCAATCTGGGGTCATTTTCGACGGCGTCTCGGGTCCGGCGACTTGCTTTCTTGTTTTCATCCATTTTGGTATCTTGATGTTTGTGGCCATGATGTATCCGGCGGCGAAGAAGGCTGGGAGAGATCATATGATGGGCGTGCTTGGGAGACGAATCAGAAAGCAATGCATCGGATCTGATGAGGAGAAGGGGGGGCTGAGTATGAGAGAGCAGCTGGCTTGGTTTATTGGGGAGTTATTGAAAGAGGAAGATGATTCGGAGGGACTAGCTCGAGAGAGAAGAAAGGTCATCATTAATCCAATCGTGAAGCAAATCAGATGTCCGGCTTCATGTTGAGCTAGCGAGGAAGGATACTCTTCATGTACGCAGTGCGCACACATTTCTGGTTTCCTGTTTAGGTCAGAGATTGTTGGGAAGGGTATATAATGGATGTGGATAGTTGGTATATTAAAGATAGGAAATGGGAGTGAATAGTTTGTTCTGAACTCCTAAGGTATGAAAGTCTAAAGGTGATGATTTGGAGAGCCCCCTGCTAACATGGACCGAAGGAAAAGACCTACGAGCCCAAGTCTCCATATTCCAAGCCCATCGCGACGGAAGCTGTCCTCGAGTGGTGAGAGTTCGACCTCAAATTCGAGTTCAAGCACAAATACTAGTACCAATACAAACATCAGTGCCAGTACTGGGCTGTATCGTCCGAAGAAACGATAACAGTATAAAAAAATATGACAATCATAGATAAAATTCGACAACAAGCAGATGAAATTCGACAATCACAGATAAAACTCTAAGTGGTCCGTCATTGTCTGCCAAGTCCTCTCCGCCCGTCAATTGCTTTATGACCTCATCCATTAGACCCTTCATTTGCGCGTCAAGGGGCCCGCCTCTGCAACACGGCTCTCTGTACGCAGCGACGTTTCTCTGGCTGGGGACACGGCCCGCTCTAAGAGCAGCCATCATGCGTCTCCGCGCATCCATACATAATATCACTTAGGCGCGTCACATACATAAATTCTGCCTTCCATTATGAAGACATGCTGTAAGTCATCGATCTTCCCCTCTTCATAAAGCTTAATTGCAGCCTTGATATTGGTATGCTGTTCTTTGCGTTCAAGGCAGACAACTGCGTTAGTAAACGCGACCACCTCGGTCACTCGCGCCAGGTGTTCGAACGGGATCTGCCCGGCATGTTAGCGAACACTAAAAGGAAGGAGGCAAAAGAGGAAGGAACCTTGTCGTATGTAGACCTCTGCCGAGCGTAGTAGCCACACACTTTATCTCCAGAGGACTTCTTACACTAATGTACGGGAGAACACAACCTCCTTTGTATTTATATCATAGAATAATCTCCTCAGTTTGAGGTTACCCTTGCGAAGAATATAAATATGAAGAAATATTCACCACTAAAATACTATCATATATTTAGTTTGGCATTACCAATCACCTCATTTAGATTTCTGCAAATCTCACCTTATAAACAAGTCCTTCACTTTGCTTGTTGGCTCCATCTCTGGTATTCTCTGCCTATACCCCACCGAAAGAGAGCCATGATGTGATAACTATTGATATCTCGCCCCATATTAATCAGGATAGAAAAAGATTTTCTATGTATCTGCGGAGAACATTGCAGGATCACAAAGGTCACACTGCTCGACGACAATTTGAGACATTCCTCGCAACTTCGAAAGTGTTCGTTTTACTCAATATAGATCTGAGGATTGATTTGATAGGGCGTCTAGAATATTCAGGAATGAGCTTTATAAATTCCCAGAAATTGGAAGGGAATAGTATGTGTGGGTTGCAGAAGATTCTCAGATGGACACTCACAAAGTCACAATCGGCCATGAGCGAGTTTACAGATCCGGGCTCTGTAAAGTTCAAGAACCAGACTTAATCCCCCATTGAGAGTGTTGCTCCCCTTAAATAGTAGATGTGATTTGGTCTGTTGAGGGGTTCCTCTTTTTGTGAACACCTCGAAATCTCCGAAATTTCCTAGCACCGGGAGCCACGCATGTTTTACCAAGCGGTTCGTTGCCTTTGGTACGAGCATGCGGGACTTTACCACCAGAGGCAAATTTCGGCCTGTAGAAGAATCTTTGGCAAAATAGTACGCTGATGAGATCCAAGACCTCGAGGATGAAATTATCAGACATGCCGCTTTCTCGCGGGCAGCTTCCTTGGATCTCCAGTATAGTTTCCTTTTCCTACTTCCCCCCACGGTGGGTTTTGAGATTGAGTAATTTCAAGCTTCGGTCACGATATGAATCATTGAGTTGGGGGAGAAATTCAGGAAAATCAGGAGCCTTTGACATATCAGCCGTGACACAAATTTGCAACCACAGCAATCAAGACACAACCAACGGCCTTGCCGTCGTTGTACCTTGTGAGCTAATCAAAGGCTTCCCGCTGGGGTCCCTCCGCTAGAGCGGTGGTGATTGAAAGACGATTTCTGTATCGCTTTGACAACTCCCTCTTGAGTCTTGAGCATCTTCCAGAAAACACAGGGCCGACTGTCAGCTCCGGACCATCCGAAACCTGGTATGGCACAAAGTACATATAAACATATGGGTAATTGACTCACCTCAAACTCTACCGCACTTAATATTCCTCTTCCCTCCCTTTCATGCCCGTCCTTCTTTGCCCTATTCGATACTTGGGTCTCCAGAGTCGATCATCTCCAGGTTTTCTTCATCGGACGTCCCCGAAACGTTGGCGGAGCCCCACCGTGGTCCAGATCTTTTCCCGCTCCCGCCTGACAGCGGACCTATGGCGTTTTAGGTGCGAACAGCGGGGTTTTCTCCAATCACGTGTCCCGCCATGACCCCGCTACCACTTTTCCCTGCCCCGCTATCAATCGCGTTACTGGGGTCTCCAGGGCTACTCAAGTTCCTTATAAGTTCCAAGGTAAAATCCCATCCTCTTTTTTTCTGCGATCGCTTTTTTCTTGCGCTCGCATTATCAAACAAGTCAATGCGATCAAGCCGGTTATAACATTTCCAGTGAGCGACTTGGAAGTCTTTGCGCTCATTGTGCTCTGGGGAGGAAGAAAGGCTTCGCTGGGTGCGATAAGAGTCTTGACATCATTTCCGACGTCGATATAATACCCTAATTTTTCTTTTAACCACGGCTTCAAGCTCTGAGGCGAGCGTGCCACTTCTTGTATACGCTTCTTCCGACGACGAGGACTTTTGTTGGAGGGTTTCTGGCGAAAGCGAAGGGGAAAGACAAAGCGCTATGGATTCGAAGACCGCAGATACGAAAACCACGGCGATCGAGACGCATGATCGTGCGCTTGAAAATGGAGAGGATTATCGCAGGTCTAGCGATGGATTGGAGATTAATGAACATGGAAATGGGACTACTGAGACGAATAGCGACGAGCTAAGGGCCGCGAATAGCGGAGGAGAAGCCGTCGATGCGGTTGTTCTAGAGCAAGCTATCGAGGCTCTGGAGTCCAAGAAAACGAAATGGTATGCGTATATGACTACGAAGGAGTTTTGGGCTGTGTTGCTTCTTGGGTACGCTCTTTTCTATGTATTCATGGCAGGATACTGATCATCAAACAGACAAGTCCTCGCTCTCTGCATCACAGCAACAAATACATTCTCCACCCTCCTCGTCAACAAGGGAACTTCTATCCCTGCCTTCCAGACCCTCTTCAACTACGTCGTTCTCACCGCTATATACACCACATATACCGTCTTCACCTACGGCCCCAAGAAATACTTCAAGCTCCTCTTTGTCGATGGATGGAAATACATCATCCTGTCGTTTATGGACGTTGAAGGGAACTACTTTACCGTATTGGCCTACCGATATACGAACATTCTTTCCGCACAACTGCTGAATTTCTGGTCCATCGTCTGTGTAGTGATTGTTTCCTTTGTCCTCCTACACGTACGCTACAAATGGGCCCAGATTCTCGGGATCCTGATCTGTTGCGGCGGTATGGGCATCCTTCTCGCATCCGACCACATCACGGGCTCGAACGGTGGCGATCCGCCCACGCAGCTGAAGGGCGATCTCTTCGGTCTCGCTGGCGCAACTTTCTATGGCCTCTCTAACGTCTTCGAAGAATGGTTCGTGAGCAAGAGGCCGATGTACGAGGTCTTGGGCATGTTAGGTTTGTTCGGAATCATCATCAACGGGGTCACGGCTGCGATCTTCGACCGCGGATCTTTCCAATCCGCAACCTGGGACGGGCAGGTCGGTGGTTATATCGTCGGATACACCATAGCGCTAGCCCTCTTCTACTCCCTTGCCCCGCTCATCCTCCGAATGGCATCCGCCGCGTTCTTCGATATATCCTTGCTCACGGGCAATTTCTGGGGCGTTATTATTGGCATTCATGTTTTTGGACAGACGATCTACTTCCTATATCCCATTGCGTTCGTGCTGATCATCTTGGGTTTGATCACGTATTTCCTAGCGGGAAGCATGCTGGGCGACGCGAAGAAACCGTGGCTTGGCAAGAATCAGGAGAAGGGAGTTGCGGGTATAGGGACGGCGAAACTGAAGGCCATTAAGAAGGCAAGACGGGAGGGCATGCTGACTGGAGAGCATGTCGTATAGGTTCGTTGTCTTTTTTGGAATTGCGGGGAAGCGTCGAGTTCAGGAATCGTTTTACATATCTCGTTATATGTTTCGTTTTCATGCCATCTCTTTATATATACCATAATACCACGATCTCAGAATACTTACTAAAGCATCTCTACATACCTGGTCATTATTGAGTTCGCCTCCCCATGCTACTGCCTTGGAGATCCACTACCTAGGTACCTTATATATACTCCACTCCCTTCCCTATTCCCTTCCTAATCGTCAAAAGAGAATAGAGAAATCACTATGGTACAAGATTCCCGAGTCCCCAACTTCGTAGAATACTAAAGTCATCTAATATCTAAGTTACTTTAGTAATTCACCTTTTTGACCGGCAGCTTGTACGTTGTGACAGAAATACGTTTTATCTGACAGAGAGCACACGAAAGATCAACTCTCGTTCCCCCCAATACCTTCCATTAATCACTTTACCTAACTACTTCCTTCACAACAAACACCACGATGTCAACCCCAGACCAGCATGCTTGCCCCAAGCCTAGTTGTAATATAACGTTCGCCAGTGTCCAAGATATCTTCCAGCACATACGGAATTCACATTCCAGTTCAACCTCAATCAAATCACTCTCAGCCTGGCAGTAATTATTCTGCCTGCTCTTAAACGTGCCCAGACACTTCCGCAGAAGAGAAGGTTAGAAAATGCATGTTTATAATAGATGAGAGAAGTCACTGATTATTCGCTTTAGCACTGTCAGAACGACGTGTTAGCCTGAGATTAGGAGTTATTCAAAGGAGGGTTGAGATGTTGAGGTTTACTCCTCAATATCTAAGTAAGTCCTTTATGCAAGACTTCTGGCTTCCTAGAATACTCGTAAACTAAGTCTCGGGCGGAAATAATGCAGCAAATTCTGGCTCAGATACCTTTTCAAGTTCGAATCCCGATGAAAGTAGGTCCACAAGTATACCTCTCGAACACAATGGGGCTCACGATACTATTCCTTAATCCAGCTCAGAGCTCAAGCCATGGGGACCCCTTTTTAAGCGAGCCCCTACCTAACCAATTATTTCCTAAAACAGAAATCTCATACCAAAGCTCAGCTCCCACGATGCAGAATAATGAAGGAGATCGGGTATATGCATATTTTAAAACTATGGGAAGAAAGTAAGATATGTCTGTGGTCTCTCTATATTATCTTAATAATGGTTTCAAGGATTGGGCTGGCTACTTGAATGATTAGTTGTTGGAGCGAAGGTTAGAGTAAGGTAAAAAGGGGATGATGGTTCTATGAATGGAGAAATGCTTGGGTCTGAGACTGTGAAGACTATTTTATTGAGGCATAGCTATCAAGCAGGTCCTACGCTTTGAACATCTGGGACCAAACGCTCCATCAAGTCGTTTTTGGAATTTGGAATGTAGTTGTGACCCTATGAACACTCGACCTCATTGTATTCCCTCAGAATCAAGTAAACTAACAAGAGCCAAGACCTAGACCCCATTTTTAATATCCATTTCTCAATCATCAAAAAAGTCATGACTCAGGACTCAGGGGTTCACCCATCAAAAACCAGTTCCTCACGTACTACCCATCTTTTTATCTATAAGGAGACCACTACCAAGCTACCTTAGCCAGCAGCCCCCGAGGCCACCTACGCACAGCCCACTTTCTCGCCTCATCTAGGAAGAGAAGACCCAACCCAAATGCCACCGGTAGGAAGAAATGTTCTGCCGGGACTCGGCTCGTGGCGAGCACCTCCTGCAGCTTCGGGATATAGAGCCAGAAGATGGCCATAACGAGGGCAAATGCTATAGCTGGAAACAGGTACAGGTTTTGTGTTGCTTTGTTGAATGCCGGTGGGTGTTGGAAGATGCTGAGCCGGCGGGTGCGGAGAGCCATTAGGGCGAACCACTGCATGACGACGAGGTTGACAAAGTATATACTGGAGGCTTCGTTGAGAAGGGAGGTAGATTCAGCCTGGTCGATGGTTGGGGGTAGATTACCGTAGCCAAACCAGAGGTAGCTGAATCGGATGCCGTTCCGTTGGAGATACCAATAGGACATGGTGAAAGACATCGTGGTTTCGAAGATTCCGACTGCGCCGTACGATTGCAGCAGTAGTTTCCAGTCCACAAGGCGGTCGACGCCGGGTTTGCGGGGCCTGCGGAGAAGGACATCGGCCTCTGGAGCTTCGTATGCAAGGACGGTTGCGGCAGCACAATCTGTGAAGCAGCTTTGGTGTTGTCAGTACACGAGGACTAAAGGAAGATGTGGTAAAACCTACCAGATAATAATCATCAGGAAAGAAGACAGGACTTGCGGTAGTCCAAAGATGACACTAGTCATAACAGGCCAGAACTCCGAGAAGGAACCGGCCGGAAGCAAGTATGCAATCGTTTTCTTCAAGTTGTCAAATACTACCCTGCCATACTGAACAGCCTGCACAACTGCACCGAAGGACTCCAAGAGTACCATGTCAGCTGCTTCAATAGCGATATCCGAACCGCTTCCAAGAGCAATACCAATATCGGCAGCCTTGAGAGAAGGGGCATCATTAACGCCGTCGCCGGTCATACCAACAATCTCACTGCGAGATTGAAATTCCCTCACAATCCGGAGCTTCTGCTCTGGGGTTGTGCGAGCGAAGACTATCTCGTCATATTTGCATAACTGATCCCACTGATTGTCGTTGAGGGTTATCAATTCAGGGCCGCTTAGAACAATTGAAGACGTAGTGGAGTTGGAATACTCCTCGATTTTCTTCTCATCGTCGGATACAGTAGTTGGGCTGATGCCATCTCTGGAAAGAGCGGAGATGTTGTTAACCATATGTGGTGGGGCTGTGATAATGCCACATTCAGCTGCAATGGCTTGGGCTGTGAGAGCGAAGTCTCCAGTAACCTATTTATATATTAGAGCAATAACCTAGAGATATTATGCGACATACCATGAATATTCTGATACCCGCACCGCGGAGCGTCGATACAACATATGGGATCTCGTCACGAGGCGGATCTACAATACCAACAATGCCGACCAGTGTAAGGCCTGATTTAGCATGATGCATCACTTCATCTTCGAACTCGGCAGATGCAGGCGCAGCTACCATAGTCTCCTTGTAAATTACCTTTCGTGCCAGAAGAATCACCCGCTTGCCTTGGGATGACCATGTATTCTTGATCTTTTCGATGGTGGTACGTGTAGCATCGTCGAGAACCTTGGTCTCACCATCAATAGATATATACTTAGAGCATCGGCCTATCAAGACATCCGGTGCTCCCTTAATAGTCAGAAGACTATGGCCATTAGTATAAGTATTTCTTTACAAAGCCTTGCGTACTTACATATCATCAGGACGGAAGGTAGCGGCTTCGGTAGACGGTAAAGCCAATTTCAGGCCTTCTTCCTCTGCTAGAGCCAATACTCTAATCATATACTTATTTTTGCTGTTGAATGCAAGTTCGAATGTTTTCTTCCACATTCTTCGAAGCTCCGAGACGGATCCTAGAGATTCTGATAGTCTTAAAACAGCTTGATCGGTAGCATCTCCGTTAATCTTACGGTCATGAAGAGGGAGGTGTTGTGATGCCGCATCAAATTCCCCTGAGTTGCAGAGGCCTGCAATTGCTCGTAATTGGTCAACAGCATTAACACCATTCCCTTCATGGCGACGTTTTATCATTTCATCTCTTGCCGATTCAGGTGTCATATTATGAGTTCCGATGCTGGTTTCAGTAACGTACATTTTGTTCTTGACGCCACGTTAGCAGCTGAGGTAGGAGAGGAATCATTTATACTCGCTTTCGTGAGGGTTCCCGTTTTATCAGAACAAATAACGCTGACAGATCCGAGGGTTTCCACAGTCTTCAGAGATTTGCAAAGAATTTTGTTTTGTCGCATAACATTTGCAGTAATGGTCAAGGAAGCAGTCAGGGCAATCGGAAGACCCTCAGGTATAAATGCAATAGCCACAGAGACACAGTTAACGATCAATGTTGGGACATTGATCCAGTCTGGGTGTTTTCGGCGTAGATAGGCAGCCCTAGAAGACTTAGAAGCGGTATATCGTGACAGAAGTGGACCTTACCAGACGATGATCACAATAAGGATCATGGTGAACATGATAGAACATATAAAAAGCACAAAGTTGAAGATTTCTTTTTCCAAGGGAGTAAGGCCAGTCTTTGGTGTGTTGGTCAGTTTTGCAATCCTGCCAAACACAGTATCGTCACCCGTAGATACGACTACTCCGATACCACTGCCAGATATGCAATGTGTTCCTTGCATGCCAATGCACTTTGTTTCAAGGTAATTCTCATCAGTGCTGTCGACAGTGCCGGGCAGTGGAAGTGACTCCCCTGTAATACGTCAGTTGTTGATCGCAAGCTACAGACTGAGGCAACACGTACCGGTAAGAATAGATCGATCAAACTTCGCATCAGATGAAATCTCAACAAACCTTACATCAGCTGGCAACTTATTCCCAGATTTGATGTAGAGGATATCACCAGGGACGATCTCACTTGCCACGACAGTTATCTGTGCCCCGTCCCTAAGGACCAAACAACTATCAGGAAGCATGGTCGTGATTGAGGCCATAACCCTAGATGAAGACCAGTCTTGCCATGCGTTGAAGCCTGCCTGAATAAAAAATACTGCCAAAAGAACGATCGCAAGTGCCAAGTTCGCAGTCGAGGGTGGTTGACCGAGAGGTTTCCACGATACAAACACGAGAATAGAACCGACCAAGAGAATAGCTCCGAAACCTTTGAAGAAATACCCAAATATCTGTTGGAAGTAGTGTGTCGGCGGAGGGGATGGCATGTTCTTGCCATATTCGCCGAGTCTTCGTTTGACTTGATCTACTGAGAGACCTTGACTAGGAGAGACGGATAGACGAGTGTATATTTCGTTGGGAGATAATATGTGCCAGTCGATTGTTTCAAATTCTATTCGGAATTCAGATTAATGATGAGGCAAGAGGGCACTGGAGACGTACCTCTTGCAATAGAACTCTTTGCTTTTTGTATCTCTGCTGCACCTTTTTCTTTGCTCTCGGCGATTTGGTAAGAGACTGTGCGATATTCGATTGGGAGAGCGGATGATGGATCTATGGAACCTCTTCTGCTATGTATGCTGCTGATAGAAAAGCTCGAATTTGAACGGTGAAGTGGAGGTTGCCTTGGCGCAGCTTCAACGTCGACGTCAGTCCACTGAATCCGTAGATCCTGTGTCTTCGCTTCTTCACATTTGACCATTTTGTCTTCTGTAGTTGTTCCGCGATTCTGAGACTGGGCGAGGATAAAGAGGAGCATAACGAGTAGCGTTGGGCTATAAGGCTTATCTACACTACTGCAAAAAGACTGGGGATGGGGGGGTTGAGAGGAGGCGAGTGACTGCGAAGAGGTGAAGGTCGATATGTGGGAAAGACGATCAGGATATGAAGTGTTAAAGCCCTTGCCCAAAGTTTGCAAGTTATGTCTTCATTTAAGAGCAAGACAACAAAAAGAGAAGAGGAAGTCAAGGTTTTAAACTCCCGCAAGATCATCTAACCATCGTTACGGTAGATTGTGATTCCAACTGGCCTTGATCACCAACATTACCTTGGCGGGTGGAGCTACTCTTCCAGACTGACAGCTTAACAGCTTGACAGCTCGAGGACACAATGACATACGGGGTATAAAATCCCGCATAGAGACAGTAAATTGAAGCTATGCTCAATAATGACCAATTTACAAAGAAGCAATCTTTATTCGTGACTGGGTGGATGGTATTACGTTATGAGGGATTGAACTACGTGTGCCAGAATAGCCAGATGCCACCCTCACTAGAGTACTGGCAACCAGGAGGTTTGAAAAAATCGCATTGATTTCTTTCTCCAGTCATCACCGTTGAGCCGGCTAATTTACTGACACGATGTACCGAGTATTATTGACGTACAATCTGACCTCCAGCCGCCCAATATGAGGATGCCGTGTGAAAACAAATCCCTCAGCCGAATCTGAGCCGCTGGCCTAGCCGCCAGGGTAACTAACAAGTTTTCTTTTCACAGCCTTCAAAAGCCAAACTCGAAGAAGAAACAAAGCTGCATTGTGCGGGGGTATAGAGAATATTTTGATAAACTTGACAAAAACATTCAGTAAAATCCCGCAAGAGATCCTTGGCAGCGACACGGCACGTGGTAATTTCCCTGTTCTTGAGGATGGAATATATCATCTGGGCCTACCTGTATTTGGGTAGATAGAATGTGAACGCAGATACTGATAAGGTAAGGTATGTTGGTTTAGACTGAAGTCTGTTGCACAATGTCGGGTAGATTCTGTCAGCCTCTTTCAAAAGAAGCCGTTGAGAAACATCGGCCTCGCTTAGGTAGGGGACCGACATCCAACGTCGATCCTGGCGCTCTTCGTAAGAAATTTCTTACCGAGAAGTTGTGACATGACACATTGTAAGCATAGTCTGGTTTACATAAAGAGGTGATTCCAGTTACGCGATCGTTCGTCTGAAGATACTCTGGAATGTTGTCTTCTGAAGTACGGATAGACAAATCCGCGTAACGACCGAAGGGGTTATCCCGCAATCCAAGTGTGTATGCCATTGAAGTCGAATCAAATGCGAATCCCATTCCGGAATGAAGCTGCAGCAACGAGGCTAAGTGCAGGTGCAAACTGACCATCGGCATTGGATATAGATCATATAAGGGACCTTGAGGGCATAGGGCTTGCCAGGCAAGTTCCATAGTAGCGAGGCTGTCACTAAGACTAGATACTGTCCAAGATATTTCGTATTTCTGAAAAGATTCTAGTCTTTCAATCGATGTTGGCCTTATTCGAAGAAGATGGTGTTCCAGCTGAGTCCTGAGTCCTGAGTCCTGACTGAGAGTGCCGATACACTCTTCGAGAGCAAAGCCATAGGTTTTTGGAGCGTTGGATCAAGAGACAATGGGTCGAGCCACTCATGGGTAACAAATCAGATTTTGTCAACTCGGATGACGGATTCGGGATGTTTATATCTCCTCTTCTTTCGGAATATATTAGCACGTTCACCATAAAAGACCTTCGATATTTGAAACGAATTCATCAAGGAAAGCATTTGGGACCCTTGATAGCAAAAAGATACTCTTCTTCATCGGTAGGAGTATTGCACACCCCTTTAGACCCGTCGGGCCTCTACTCTACTCAATATTGCTCTAACGGGGGGTCACCATCGATTAGAGCCTTCATAAACTTTGCTCTCTACTTGAAAAAATATACAGTTGCGAGACAGAGAATATTGGAACGCCAATTTCTAGGGAGGATTGTTTTATCTTCTGATATGAAATCCTATGTATGTGATAGCAAAATGGCGACCTACCAAAGTTGCATCTCATCTCAATAAGGTAGAAAGGGGGTTGATCACGTGAAATGTTCACAATGCAACCATCTAAGTGGGAGTAGATAAACACTTTCTATATATCAACTTGTAATCTTCTACTATACATACTCAAGTTATATACCCAAGCAAGCGTAGGATAGATAATCTTAAAGATCTCGTAGAATCGCTATACAAAGGTAGGTATGCTAAAAGCAAAAGGGCTCGTCACATTCCCAAGCCATAGCGTCCTCTCACTTCCTCCTTTCTTCACAACACCCATCCTCAAATTCACTCTTCTCCCTCCCTTAGACCGTGACCGATATCGTCAAATACGCAAATTCGTATTCAAACCAGTCAAACTGTCAAGGCTCATCTTTTGAACCCCTTCTTCTTAACGCAGCCTGTTAACTAACATCTCTCATCTAGATAGAAGATACACACTCATTTAGTTTCTTGATTTTCCACCCATCTCATCTCTCACGACCAAAAGAAAAAAAGAAAAATCAATCTAGGCTTTACCGTCCCCTAAAGCTAACACTACTCCTAACGAACCAAAAAAGAAAATGAAAAATTAAAAGTAAAAGAGCAAGTATGAATGATAGTATACTATCGAGGCCGCGTGGGGGTATCAACGAATCAAATCGCTCTTTATTGATTGTTGATTGTACAGGATAGAGGGTAAGTGATCAGATTTCCTTGTGAGCCTTGACAGCTTTACAAACAATTTTTTACCCCTAAATACTTGCCTCCTTTGTTTGGGAAGGGAAGGGGTGCATGGGTGCCTATTCGGGTTTGCTGGGTCGATGATCTAGGCAGGACATTACTGATTTGTAGTCGTTATCAAAGTGGCAATGCATGCCTCGTGTCCTGAAGGACAGCGTATTATTTCATGCAATGAGCCACTACTCTGCTGTTCTGCTTTTCAAGTCGAGTAACATGCGTCAAATCCACGAGGTTACAGCGAGACAGGTCAGAAGCATTTCGAAACAAGATGGTATCAAGGTTATGTCATTCATTTCTGTATGAGCTAATGTCATGCAATTAATCCGTATTCCTTCCCACTAGACGCCCACGTCCAGACCACCCCAAACGCCATAAAAGCAAGAGTACCGTTTGACATTCCGACATTCCACCATATCAGCCAGCTCAGATCCCATTCTGCGAGGACCATCCCAAACGTAAATCCAATGTACCCCTCCCGTAAACAGGATGCTAGACCGTCTGCAATAGACTATCAAAGGTAACAGATGCACATCAAAATCCAGCAGTACCGAGCCATCGTCGAGATTGTGATCGAATAGTGGTGAGCTGGCTGAGATGGGGCGAGTATGTGAGATGATTTAACCACCGAAACCGTAGAGGGTACGGCCTTGACGCTTGAGAGCGTAGACAACATCGAGGGAGGTGACGGTCTTGCGCTTGGCGTGTTCGGTGTAGGTGACGGCATCACGGATGACACCCTCAAGGAAGGTCTTGAGAACACCACGAGTCTCCTCGTAGATCACTGAGACGCGTCAGTACACTGGTATGGGGAGCGCGACGCGACGAGGGCAGTCACTTACTGGCTGAAATACGCTTGACACCACCACGACGAGCGAGACGTCTGATAGCGGGCTTGGTAATACCCTGGATGTTGTCACGAAGAATCTTGCGGTGACGCTTGGCTCCTCCCTTGCCAAGACCCTTTCCACCCTTTCCGCCTGTAATGGATCGCGTCAGTATAGTTCATGATCAAAGGCGACGACGAGGTGCAAGAAAAAGCGCGATGTTGTTGTGAGGTTGAGGTGGAGGTTGAAGTCGAAGTCGCGTTCTATTGGTTGGTCGACACGATCCATGATGCGAACAGCAAGACAGGGGATCTCCGACCGAAGAGGCGACGACGATGACAACAATGCGCGTACACAAGAGATAGAGAAGAGTACTTACGGCCAGTCATGTTGAAGGTGTTTTAGAAGTAGTAAGGAGTTGTTTGGTGATGAAATAACGCGTCTTGTAGACGGATTTGATGGAGTTGTAGATGGAGGTGGGATGATGTGACGGATATTGGGGAGGTGTAAGAAGTAAGAAGAGAGAAAGACGGCGAGGGAAGAAGCGAGTTTAAAGAGGGCGAACTGGTGATCTGGAAAGGGCCTTTTGCAAAACGTGGCGCTAGTCCCGAACGAGCGAGCGTTTTTCAAAGGGCTGACTTTCGAGTGATTTCCTCAGCAGAAAGTCTAAAGTTCCCAGATCACTCGGCACGGGCGCTTTCCAGTTAACCGCGTTTTGGGCCTCTGCTCGCCCAGGGGGTTTGGCCTGCCTCGGCTTAAGCGAGCAATAGCGCGTCTCGTCTCTCGCCCCTCATCACAACAACCCGCCGCGTCCACGAAAGCTCCATATTGCCTCTTCTTCCCACCTTCACACTTTTCTGGATCCTCCATTGGAACACGTTGGCATAATAACATCACCATCCTCTCTCTTATACTACGATCGATCTGTCGACGCGGATCACGGAGCATTGACCCCTTGGACCTGGATATGTTCTACTCGTACGAATCCAGAGGGGTTGTCAGAGAGTTGAGTTCATGCCTTGCTCTATCACGACAGGAACAATGATTAAAACCCCCTGGCTTCTTGCCTATTTCTGTTTGCTCTTTCTTCTAGTCCCCCACTTCCAGCTGTTTCATTAGTGCATATCTCGACGTTAAATGGCTACAAGTGCAAGCAAGGCGACATTCATCAAGATCGTGACCCAGTCTAGTCAGGACGCTCCAATACTACACACGATTTCGATATCCTATATGCCTCGCATTTGCCCTAACGGTTGATGGCTACGCGTTGTGTGGATATATTGGGGGGCTTGGGAGGATAGGAGATAGTTCTCGACGGAGCAGATGATAAGGAAGTCAAGAGACATTTGGATTCACATGGTTTGAAACATAATTGTGGGAGGGCCAGGTTGAGCCGTCAGGTCAGCTACCACTTGTTACTTGTTGGAAGTATCGACGAGGGCACGGAGATCAATCAGACAGACACAACCTTGGATAAGGGAGAAAATGTGTTGGATAAGAGGGGTCCGTTACGAATTAATCCCGCGGAACATGGAAGATTCCATTCGGTTTCTGGGACAGGAATGATCGAGGCGTTCGAGACCTTAGCCGATTGAATTTGATGAATTCCAAATCCAAGATGTCAGAACAGGGTCAATAACGAATTTCGTTCTCGCCCTTATGTACTGAATCGTCCTTCCATTCTGCTGGCCACGTCTGCCTGCTCATTCTCATGCATCGACGCTCACCCATGATATTATTTATATGCCGCTTCCCTCAACGTCTGTCCCTAATCATTGTAAGATCAGTCCCTCGAGATAGGCGTTCGCCGCCCATAGATAGGATTCAAAGTCGGGCCCGAGAATCATATCTGAGCTCCAACCGTGTAGGCCACGATAGACAGACATCCTGCAGTCATTTCGTACCCGCATCTAGCGAAGATAGCGAGAAGTTATCCTCAAATCCGCCACCCCAAGAGCCTCTAGGCATCCATGAAGTATTATATCGCCTCGCGCCTTCTCAGCCTTTACAAATACTTCTTCCCTGCAGCCGCTACCCTGCTTCTAAACACCGGACTGCGGACCGGCATATTGACCTGATAGAAAGGGTTCATAATGGTCTTAACCCAGTTTTCGTAGACTTCTGTGAAGAACTGCTTGATGGCCTCTTCGGTCTGCGGCGATGTGGGGTTCGCAGCTATCGATGTGCTTGCTCGAGTCGTGGTTGAGGAAGCTGGCTGAGAGGGCGCATGAAGGAGGAGGAATTTGACATCTGATTTCGTCAGTAGAAGTTGCATGGCGAGTGAAGAGGAGGGGGATGGGTAGTTAGCCTTACTGCCGCCAGTCATCCAGCAGGAGACATAGTTATTGTAGAAGCGATCAATACACTTGAGATACCTCCCAAAAAGTCAGTAAATACAAGAATTCAGGATAAGAAGTCAGCGTACATCTGCCCATGGCCCCATTGCACCTCCTCTACGATATCCAGACTGCTATGCACGATGAACTGATTCATATGCCGAGCCTGCTCCGGGAACCGCGCAATCCCATCTCCGCCCTGCTTCGCAGTGCCAAACTCATATTCGAAGAGAGGGTTATCCTGCGTGCCAATTATGGCAAAGTAATATGACATCTTTGTCTCCGTTCGTCGAGTCTGAGGTCTGGATGTTGCGCGGTGGAGTTCGCGGAAGATGGAGCGACGCGAGCGCTGATTGGACGCTTTGTCTCCGGCCTAGGGTCGATTATTTTCTGAGCATCGTTCGACGACCACCTCCTGCAAGGCCAACATCAACAAAATGTTCGGAGCTTTCAGACCTACGAACGCACTGTCGGGCGGTCTTCTCTGGTAGGTTATAATCATCTCTATTCAATTGATGCGGTTAGGGCTTTGCTGACGGTGATTCGTGAAATAGGAAGATCCCATGGCGACTCTCGAAGTTCCAAAAGGCACGACAACGGAAACGTCTCCGCGCTGTTGACAACGTGGTCGCAGTTGTGGATAGAGCTCTGGCTAAGCAGGGTATTACTACGAAGGCTGTGGAGAGATGGAAGGAGGAGATGCCAATTGAGCAGGAGATGCTGCCGAAAGACAAATACACCATTTTCGACCGGAAGGAGAAGAAGTATAGAAAGGGCATCCATAGTGAGTTCCCAGAGAGTAATCATCTGCAAGGTCGGAAGTATGCTAATGAGATGGCAGAGCTGCCGAAGTGGACCAGAGTGTCGCAACGAATCAACCCTCCCGGTTACTGAGCAGTTGGAGCATTTGGACGAGTGTATCATACTTGGGATGTAGAAGTATGCATGGGCGGCGTTATGGAATCAATGTATATCAGATGGAATTCCCTTGCACAAGAGCTCGTGTGTGTTCGAGTCAACCATGATTGGACTGGAAACAATTTTTCCGTAATCTCATGAGTAAAGGTGAACCCAAGATTTTCCCAGACGCCTGAACACCTTTTAGAAAGCGTCTAAATTTATCTACCCTTCCCATATTCCTCTTCTTCCTTCATTCTCTCCGCTTGGATTGCTCTGCCAAGACCTCCTCTACCCTAAAAGATTGCAGTCAGTATTTGTATGCACTCACGAGTTTTGTTTTCAATACCTCATCATATTCCTCCCGGTACTCATCGCGCACTTGGCCGCCAGATTTTCCCCTTCCATATTGCCTTCCCTCCTGGAACCCAGGATCTAAATCTGTCCGAATGATGCGCTCATCAAGCTTTGTACCACCGATGTATTTCATGCAGTCGAGCGCATCCTGATGCGTATAATATTCAACAAAGCAGAATCCACAAGGTGTCTTGTTGAACCTATCCAATCCCATAATCAAGCGCTTGATCTCACCGCATTTCGCAAAGAGTTCGTGAATCTGCTCTTCAGTTGTGTAGAAGGACCTGCATAAGGCGTGAGCTCTAGCTTGACAAGGCAGAGACAAAGGCGGCTTACAGGTTTCCCACGTAAAGGGTAGTAGCATCTTTTAACGGATCTTCAGCTGGCGCCTCCGGTGTCCTCTCTCTTCCATCCTCAGGGTCTCTGTCGTACTTGCGCTTCCTGTTCTGGAAGGGAGGGTTCATTGTCAATCCTGCGCTCAATTCCATGAGACAAAAAAAGGGTCGCATAGCTTACTCTGTTCTGGTAATAAGCACTTGGCTTATCCAGCCGCTCAACAGTGTTTCGTACTGCGCCTGGCATTTTTGTGGTACTACAGTCGGGAGTTAAAAGAAAAGCTGCTTGAGTTCTTTGAGAGCTGTTTCGCGACGCGCTAGCGCTTCCCTTTGGCACGTCAACCCGAGAAAATGTGAGCTCGGCCCATCCCTGTCAACAACTCCAACTCACCACATCACCAACCTGCCAGCAACCAACTCAGCAGCAGTCAAGTTTACGTTCCTCTCGAATTGATAGTCCATGATCTAGCCATAGATTCAAAAAGGTTGCAAAGCTTCCCGAAGCTCTGAAGGCGGCTGGGCTATAGGCTTCCAAAATGCCAAAGGTCCTCAATTACACCCCAGCTTGGCTTTCCAAGCCAAATCCTGGCCATGAGATCTTTGTTCCCTCAGCCAAACAATCAGATTCCTCGTCTCTTCTGGTGGGTTCAAATGGCAAGAGAAATGCAAAGCCTGGTCCTCGTCGAACGATTGCGCAGAGGGGAACGGAGGTGTTTATTGCCGTTGGAAAGGAGATTCGATGGGCCGATCTTGTTTACTTGAAGGAAGCGTGGGAGGACAAGCAGCAAAGAGAGAAAAGTTCTGGGAAGGGAAAGGATACGGATAGTCAGTATGGAGACAATCATGCCCAGGGCTATCGGGTATGTCTCCAAAGGTCCCCTCCCTTACTCGCAAAATGCTGATTTCCCCAGACTATCAAAACTACGGTTGCGGACGATATACGACAGTTGATAATCTCTCCGAACGCCAACTATCTTGCGATCCTCACTACACATACTGTTCATATTGCCATCTTGCCTGAACCGTCACATCTCACAGCTCCTGATACGGGGCCAATGAAATTGAAGACATATACCTTGGGCCCGACGACTCATGTAACATCACAATCCGGGATAGTTTCTGCCCTCTGGCATCCTCTTGGGGTAAATGGCACATGCTTGGTAACAGTGACAGAAGATGCTGTAGTGCGAGTATGGGAGTTATCTACAGCGGACCGTTGGTCTTTTGATCGACCAACACTTGCTATCGATCTCAAGAAGTTAGCCGACGGAACTTCTGCGGATCAAGATTTTGGAGCTTCAGGATCTGGTATGAACAAAGGATTTTCTCCGGACTCCTTCGAGATGGAGGTTGCATCTGCATGTTTCCCTGCCAGAGGGTCTGGAGGATGGTCTCCAATGACACTATGGATCGCTATGAGAGAAGGAGATGTGTATGCGCTGTGTCCCCTATTACCCGAGAAATTTTCTCCGCCTCCAACACTGATACCCTCGCTATCTGTTTCAATTGTTGCAAAGATTGCGACGATTGAAGATGATCCAGAGGTATCGCAGAAAAGCAAACTTCTAGCTCAACAACAGCTAGCATGGATGTCTGATATCGACATGCAAGAACCAGTGTATATTGAGGCTTCACTCGGCGAACCAGCTGCGGAAGTTTACAATAGACCAAGCAAGCCTGGCCGTATACCAAAACTTCAAGGCCCTTTCGATTTTGATCTAGCTCCTGAGGAATCTGAAGATGAGCTCGATAGTCTGCTCAGCGATATTTATGTCATTGGCCCCAAAGTTGATGGGGATGAGTTGATGCTAGGAGAAGAGGACGAACTCGAATTGGACGATGGTGATAATGATGCAGGACTGTCCATGGGTATAGTTTGCCTCTCCGCGAGTAGTGGTCGAGTTTCTATTTGCTTGGACCTGGATGGAGTCGAAGCACAATGGTTGCCAAGATCAAAGTCTAAGACTTCGCGATTCATTGAGGATGAGGATCCTCCGTCCTTATTGACGTTTCAAGTTCTCGACACACTACGCGACGGGGAGGTGTGGGATGGCAATTGGCCCATGTTCAGTCTAGACTATGACTCTCGGTATTCCTTCTACATTACCGATACTTCAAGCATCACCTTCATGTCGCTCACACCTTGGGTATTTCGCCTAGAGAGTGAGTTAACAGAAGGTACAGCCGGTACTGATTTCAGAGTTGAACTCCTTGCCAAGGGACAAAACACAATTCGCGAGCGAATTTACACCCAGAAAGCAGATGATCGATCAAGTCCACTGGCCGCAAGTACCTTAATTCGCGACCCTGATCTTGGATGCTTTCTCCTTACTGCAACTCCACACGGTCCAATCTCTGTGTCCTTCGAGGCGCCAGATTTTGAATACGACCTTATCCGTCGATCCCGATCGCCAACTTACGATTCAGAGCCTGACAAACCTCTGACTTTGTATGAGCCCAGACCAGTGTATCAACCAGCCCACAGTTTCGAGGAAAGTTCTGCTCTGCCATCTCTGCTGGAGAAGTTAAGGCATAGCAAATACAAAAGGCTACTAAAGGAGGAGGTTCGATTATCACCAGCCACCCTTACGATTATGACGGATGCCCATAAAGTCCTCAGTGAGGAGACCCATCGCATTGGAACGGCCGCAGCAGAACTTTTCAGACGATGTGAACGCTTACAGATCGAATTACGGAATCAGATTCAGAAGGCAAATGATGTCGCAAATCGAGTGGAAGCCATCACTGGCACAGACTTTGATGACGAGGAGCCAGCTATGACAAATAATGAAGTTCTGGAGCAACGCATCCAAGCAGCGAAGGATAACCAAAAGAAGATCACGGAAAGAATAGAAAGGTTGAAGAAACTGCAATCGAAAGGAACGAACCGGGAATTGAGTGACAAGGAAAAAGCGTGGATAGATGAGGTTGCTCTAGTAGAGAGCAAGATCACTGATAAAGGGGAAGATGCTCCAGAGGGTAATGGGAAAGAACCGTGGAGTCGATATGCCGAGGTCATGTCGTTGAAGGAAGATCTGTTGGAGCAGGCCAAGGAATTAGCTGTGGCGGAGGAGCCAGTCGCTTCTCCCAATCTGAAGATACCGTCTGAGATCCGGAAGGCGAAGATAGCTCAGGTCATGAGTTTGTTAGATCGTGAAACAGCGTTGGTGGAGGGAGCGAGAAGTCGACTGGAGAGATTGAGCATGGCGTAGATACCTCTTCAAATGTATTGGTCTGGATAGCGTCACAGTCAATAATCATGTATAAGTATTATGTAGGGCGTTCGCAATATCGAAATTCGAGGATTGGGTATCAATATGCCCGAATCACAAGGCTATCTACCTTGCGTTTATATATTGCTGCTTACTGATGGTGGAGATGGTAAGTGTTACAAAAATAAATCCGATGTGATCCATCATAGATCCTACTTCGTCTATATTCGTCTCTTCACTTTGGAGGCTTTGTCAGACATCACCTGAGTTGAGGAGAGGAGTGCATTGTCTCAACTATTAACTATCTTATACCCCTGACTCCCTTATTATCACCAAAGATCCTTCACCGTGATCAAGGACATCCTTATGACCTGATTGTGGAATTGGAATTTCAGACGGAAAGGAGATGTGAGGCGGCAGAAGAGAGTTACAAGCTGTCAATTTGGGGAGCTAGAAGGCTCAAATTGAGTCCAGGAGCAGGTGTTGGGGTCTGCACTGATGGATAGGGGGAATCGGTATTTAGGGGAAGTCTAAGGAGCATATGGTAGTGGTTGGCTGATTTATGAGGGTGAGTCCGCAAGGAGTGGGAGGGGAAGGGGCCTAGGCGGTCAAAAGGGGGTAAGGGGTGTTTTGGGCGTTGCGTTTAGAGAACGCTTATTACTTGGGATCTGAGGAACTTGGCTCTAGGAGAAAGCCAAAACAGAGATACTGATAATGGCTATTCTCTTTACTTGATTACAGTCCCCAAGCGTACGTTCAACACTGGCTTCTACGGATATACATTGTATAATTTGATATCTATATCTCCCGAGCTAATCAGAATCTATGAGATCTGGTATTTGGAGTTGGGAAGCCCTGTTCATCCGCAGACTCGGCGCGTATGAGATCTGCGGGACGGTGGTGGCTGACTGATAGACAGTGGCAATAATCGAAGGAGCCTATAAGACTTCCTTGACCGACCATCAACAGGTCGTGAACTGAAATGAGATTTGACTTGAATATTTAATGTCAAGTCTATCTCGTTATACCATTGCCGCAAATTATATCGACTCTCGCGAAACATCTATCTCCTCCTCTTCGACCATGCTTCTATAAAATCTGCCTTATCCCTTACGGTCAATCCCACTCTCTTGACCCGCCCCAAACGTGCTAAGGCCTCGCCGACTGTGTCTAATACTTTTCTTTCTTCAGCACTTATCTCCCCTGGGTCGCTAGAGCTGACCAATGAATCTGTGCTGCTCGCCATGGCTGAATCTTCTGCTAAGTTGTCTAAAACATTTGTTAAAAACCTGTCCTTCTTCTCCGCGGTTTCCAATGGCTTCGAAGTGTTGTAGACAGCCCCCGCAATACGCACTCGAATACAGTGCGTTGGGTGGGACAGAAGATTCCACACGAAGGTCCAATACTGCCCCGGAACTGGCGTGGTGATGTCCGAAGGTGTATATCGGAGACTGATGGGGAAGATCTTTGTTTCCGGCGGCACAGTCAAGAGACTTGGGCTAAATGGAAGTATCCCTTTTCCATTGGTTGTCGTACACTCCGGGAAAACCACAATCACTCGGTTTGGGTGTTCTCTAACCAAAACCCTCAGATCCGTCAACTTTGCCCCTTTCGGTGGATATTCTTTTGGCTTCGAGAGAGCGCGGAAGATTGCACCCAAGAGGGAGAGTTGTTCCACCTGGCGCGTGTGTGGATACGAAGCTGTAAAGATGGGATCAAATATGGCCGCGAGGTATAGGGAGTCGATCGGCGATGTAAAGGAGGATGCGATGATATCTGGAGGTTGAGGTACTCGTCCCTCGCGTTTCTTTGCCAACGAACCCTTCTTCACTCCATCAATCTGGAGATCAATCCACCATACACCTGGTATCCCGAGTATCATCCACAGGATAGCCTTCTTAATCAGCGACCCAAGGGGGAACCATTGCAAGACGGCGAAGTATGCAACGGATACGGTGATGAAGAAGGGCAGTTTGCAAAGGAACAGGAAGATGTGGAGAGGCAGGTAGATTCCCGCAGGCTCCGAGGAGACAGGGAAGAACGGGGCTATTCCAGAACCTGGAATTGCTGCATTAGCTACAGGTCCATGTTGAGGACCATGTTAAGGATCTTGCGGGGGTGGGTATGCCAACCTCGGTCACGAAACTGCGAGTACTTCTCCATGGTGTGCAAGACAGGGACAACGATACTTCAGATCCCACGAGATGCGAAAGGAGGCAAGAGAATGGCGAGGGGCTATCGTGACATGGCCTTAGCCTTCGCCTTCGCCTTCGCCACAGAGTCGGAAGGATCAGGAGATCCAGGAGAGATATGACAGAAGAGAGGATTCGTCGGGATTCGGGTGTTGATGTGAAGTGATGATAGCTGTGCAAAATACGGAGTATCTTCGGGAAAACAGATACGTACCACGGTGGACCGTAGGTACCCAGAAGGTAGTTTAGTGCTTTTCGCATGTGATTTTGAAGAGTGCGGATAGTCAGATCTCGGGGTGGAAATATGTCCCGAGCAACGTCCTGAGCAACAAGAAGCGAGTGTAAACAAACCATCAAGACACTTCGAGACCGCACGGCCATCGCCTACCTAATCATTATACCAGCATCTCAACTCCACGCCAGTATCAATCAACTCGAGCGCGGCTTGCGACCACTCGAACCCGCCGCCGGCTTGCCAATCGCTTCACCTCTTCATGCAATAGCTCTCCTACGCGTGTAGCTGTCGCTACGGATCGAGATGGATTATTCAGAAGAGAATTCGGTATGGTTCTAAACACTGACCTTATTGACGACCAGTTAGCTGACCGTTCTGCGATTCCAGGGCATGCGCACATCGCAGGCGCGCCAACTAAGTCGAATCCCCTCTCCAGGAAAAGGTCTCTCTGAGATCTCCGACTCGCAAAGCAATGCGCGCTCGAAGCATCCCTCCAAGATGCCCCAGCCGACTTCTATAAAACACAAAATAGGACCATCATGTAAATAGCCACAAGACAGCTTTCTTATCTCTGAAGCTAATTGCGACAGTCAATGAACCGGAAGCTAAACGCAAAACACTCGCCGAGAGAGCAGGAGAGCCAAGGTCAATCGCAGTTGCCGCACCGAGTTCACGGCCTGTTGTGAAGGGTACATCACTCGCTGGCGCAGTAGTAAGTCTTTTTGCTTATCATGATTTCTACTGGATATACATTCCCAATACGAACCTCTGGAGCGCATAATGAGTGGTATACGCAACCCTCGAGAATGTGTCTACAGGTTAAAATCATTATACGAACATCCCGAGAGTCGGGGCCTGGATCACCTAGGTGTATTTCGATTTGAGGAGCATTATCGTCAAAGTGAAAGCGACTGACGTTTCATACAGAAGAGCGGTCTGACTCGCAATCAGTCATTCTCGTCTTCAGTTTCATCAAAGGCACCTTCTGCCTCGTCTCGGCACACATCTAATAGCAGCTTTTCGAGTAGTGTTGGTCCTGGATCACGACCCGTCTCAGCATACCATATCCCTCGGCCACAAACTTCGATGGCCTTCAATAGATCTGCAATTGCGCGACCCCTCTCAACCGTGACTTCTCGCCCAGCAACATCGATGGGGAACAACTCAGAAGATGACGATATATCAATACAAGGCAGACGAAAGGGTATGCCACTTTTAACTTCGATTCCCTCTTCCTTTCAGTCCACGCAAGGCTACTCGACACTCCCATGCAACAAGTTAAGAGGGACTCAATCAATGCAATCCCTAAACTCCTCTCATTCAATCAGCAATATGAGAGATGTCTCCGTTAGTACGGCAATGAGTATGCTACGGATTGACGATGAACGCCAGGTCGTCCAACAAAAAGAGCATCAAGCGATCTCCAGAAGTGTCAAGCCGCCATCAACTCCAAAAATACGTCACAAGACTTCAATCAGTACGGGCCTACGGAATTTGAGGATCAATAGTGCAGAAAATGCTCTCGTACTGTTCCAGGCGCCTGGAGACAGCTTAGTGGCTCACAAAACGCCTTCTCAAATTCCGGTGCTTTCCAAGTCGGAGGCAGTGATGGCTAACCTGGCGACTCCGTCAAGAACCCCCAGATTCTCCCCCCAAAAAGCCTCCTTTTTGACAAAAGATTCTAACATTACTGGATTTATAGCTTGGGACGTCGAAGGTCGTGTAGAAAACATGGAGGCAATGTATGAGCAGTTGAAAGACAAGTTCAACGGGACCGACAAGGAGCGAAATACTTTCGAGGAAGCTATTAACCTATACAAAGCAAGAAGTAAGTTTCTATGTCAGGTAGAATGAGAAACATATGCTGATGTGACCTGTGGAATAGTTACTGAACTTGAAACCCTCCGAACCCAATTATTGTCGACAAACCAAACTTTACAGACCGATTTAGATACTTCAAGGCAAAAATCCGAAGCCCTTCAAGACAGATTGCTAACTATGACCATTAATTTCGACGAACAAATCAGAGCTCATCGGGTTGATATTGATGATGCCCGAAGAGATTACCGCAACGAGATAGACCAGATCCGACGAGAAAACGCGGACGAGGTTGACCGCCTCTTGCGTGTACATCGAGATGAGTTGCGAGAACTTGAACGACGATCGGCTATAGATGTGGAAGACAGACTCAGAGAAATGGAACGAAAAAATGATGCTAAGCTGGATGAAGAGCGGAGTCGACGACTCCGCGAGGTGCAGAACCTTGAGGCTCAGATTGCCACAGAAAACCAGAACTTACACTCGACCCTTCAAGCCAAGGATCAGGAAATCCAAACCCTTAGGGGGGAGCTGGAGAATCTCAAAGGAGAACGTGATAGAGAGCAGGCCCTCAAAGATGAGGCGCAGAAGAGTTTGGCCGAATTAAAGGACACATTGCAGAAGAACGGAATCGAGTCCTCCTCAACAATTCAGAGCTTGGAGGGCACGATCTCTAGTCTACGTGCTAAGATACATTTCTTAGAATCTGGTAGCAAAGCCCAGTCTGATAGCTTTGCGGAGATGGAAGCAAGGTTGCAGGAGGCTGTCAAATCTGCCGAAATCTCCAAACAGAAGTTAATTAAGGAGGAAACACTCCGTCGTATTCTCTTCAACCAGGTTCAAGAGCTGAAGGGAAATATACGCGTTATGTGCAGGGTGCGGCCGATATTTGGCGACGGTGCAGAAGGGCAAGCTGCCAAATTTACATTCCCAGACATCGACAAGGAATCAAAGGAACTTGAGATCCTAGGGAAAGAAGAGAAGAGCAGTCTGGGTACAGTCACCCGGAAGAACCATTCATTTACCTTTGATCGCGTCTTTGGGCCAGAAAGCCAGAATCAGGAAGTTTTCGAGGAGATTTCACAGCTGGTACAGAGCGCCCTTGATGGTTACAATGTCTGCATCTTCTGCTATGGCCAGACAGGATCAGGAAAAACACACACAATGTCCTCAGCGGATGGTATGATTCCTCGTGCAACGCATCAGATCTACGAAACGGCGACCAGTTTGAAAGAGAAGGGTTGGACATACACAATGGAAGGAAGTTTCATCGAAGTCTACAACGAAGAGATTCATGATTTGCTTGGAAATTCCAAAGATGGCGAAAAGAAGAAGCACGATATTCGACATGACGACCAAAAGAAACAGACGGTCGTGACCGGGTTGAAGACCGTGACTCTCGATTCTCCAAATACTGTCGAATCAATTTTAAAGCAAGCTGCTGCGAACCGGAGTGTGGCAGCTACAAAATCCAATGAACGATCATCTCGATCACACTCTGTTTTCATGTTGAAGCTTTTTGGACGGAACAGCACTACCAATGAAACCTCCGAGGGAACGCTGAATTTGGTTGATCTGGCTGGTTCCGAGAGACTGAAGCAATCTGGAGCGGAGGGAGATAGAATGAAGGAGACGCAAAACATCAACAAGAGTCTCAGCTGCTTGGGTGATGTTATCGGAGCATTGGGGCAAGGCAAGGAGGGTGCTCATATTCCCTACCGGAATTCGAAGGCAAGTTAAATTCCCCATGGCCAATCAAGCACACACTAATTGGCAGTAGTTGACATACTTGTTGCAATATTCGCTGGGCGGCAACTCGAAGACACTCATGTTTGTGATGGCCAGTCCCTTGGAGGCTCATCTGAGCGAAACATTGTCGAGCTTGAAGTTCGCCACAAAGGTAACTTTAAATCTCTTTAACTCTTCGAACATAGCGACGATACTAATTCTTTCCAGGTTCACAACACCCATATCGGCACAGCAAAGAAATCGACAAAGGTCCGTGAGCGCAGCGATGCGTAACTGGGTACGAAGGCATGACTGGTATTGTGCGACTATCATTTCTGGCGTCTGTGTGTAGAAATATCAACATGCCACAAAGTTCATTACGTTAAAAGGCAGCATGGGGTATTGTTTGTTTTCAAGGCAGGATATTGCTGCTGTTGTATAGATTCGGCGTTTGGGGAGGCGCACCAATTTCGATCATGATGAATTGAAGACGATTATATGACCATACTCACATTAGTAAAGTGCCGATATATGTTGATCATTCCGTAGGTCTATCGAGACTGTGTGGAATCAGTCTATGGGATCAAAGGACTTGAAGATTTTTATCTTCCTCTCACATTCTTCCTGCAGCTGGCTGATGCGGTGATCTCCAAAAGCCCGCCCCCTGAAGCTGTGTTCCTTGCCCCCTCCCCAGTAAGCATGGAACACTCTTCCCGTCATTGTCAAATAGCATTGTCTCCAAGTGTTTCTCCCTGGAGGAAAGGCCTATTTCTCATTCCTTTTGCGCGCGGGAGAGGGGGGGGGGGGTCTATTGCATCTATCGAATGAACACCAAGTGTGTGTGGCTATCGCCGCTATCTAGACATGCAGTTCGATGTTTAACTTGCTGTGTTTGGGCAAACTCACCATCGTTCGTAACTGCCTAGGTAGTATTCCTTGTTGACAGAACCTTAACCTGATTCTCCCCTGCCTACCGGACGCAACTACTTATATCCTCAACACTAAGGCCACTCTCCACCGCTACAATCCTCATTCAACACCAACTCATCCCACATATCAGTCTTCAGATGTAATACGCCTCACTACTGGCAGGATAATACCATTCTGGGTGTCCTTGACCGTAAGTATTTCGACCCAGTCAATGGCAGGTGCTAATCGCCCCCTCCCTTGACAGGTCACCTCAAAAACCACACCTTTTGCAGTAGCTATTCGGATCCATACTTGGTTCAAGCAGCAATTTCGACCATCATGCAGACAATAATAACCCCCCGGAATGCTTTGAGCATAGACGACTCGAATATATCTCTGCGAAACTCCTTTCGTCATTCCCCTCTCCGCATTGGGGAAACAAAGGCGCAACAGGACCGCCCTTACCTCTCTTACAATCAATCTTCGATAAAGCAACAGGGACAAGGATCTAGTTATAGCTTCCCCTTTCCAATAGGACCAGAAACTCCAATTATTGAAGAAGATGACTTACAGATGGATCTTCACGTCTGGGTACTTCAGCGAATAAACCTTCAAGGCACGCTCAACCCATTCACAGGAGATCACCCTCAGTGGAAAGAAGACTTTTTGGAACCACGATGGTCAATGTTACCCTTCTCACGTTTCCCCCTAATACGTGGTAAGGATGCGGAGGTGGCTGCCCTTGAGAACGGTCTGATAGATCGGATACAAGCGAATATGGCGGTACTGGTCCAGAAGGCGCCCAGGTCGCGAGTAATAAATCCATTGATTTGTGGATTGTTGACTCTGTCTGATAAGGCCAGACGTGAAGTGAAGCAGGTTCAGGGATTTGCGAGAATGCTCTGGGGTCTCTACGTGGATACGGAGATGATTGCCCGGGGGATGCATCCAGAATCGGCATTACATACGAGAGCACAGGAGGTCACTGACTGGTGTATGAAATATAGACAAGTCCGGGCCTTCTACGCTGCTAAGTGGAGCTTTGTGGAACGTAAGCAGCGTGAGGTATTGCTCTCTGTTGCTGAATAAGGGAGATATCAAGCATGGGTTTGGGGTATGGAAATTGACAAGACTGGGGATTATTGAGTTACTTTACAGTAGTGAGGAGGAAAACATCCATACGCTTGGCCGTATCTAATCACATGAATGCCCGCTAGTCATCACTATCATTTACTCCTGCGGATCGAGCATTCTCGATCTTGCGGCTATAGGTTCGGCAGATAATAACTTCTTTCAATGTGTAGCCTCAACGCGATCGTGCATGTGAGAGAATGGATGTCTGAAGCTCCTCCAATAGAACTTCCAGATCCAAGTCATTCATCGAGACCATTAATCATCTCAAAGAAGATATTCTTGAAAGGGGAAGACCAAGATCCACTAGATAATCACGCCTTTCCAAGTCCCGCTGTTGACTTCAACAACACGCAAGGTAGGAGGCTCGAGGTATAAGTGACAATAGAGCATGTAGCGGGGGACAATACAGTATTGATTGGTCCTATTCCCCAACATCAACTTCCTTGATTGGCGCACGGCAACTATCCCTTCGACAGCATTCTTCCGAGCAGTGACTAGGACGGAACGAGTTTGGGTTAACGGTTATTACATCTAGCCTCCCAAGCCAACGGTTAACGATCGAAAAGTACACCTGGTGGTGCCAGATCGACAAGACCCCTCTCTAACTTGAGATCTGTCATCAGTCATCTTCGAGACTCGGACCGTTTGCCTGCGGTTCTCTTTCCCCGAAGAGACCTATCCTCCGATGAAAAATCCCGCGGTGGGTCGATCTCGACAGTTATACTTATGTACCCTCTGGGACCCGTTTCCGGAGTATGGAGGGCCGCGCACCACGGTGCTCTCTTAGCGGCGAGCTGGAGTGTGCCAGTGACGTTGATTGCAATTGGGTACCAGCGATTCTGCTTTTAAAGCCTACGTCTGGGGCAACCTCGGAGACGGTTCCGATGTTCCTAGCGCTTCGCAACGAGATCGTGATGGATGAGGCTTGGGGAAACCCGTGGTGTCAGATGGAGAGATAGCATCGGGTGTCTAGAGAAGAATTGATATTCGAACGGCGCACGTGTGTTGGGCGTAGATTTTAGTTTCAGCTTCGCGCATAGGGAAGTTCCGATCCTCTAGAGCGGCTCGAACAGTCGTTAAGAATGTGGCTTAAACCTTAATATTGCCCGTGAAGAAGCTTCGAGGACCTTGTTCCAGTGCAGCTGAAGCTGTCTGTCTCACTTGTGGCTTCGAGACTCTCAATCAAGTGGCAATACTCTTCTCAATTACCGCAGGGATTGTGACGATGCTGCCCCTCCTGAATGCTTCTAACTTGAGAACAGTGGGAGAGGATCAATAAGGAATGATTTCATCGAGGTGGAACTCCAACATAGAAAGTGGGGGGTCTCTGCATGTCGTGAATCCTTGATGTACCCCGAATGGCTTCAGCCAAGGACGTAAAGCCACGAATTGAAATTAAGCAGAGAAAGATAGAGTCGGGGCGCCGGTGGTGCATCGTTATCTCATTCCTATAACGTTTCATAGACAGACAATCCCAAGTCTCAGATGGAAGACATCTGGGGCTTGACTACCATGTGCCACGAGCGTTCGTTTGGAAGATTCCCAAGCCTGGAGTAGGGACAAGTGGACACTTCCAACTGGGGCCGGTCTATTAGAAGTAAGCCTGAAGTCGTGAGAAGCACAATGTATTATGTAGTCTGCAACTTAAGGGCATTGAAACCATATCGTGGTGGGAGTCAATTGACAGGAGAGAGCAGATGACTTTAAGACACAATGATCCTAACGCAGCCCGTGAAAGGCCTGGCTTGGGATGACAATGACAAATACCCATCCGATGAGATCTCTCCTTGTGTACCATCTGGCCCGATGGTTTTGTAGATGCGCCTGTAGGTACCAGTGCTGGGTGGCAGTGAGAGACTTGCCAATTTGTCGACCCGAAGAACTTTCTTTAAGTAGCCTGACGTTGAATGTGCTACTGTCACCCTTGGAAGCTGAGAATCTGACAGTACGACACATATGGACTTTCAATATGTGTTGTGCCTGATTCGGAGAATAGGGAAGGGGCTGGGTTTAAGTAGGCAGTGATCGTGATACTGGTCACTATTACACCCAAAACCAAGAACCTGTGGTTGTCCCAGATCTTGATTTCAACTTTGAAGCAGATCAGATCGTCACATTGTGAGATCGTGCAATTTTGAATCGTTGCATGAAGTGGCCGGTGTTGCGGCTATCCCCGTTGCCAGTTACTTTTCCCCATCATCCCCGGCTGTCGAAACCTCAAGCAACCGGGAGCCATGAGGGCAACTCGGCATCTCCTCAACCGCGACAAACTTACAAGAAATTTGCCACAGAGTGCCGTTGATGGGAACGGGAGAATGCCTTTTCCAGAGCTACTCTCGTGTCACAATCGCAAGAGGTTCTAAAGCTGAAGGATCTAGGAGACTCTCGTCCCGGTTGCTGGGTGAGGCATCCCCTTACTGCTAGGAGCAAGCTAACATGTCACATCAGGATTCATAAAGTACTGTGCATACGGAATACATACAGCACAAGTACAAGTACAACTTGTGTCCAGTCCTGGACAGGGTTACTGGCTTGGGGCGCTGTTGATCACGCTTTGACAGGTGCAGCTACCGGGGGACCTTTTGCTGTGCAGGGACAGGGAACAGGGTCAGGTCTCGTCAATCTCACTCAGTCCTGGCCTCCTTGCATGTCATTGTGGCCCGCTCAGCGGCCTGTTTCTTGCTTTATTATAACGTGGCACAATCGTCTCGCGGGTCACTACTCCTATCATCGGCCATTAAGGCCCCTCCCCGAGAGACCCAGCTCCAGCCTACTCAGCCTAGCAAGTTGCTGACTCCTTTTCAGATCCTGTCAGTGGTGCACCCATCCTTGCACAGACAAACTCGCTCCCAACAGGGACTGACTGTGCCTGGGGGTTACATACGGGACTGTAGAATCAAGAGGAGGTGGTCCCTAGACTCCTGGCCTCACCCCGCTGTCACCATGACTCGTCTTTTGCCAGATGCTGTACACGGGTACTGCCTCCTCCTGCGTACAGTACTGTACAGGCCACCAGGGTACACAATAGCCTCAAGACCTGACTGGTAGCACTGATGATCCGTCTGAAGTCCTCTACCTAGAACCCCCGGAGAACTGCCCTCCTGCGCTTTTACTGGTTCCATGGAGCCCGACAGCCAGCCAGAAGGATGGCTGCATCGTGGTGTCTCACTCTTGGGCTGGAACCTCTGGCTCTCCAGCATGGCGATCGTTCCCGAATCCAAATCGCCGTCTTCCACCACGCAGTAGCACATGGCACCTCATATCACACCGCAGCGAGGGGCCGCCGCGGGCAGGATTTCTGGTCGGATGCCGAGGCGATCGGCTGATCGACTCTTCAGATGAAGGTTTCCGCAGGCTGGACAGGACAAGACAGCGATTCTGTGAAGCATCCCATGAGTCCACGAGTCCAGACCAGAATCCAGCTAGACGAGACCTAGACAGGACCGAGCCATGAATCCTGCGACGGGCAGGGCAAAAGCACCGGGGTCAAGTATTACATACAGCAAAATGACTGTGCGAGACTATCAGTATCATATGATTATTATCTGACAGGAGCAATTGCCGAGTCCTGTCCCAGAGTCCCAGTAGTGGGCGCTGGACACTGGCGGAAGGGCGGCCGGCCCGGAAAACAGAATAATCAATCCATCGACTCACGTTTTGGCGTTCAGGCATCCTTTACAGCAATGATCGCCTATCGTATCTTCATCTCCAGCAACCCCACCCCACCAACAAGGAAGTATTTGGAAGAATCCCAAGAACTTATTAGATTCTTAGAAGCCCATTAGGATTTAGGCGCTCCCCATGCGGCACATAACGACTGGAGCCCAACCCTGGCAACGGATCTCCCCCGGAACTTGACGCTATCGCCATGCGACTTCAAGTTGACACCTGTGACCCGACACTCTGACTGTCAATAATATAACTACTGGATCGCATCGCCCGCCCAAAATCTCGCAAACATTAAGATCTACATCCACGTTGGCTATGTGCTCGTACTCAACAGAACTCTGAAGATCTCGACCGGTAAAAAGGGAGTTGCCATCAGCTACGCAGGTAGGCAGGGTGTGCGATCGCAAAGCAGTCGTCCTTGCCATGGTGACAGTGGTGCATCTCAAAGGCTCTTTCCTTTTCGCTGGTGAAGAGTAGCAAGTTGTCGAGTACATTTTGACACTGGATTACTGTATTGTTATTCTCCAAAACTCCAGCACAGTCCATCAGTCCGTCCCAGACTCTAGTCAAAGCTCTCATCCGCGTCAGCCGGCACCCCTTGCAAGACCTGATCTTCAAGGTTGTCCCACACAGCTGTCATCTTCATCCTCTCCACCTTAGCCTCTCCCTCGGGCCCCTGACGTCGGTTCACGAAGCCCAGTAGTGACTCCATTCCCAGGTGCCCCTAAGGGCCTAAGGGACTACTTATTGGCAACAACCTTGTCGGCCTCTGCCAAAAAAAACGCCGTGGCTTGTGAAAACGTCAATGCTAAGTAACGATGGCAACTCGATCAATTTGAAAAGTGCTGGCCTTTTATTATTATTGATGTGATTACTTTTTCTATAGGCCCTCTTCTTCTGGCCTTGGACCCTTCATTCGTAATGAAGATCGCACTGACTCGCAAGTATAACACGTTGTTCAGGGTATTCCGGAGCGACTTGGCTCTAGAAAATTACCTGCGCACGGGATGGTGACATACGCAATCAACGACATGGATGACAGGCTGGAATAGGCTGGGAGGGGAGGGGCCAGGGGGCACTATAGTTCTCTGTCAAGCCTAAAGCGGTATGTGGGGAGGGGCAGGGTCGCCGATCACTCAAGAGCCGTCTGGCGCATCAACCATACGCCATGCCGTTGGACGGCCCATACCAGTGTCGCTGGTGGTGGATTGTTCCGGAGACGAAAAGCACGAGCATCGTGGTGGGGACGTTGTCTATATACACTCTCCCAAGTACTTCGTACAGCACAGGATTCCAACATGGCGCAGTAGGAGGAGTGGGTAAGTCTTGGGTAGGCTTCAGTCCATATCCTGCTACAGTATAGTAGTCAAGGGTAAACAGGGTCCAGGAAAGGAATGTCCAGTGATGATGACAGGTTCTTTTCACCGTATGCAGACGGCACCTTACCACTATGGCCACCTAAGGAAGGATTTCTGCAGGGAGGAGAGAGATCTACGGAGTATCGTCTCCATACAGGTGAAGGCTTCGTGGGTGTAAGACAAGCTATCCCCGTCAACGACAACGCACCACCAACCACGGCGGCGATGCCCACCGTCCATGCAACATCATCCATACAGTAGTACTATACACACATCGTGATAGTGTCAAAAGAACTGTTCAGTGATCCCCGAATCGCAGCCCTCCCAGACCCCTGGCCCGTCTACCCGTCCGGCAGGTTGCAGCTCCAAAAGAGCCCTTCTCGGCATCGAAGTCTATCGGAGAGTTTCTAGCAGCCTGAGCAGCAGCACGCTACAGGCTCTGCCACTCCCTGGGATTTCCCTTTACGTCTCTGTGGCCGAGCACGGAAAGCACCTCTCTTGGAGTTGGATCATCGTCGACACTAGCGGCTGGCTAGAAGGGGACCGGACTGTCACTCCCTCTCATGCCAATGGCTGCCAGACTCCACATCTCTCATATCTAGTCCCGGACTGCCGGGCCTCCGTATGCCAAAGTCACAAGTGGGACTCTGGAGAAAGGCTACTTTAGTGGTGGTAATAATACGGTAGAAGTACATTCATCGCACGCCATATCGTTATGCGTTCTTTTGTCCCATGACTCCCGTACCTCCAAGTCTCCACCAATACGCATATCAAAAGTCTGTGAGGCTATTCTTCTCACGCCCTGTCGGCTTGGGAAGTGTCCAGCCCGAACCCCCTCCCCAGCTACTCCCCGTCTACTTTGGGACCCAACCCCTGGCACTGGTTCCTACCCCTCCCTACCGATCACAGAAGTAGACCTTCCTTCCTGGATAGTTCCCACCATCGGCACCTGTGCAGCGGCCCGTGTACTAAGCGTGCCTAGGCAAGCTTTAGATATACATAAAGAAGGCATCGTCGTCGTACTGCCTCACATATAGCATCTCTTAAGATCCACCACTGCGACTCCCAGGCGACCTCTGACCGTTGAGCGCACAAGTGCCGTGTTAGACTCGACTCCAGATTTATCTGTCGACAGCACAGCACGATTGTGGCAAAGGGTGTGAGGTGTACTGTCCACAGAAATCTTAGTCACGAGGCCTCAACAACCCCTCCGCGCAATCCTCAAGGACCAAGGGATTGATCCATCAGAGGAAACTTGGAAATCGCAACGCTGGCCACCGCGACTCTAACCCCCTTCTCCCTATCGGGTCTAACTCCAAACTCAAGTGCGGGTTGTAGATCCTGGGATGGTACGTAGAAGCCCATTCTTTAGTCTTGCTCCTCTTTGGTCCCATGCTATTCTCGAGTCGGATTGTCTCAGACCCTCATTCCTACCTACGCCTATATAGCATTCAAGTAGTCTTCTCCACTTGATAGGACTCGACCGGTTGTGGCGCGAATGTCCTTGGGTGTCTGCTAACGGCGTCAACACAGACACAAGCCTTCGTGCTAAATATCTGTCTTCCTTCGCACATAGATCGAAGACTCCTTCTCCCTCTGGGATGGAATTACCCCCATCTCGATTCTCATCTCAACCACAGTTGAAGGACTTAGCTACATCTTCGCCTAGCATGTCGGCATTGGCTGTGAGAGCACCCTCTCTACTCCCATCTCCAGGAGGCGCGGTTTGGGAGGATAGACGGGGACCGGAATTCATCTCAAGGCCACGAGCAGAGACGTTACCATCAGAGAGAGTTGAGCTGCCCTCTATTCGACAGGTATATATCATCTCCTCCAAATCGAAAGGACAACCTTTAACAGCCGTATAGGCAATTCCAGAGATCCATCAAGTACGAGGTACATGGACAGAGCCTGACTATAGAACGGAGTCTGTCCCATACTCCCCTCCGGAAAGGCTCGGGGCTTCGATCGCACCTGAATATGTTCAATCACCATACAAACGACGAAGGCTTTCAAGTCAGGAAGACGCTTTTGATGCAAGAGATCCTGTAGCTCCAAGGCTCTACAAAAGCCCTCCAAGACCTTATCAACCTCCAAGTGCCACGGTCTCACCAAGGAGCGGTTCCCGCAGAACAAGTATATTCTCAACGTCTGAGTCTTGGACAAGTTCTGCCCATACGAGCCCACATATGAGAGGACAAAGTGTTTCAACGATGCGATCACCACCTCCATTTGACTCCTCATCGATTACTCAATCAAAATGGCGGCCTAAGTTACCTAGTCTTCCAGCACTTACCTTCGAAGCACCGGCATCTCAAGCTCCAAGAGCACCTAGCACTTGGGGCGAATATACCCCCGAATCCGCTCGTTCGGGAGCACCACCTTTCAACCATCAGTCAACTCCGCCACTGACATTCCAGTACCAGCCTCATGGGCTATCTTACTCCGGACCATCGACGAGCTTTCCCGTATCCCACGACCGAACTCCTTTCTCAAATAGCCACCACTCGGGTTTCCCCGCAGGTTTCCAGTATCCCATGGAGGTGAACGAGATGGGGAACGATAGCAAGCAGAGAAAGCGGCGAGGAAACCTGCCGAAGGAGACCACCGACAAATTGAGAGCGTGGTTCGTGGCACACCTGCAGCATCCGTATCCTACGGAGGGCGAAAAGCAGGAGTTGATGCGGCAGACGGGTTTACAAATGAGTGAGTACACTTTGCTTTACTTTGGCATCTTTCAGTAGACTAATTGATTCGCCATAGATCAAATCTCCAACTGGTTCATCAATTCCCGTCGACGCCAGCTCCCAGCTATGATCAATAATGCAAGAGCCGAATCAGACGCAAAGTCAGCAAGAAGCGGCGAGGGCAAGACATCTGGGGGGAGTACAGGTGATTGTGGAGACGATAGAGGGAAGAGGAGCAGTCCTTCAGGGGACAGTGATGGAGATGGGAGTGGCTACGATGAGGAATATGAGGGCCCCGGGCGGCGGAGCGGAGCACAGAGAATACAAGAGAAGGAGAGCACATGATCCGTGGTACATTCCGATGGAAGACATATTCTTGGAGGTCTACGGACTATGCACATAAAAGCTACGAAGGCAATGTGGACGACAGAGCTAGCAGAGTGGGAATCATACGGCTAGGATGCAGAACGAAGTCGGACGCTCCTCCCTTCAGAAAGCTTTGAGAAGTCCTGCTGAGGGAATGCAGGACTGAAGCCAAAATTGGTGGAAATTGGGCACCTGGATCAGGAAAACAGGATTCATGAATTGAGCATACTTAGCGGCATGTGTCATTGATTAGCACAGCATAGCATGAGGGTGTAGCATGAGGGTGTTCATCTACACATAGGCGGAAGAGCTGAGCATCCCGCCGGATAGCTCTCTGCAATCCACGTCAATTGAATGAGAAGTACAGAATGAAACATATACAATAGTTCCACGATATCCCTTGGCGCTTAACGATCTAGGGTCTCTTAGCAGGCATCCCAACTCAACACAAATAAGCCAGACCGCCACCAGAACGTCCCCACGCGGCTGTCAGGGTGCTGAATAGGCGTAATGAGGAAAAGATGGGAGAGTGTCTGACGTCTGATCACCACGATCGTCTTCACAAAGCCTTGACCAGGCCGCTCCGCAGTAATAGGCCAAGACTATTCCGTCCCGGAAACGCATCATCCTGTCCGCTTTCGACCCGCCACAACCTAAGCACGGCTCATCCAGCAGCTACTTTTGAGACATCTCAAGGGCGAATGGACAGAATAACGTGCTCGATAGTACCCTTATCCCGGTTGCCCCCTCAGCACTGCCCACCTACTTACTTTTGTATGCATAGCATGTCCAGATAGCCAAGTTCTAACGCATGGGGATAGGACCGCGGGGAACCCGCAACGATAAGTAGCCAGAGCACGATGCACTCCGGGAATTCCGAGCACGAAGGCGCTGCATAACTCTCTCGTGGTTTTGCATGGACCCTGGCGGCTGTCAGGGCACCGGCAGTTACGTTTAGAGTTGCGTTTGACAGGGAGAGAAGGGCGACGGTGGTCTCCCTTAGTGCAAGGGAGCGTGCTAAGGGATATAAGAAGTACGTTTGCTTACTTAATTGCATTTTCGCGTTACGGAGTACATAACACATCGCTCGGGTTGGATCTGAGATGTGACCGAGGCTATTATCCCTAGGCGGAGTTAGATCAGATAACGCGGCCTAATAAACCACATGGTTTGCCAACGATGAGTGGATATGTCTTTGAACTCTGAGAGAAATGTCTTTGATATAACTCCGACCGATGCTCCTTGAACGGGCAAAGGAAAGCAGAGAGAGAGAGAGGCAAAACAAACCGACCTTCTGTTCTCGGCCAGTCCGATCATCCCCTCAACTTCAGCTTGCCTGCGCCGCCGCGCCCTTGGTCTCCGCCTTTTCCTCTCGTCACACTCATGCAGATCATCAGCACGGCACTCGCGTCTCTCGCCCCTAACTACCGGTACTTTCCAGTCTCCAGGTAGGTAGGTCTTCCTCGTGGGCCCGGCGGCGGCGGCGGCGGACGGCGCAGTCAACTACTACTGGGGGAATCCAAGGTAAAAGGGATAAGGTAATCGACACGCTGAACTTGGTTAGAATGAGGTACACAAGGTAAAGCGGAAAGCGTAAAGCGTAAAGGATCGATAGCCAGACAAACCCTGAACGAGCACCCTGACAGCGCTATCAGCTATAGGAATATGCAAGGTGAAGATCATACGCAGGGGCCTTCTCTTTACCGTATGGTTTACTCGGGACCCTGGATGAATGGATGGATGGATGGATGGATGGATGTTACTATGTACTGTTGTACCCGTACGCACGCTGCATACTACTCCGCTGGTGGATATCCGGACCCTGGCCCTGCCAAGATGTGAACCCCCGAATACAGTAGCTCGAGGAGCGTCAGGTTGTTTGATAGTTGGAACTTGGTGGAAGCGAGCTGCTGGATCCGGATCTGCGGGTTGGAGAAGGATGCCCGGGTTGCTGCCGTCGTGGTGAGTTAATGCACATGGAGGGGAGGGGGGCGCGCGAAGGGAGGGTTGCGAGGATTGCCGTCTCGTTGGACTTTCAACAACGCACTCTCTGAACCCAGCTGGCCAAGTTGACCAAGTCGATTGATGTAATATTTTTAGATTTAGGTAGACCCTATTTTTATATGCACGATATTTAATGTATACTCAAGATGTTGAGGTAAAGGCACTCTTCTCTGTACCTTTATCTCCACATAACTACCTACTCATGATCAATTACTCGAATTCTACAACGACATATCTTGATTCCCCACTTTGTGGACATGAATATTTGGTTTGTAATCATGAATCGCCCCTTCGGGATCACCTAGGTAACCTTCACGATAGCTTCATTTCTTCCCTGGGCCCTAACCCCCGGTTGTGAAAAACACGGTATTGTCGGTCTTGCGAGTAGTTGCAAACCATAGTGAAACACACCCTCCTATGTCCGATGAACCAACCATCCGCTTCACCCGGCAGAACTGACTTGTACCCTACCCTCTCTAACGTCTGCTGTCTCCACGCAAAATAATTCATGTCTCTTCGGCAGTCAGATGGATCCAGATGGCTTCATAGCTAACAAGTCCTAGGGTCGATGTTCTTCAATAGAACGCTTTTCAAAAAGGTTATTGGGATGATACGTCGATTCTTGAATGTGCTCTCGATCGCGTAGATCAGACTTTGTTGGGATTAGCTGGTTGGCACCGATTTCGTGTTAGGAGGTAACGGAGGTAACAAGATCGATCGCTCGAGGAAAAGTGGAAGCCGTTGAGAATACCACGAGCCATTGTGACGGTAACGGCCTAAGAGGGTCATTGCAGTAGTCGTGAACGCTAGGAGAGTAATGATAGAAAGAGACGGACAATTCGACTATTGCTCTGTCTGGGTGCTCTCTGAGACTCATGTCGCGATACAGTTGAGGCACGCAAAACCTCACGAGCGACTCTTTTTCACCATGCTGACTCAAGAAATGGGGACAGCGACTGAGTGGAACTGAGTGGGATCGAAATCTATTTCGCCCAGAACAAGTGCTTAGAAGCAAGTGACATTGATGGTACCACGGCCCAGCTATTGAACGATCAATGGAGGGTATATAAATATTGGCTCTGCAAATTGTCCCACGCTATGTTATCTCCTACGATATCTTCTTCTATGGCTGGAATTGTATGAACGGGTCCTTATCTTGCCATTCCTCCAATTAAAGATTAAAACTCTGGGTTCTCTATCGATTTCATAGAGTCGTCGATGAAACGCTAAATGTTCTGCGAGCGCTGTATCGGAATATTCCAATGTTCTGATATGGACAGTCACTTGAAGCATTGGTCTGCCACACTTGTGGTCCTGTAGGCGCATAATTGCATCCTGGAAGAATTCTAAATCCACGTCTCTGCCTTCATTATTCTCTTCGTTTTCATCTAAGAGCGTGAGTGTAGTGAGTTTCAAGCTATCGAGATTTCGAAACTGAGCGACGGCATCGATGAATTGGTAAGGCTTTCGTCTTGTAAGAGGCCATTAATTCTGTGATTCGTGCTGTGTTGACTTACCTCGCACTCCTTGAGATTTATGTCCAAATCCAATCTTCTAAGAAAGGGGCAGGAACTTTGCAGTAAGTGCAATTGCTGTACCGACAAGGTCCGACGAATTGTTGGCTCATCTTCGGGGTCTGGTTCTTGGAACTTGCGCAGCTTCAGAGCTTGCAGTGATCTATGTTTTAATATCGAGGAGAAATCAAAATGATCCAGGAAACAGGGAATCGCAATTTCTTCCAAACATTGAGCGCTCTCAACCAACTTCCCAAGTAGCTTCGTTACTTCTGCTTGATGGTCTTGGTGCTCAAACACCTCACTCATTTCGAGTTTCTTTAAATGGACAAACTTATGAGGCGCCACCGAGAGTAAGAAGCGATGTAAGCACGGTAAGGTGACTTCCAAGTGTTTCAATCTTGAAAAGTCCCACAGTCGATCAGTTTCTTCGGCGGAATAAGGCCAGGACATCCCGAACGAAGATACCCTGAGCGTTTGGATGGGTGCGAGTCTCCCGACATCTGGGTCAGGCCACTGGTCTATACTGCATAATGACAAGGATTCGAGGTTCTTGGACTCAACGAGAAAATTATTGACCAGCAGGAAGTCTTCGTCATGTAAATCCACACGGATATCGACAACTTGTGAAGCAGGAATTGAATCCAGATTTTCAAGCGCGTTATCCAGCTTATCAATCTTGAGACGAAGGCGTTTCGAAACTACAAGGCTTCGAATGGCCGTTGGAAATGGCTGCCAAGTGCGCTCATCATACCGCCACCTGTAAAGGTGTTATCAGAGGTTTCCAAATTCAGGACTACAACTTACGTGAGAGACTGAATGCATGCAGAGGCTGACAGCACTCTTGCTACTAGCTCCCAGTCCAAAGGACGCGTCACCACTAGGTGTCTGGTGTGTGCAATTACATTCAGAATAGCACTAGATCCCATGGGATTTTCCAGAAGCTTAGGGCTGAGCTGGATCTGGCGGTAGCGAAACGGGGTTGTAATCATGTTCATCTTTCGAGAGATGAGACGCAGACTTTGAAAGGCGTCTGAGGCCATGGCCGAGGGCCCCCATGTATTATAAAGCTATTTAATGCAACATTTAGCATGGGCGGTTCGATTTGATAGACCTGACAAACAGACCTCTTCGAAGATGAGAATCAGAACATCGGTACTCAGATCGTCCAAAGAACGAGATTTGACCATGCTATTAGGGAGATTCTCCGCGACGGGTATCACTGAGGTTTCCATGTTCAATGAAGATTAGATAGCTGCGTCAACCATAGGGCGTGGAGGTTGAAGAATGCCTCAACAGCTATCAAGCTCTGGATACCCCACTGCAACTTGGCTGAACGGATCCTTCCAAGTAATGGAAAGAACAGAGGAATCACAGCCAGAACAGTCTCCTCAGCTGTGGCCTTCAATCTGCTACAACATATAGAGTGCTGTTCCGTGTTCAGTCAATTCAGATACTCCAGTGAGGCGCCGTTGATTGTTGTCAGGATGTCATGCTGAGCCAGCCGGAGATTTACAAGATTTACGTGCATCTGTGGCTTGGCTGACAGGAATATGACGGTATATCATGACATTGTGTGGGTAAATTGGAAGTAGATTAGTGGTAAATTAGAGGTAATTAGTGGTAATCCTCCACACTATTTACGGAGAGTTTATTTTATTGGGTCTCTCGACCATTGTCTACCTTACCACTTAGAGGTCTTGAGACCGTCCATAAATCATCACCCAATTTTTTTTTCCTCTCTCTTTTCCTTTCTTCTCAATTACCTTGCTTTTTACACTTTTTCTCTCTTGTTGTTATTTGTTTCCTGATTTATTTCTCTTTTTTTTGAACCAGGGCTATGGTTCAGTTCTGCCATCTGCAATCACCTGGAGCGGCGAGCCGGCTTTGACCGCTCGTACCCGCCCACTTATTTCTTACCTAAAGGTACTTCTAGACCCGATGGCCAAAAGAACGCCTGCAAACTCTAACTCGAATAGCAAATCCTTCGAATAGCAAAACACTTGACGTGTCTGACCGCGCCTGCCATGCTTCGATATTGAAATCGCCGTCTTTGCGTCCTTCTTGCGCATTATCACGTTCCCAGACGACCCCATCGATCGTCATATCATGGACGAAGCAAGCAGATTGGTTTCCGAGCTTCACAACAAGCTCGCGGAGCTCGACCTGAGGGTATGGCAATACCGGCGGGACATGGCATCCGAGTTCACCAAGTACACAGAGGATCTGCTGCGCGATGTCCCTAAGGAAATATCGGAGACTGTTTCGAAGGTCATCGCAGAGGATATAAAGTGTTACAAGTCACTCAACCTCGACAGCCTTACTCCAATTGAGTCATGCGGGGCGAACACCGACAATCTCGTGAATGGCCTTCAGAACGCCGCGCCGCCATATCTAACAAACTCGACAAGCTCATTTCTATATCGCGCGCAAGATCCAGAACTGGAAGCCCCAAGAAGTCCACACGAGCGAGACAAGGAATTTCATGGTTTATTCACACCAAGCTACCTGCCCTTGCTGGACAGCATAACTCGCGAGCACAAGTCAGACCATGACTCCTCATTAGATAAAGGCAAAGAGAGAGAGATGGAGTCGGTCCAGGTGGATGCGAGCACAGATACAAGATCATTGACGTCTACGCCAGAGCTGCGGCGGCCTGCCGCTCCGAAACGGAGAAGTACAGATGAAGTATCAGTGACCTCCGACAATAGTGATGGCCTCATCCGTCGCAGTGCCTTGCGAAGATCATCAAGCTCCTCCAAAACACAAAGCCCTCGACGGGTCCGGTTCGAGGTGATGGGTGAAGAGGTTCTGCCAACAGCTTCGCCACAGCCCAACGAATCCATACTCTCAGACGATATCCCACCTAGCGCTCGTATCATTGGAGACGATTCAGAGGACAGGGCAGGATCCGAGGAAATCGAAGATATTGACGAGCCACCTCCTAAGAGGATATCGTCGTCCCAAGCACTTCGAGCTTTGTCAAGAGGACCACTAGAAGATGATGGGACACAGTGGACAACTGTATCAGCAGGTCCAGATGGAGAACCTTTTGATGCTGGAATTTCCCAGAACTCTTCTACTGAAGAAGATCTACGGATAAGTCCTAGCAAGCCACAGACTACCTGGGATAGCCAGGATCGGTTATATATTCCAGAAGCGAGTGCTCCCTCCGATCCCACAGTCCACCGCTCCCGACTAGAAACTTTGGATGAAAGAAATGGTGCTGAGACACCTTCTGACGACGAAATGCTTGATATGCCACCATTGAAACCGATGAGAGGCCAAAGATCTTCCTCGGCAAGTATCCTTCCATCAGTCGAAGACCCTGGCTTAAACGACTATGAATTTCCTACCGCTGCAGAAAAGGCCTCCAGCACTCCTTGGTTCAGTCTGAAGACCTTTGTAAACGATCAAAATAGGGGTGGTGGCGAGGACTTGGCATTTACAGAAGACGATCATGATGAACTCTTTCATTTCGATGAGAACAGCAATGAGCAGAGACTTCCACCTGAAGAGCACAATGATTCGGAGCCAGATTCACCAATCTCCCCGGAAAGAGAAAAGGAGCTCCCAGACCTCAGCAAGTATTCGAGATCGCCCGCGCGTGAGATCCCCACACGAATAGTACCACAGTTCACGAGTGTCTCGAAGGGAGTCGTGGGGTCTTATAAAGGGCATCCTTTCAGCATGCCTATTGTCAGTGACGAGATACATGCTCAAGCCGCATCCTTGGGAGCTATCAATTCTTTTGTTGGTAGTCTCGATGGACGTAGTGGTCTGGATGAGAGTGATATTCAGAGTTTCAGGGAGAGTTTCAAAGCAAGCGGTGGTGCTGGGAGCTTCAATGGTGCCGCGCCCAAGAGCATGACGGAGAGGATGATGATGGAAGATCTGCTGGAGGGTGAGGAAGCGAAGCGCCCTTGAGGGGGGAGGTAGTCAGTGCATTTTCAACATTGTTTTATTAATTGCGAGCGAGGCGGATAGCATTGCATGGTTTACAGGCGGCCGGCGGATTTGGTGCTGAGGTGGGTGGCATATTTGCTAGAGTTTGGGAATAGAGGTCAACCACGGGCCAGGATAACTGTTCGTATATTTATTATGGAGCTATGCAACTGAGAGGTACGACCCAAGTTTGATCATGTATATACATGAAATATATAGCATAATAGCTGTCAAGCAAGGCTAGGATTCTATTTAGCTTCCTCGAACCGATGGGCTCCTCTACTCATATAGCAGATGTCGCATACTTGTACAAAAGCATAGATAGATGACTCGATACAGGACAATTTTCCGCCATACGTATCATGCACAAAATCCATACGAACACCGCGCATGGGCAATGAACTTCCAACCTCCATCCACTTCCACAACTCGCAAACAGAAATCGTTGGGTAGAAGTGGGACTTACAGGTAAGCTTAACCAAAGAGGCTCATGAACTTAATAGGAGTTGCTGGATTCGCGGAGGATACGAGCTTACCTGCCTCAAAGTGGAGGCTGAGGGTCAGAACTCGCGGCGCAGGGCAGAGGAATCCTCAAACTTATTTCAGCACTAGAGTGGCCGGCAAAATACAGGAAGTCATTTTTGATGACTTTACTCGATTTCCTTACGGTTATTGAAGTTGAGACTTCAAACTAGCGAATGCAATCGTAAATGTTTCCAATCACTGGGATAGTTTGCAGTGAGCGAGAGGCTGTTTCCCTGGTCAAGAGAACCCGAAACTTGATGCTCTCAGTTGGAGCTATGACGAAGTTCCAAGTTGTTGAAATCTTGCTTGTCTATAGGGTAGATTCCTATAGGATCCTCCTGGTCTTTCCTTGAGTGTGGTAGCAGGTAATATTGAGGAAGTGGATTAAATCAAGTGATGACAAGATGCAGGAACTTCAATTGGGAGCTCCTCAGGAACAGCACTCCTCCTTCCTATTCATCCCGTAGGCCTACTAGAGCACTAATTTCATCTATACAACTCTTGAATTTGTTGTACTGTTGCTTTGATGCTCTCACTTCGTCATTGCTCGACACGCGGCCATCCGGATCGAATCCAGCTCCTGATGAAATTTTGCACTCCTGGACGAAGATCCTTCATTTATATTCTTTTTCTTAATATGATTTCTATTGCTATTTGCGCTGTTTCTTTTAGGTATTGTGACTCAATGCGATGTGCAAAAAATCATCTCTATTTAACCTCTGATGATCTCGTCGTCGCATCTTCTACAAAGCAAGATCTCCCTTCAGATTTACTTCTCATCTGCCAACTTTTCCACGTTACTGTGAACCTTATAAACATGTTCACAAAAGGTACCCTTCTTCATGCCCTTCTCCTCGCGCCATTGGCACTGGCAGTCCCAGCTCCGGACAAGTCTTCAACTGAAATCCACACTATAGCTCATTCCTCGGGAAGTGTCACCGGAAATGATTCTATCAGTGCTTCAGCAAATGGTATCGACTTCAGCAAGTGGGCTCTCCAGCTCCCTATTGGCACTCCCGGCAAGCCCCAAACGGTGGCCGGTTCGTCCCTCAAGACCTACTCTGATCCCAAAAAGCAATACTATTATACTGACCCCACCACCAGAGCGGTTGTCATGAAGGTTCCCGGGTCGCCTGCTTCCACTGGTTGTGTCCACACGACCAACAGCAAACACTGCCGCACCGAGCTCCGCGAGACGACCCCCGCGAGCTGGGATCCCAAAGCTTCAACCAACCGTCTAACTTCTACACTTACTGTAGTCAAAGCGGATGATAGTGCACATGGGACATGTATCGGCCAGATCCATATTGCCGATAGCGTCTCGGTGCGTCCCATCTGCGAGCTATACTACAGCTCCAAAGGCGACATCACCCTAGGAGTTGAGCAGATGCGGAAGGGAGGAAATGAGAAGGTCCTCCCAGTAGGGAACGTTCCCCTGGGAACCAAGTTCTCCTACACGATCGCGTACGAGAGCAATAAGCTCAGCGTCTCCATCAATGGCGAGGCGGAGAAGACGTTTAGCACATATAGCTTGGATGCTCCATTGAGCTATTTCAAGGCTGGGAATTATAATCAGGGTAGTGATGCGTCGGAGATACACTTTTTTGATATCAAAACGGAGCACTAAGGTTGTGGGATAGCATTGCGAGCAGATTCGAAAATGGCGGTGCTTTGGGAAGAGAGATCTAGTCGAGAATTGTTTTAGGGTTCGCGGAATTGGGCATTGCTGGACTTTGGAGGATGGAGTATTTGATGCAATTTTGAATTCCAGCTTTTTCCCCAGGGTCTATATATGTCAGTGAAAGATTTCGTCCCCATCCACACATATACAGGTTTGGTTTTGTGGAATTAGCTGTATATAAGGCCATTCATGGGTGATTGGTAGCCCGTTTGATATGAAAATAAGACCAGAAATAGGGGGGCTATATCCTATAGTCGAAAAAGGGTAACAAGTAAACAACAAAGACGTCGCAGCGCCGGCCAGGCCACTAGCAGGGGCAATGGGCAAGGGACAACGCGGGGGACAACACACGACGGCAGCACCCGAAACAACGCCTGAGGTATCATTGTAGATATCATTGGAGATATTTGTTGTACATATATTCCTCTGTAAAGTACTCTTGTTCTACTTATTCTTCTTGTCTCTGAGCTTCATCACTTAACCAGCTCCAACTCAACATCAACCTCGCCCCCAACATCAGATCCTCCTTCGTACACTACCTCAATCAACCACTCCAACCACAACCATGGCATTCGAAGGTTCATTCCTCCCGTCCATACGCTCCATAGTATCCTTTGGCAGCGGCTTGCTCTCCCAGATTCCCATGCTGCACAACTCTCCTCAGGCCAGCTCCCCAGGGTTCTTATCCAGTGCACCCAGTTGTCCCAGCGACAGTCCGCTCTCCTGCCACAACACCACCGCGGCGCCTGACAGCTGCTGCTTTATCTATCCTGGCGGGCAGCTCCTGCAGACGCAATTCTGGGATACGAGTCCTGCGATCGGGCCCGACGATAGTTGGACTTTGCACGGTCTATGGTCTGTCCCATTTCCTTCGTTTCCGGGATCCCAACTAACTGGGATCATCCATACACAGGCCGGACCTCTGCGACGGCAGGTACCCGCAGTACTGCCATTTCACTCCGGCATATAGGAACATAAGCTCGATCCTCACGGCCGCAGGGCAGACGGATCTCCTAGACTATATGAACACCTACTGGCTGCCCAATGCCGGCACGGCAGAGCATTTCTGGGAGCACGAATGGAGCAAGCACGGCACCTGTATTAATACTTTGGCGCCCAGCTGTTATGGCGACGGGTATGAGCCCGGGGCCGAGGTGGTGGATTTCTTTAATAGGGCTGTAGAGGTGTTCAAGGTGGGTTTTCACTCTCGATCATCTGGTATCTATCATGACGTACTAATAACCTTCCCCTTCGCATTTAGGGATTGGATACCTACAAAGCACTCGAAGCTGCGGGCATCACGCCCTCGACGAGCAAGACTTACACTTCTGACGCCATCCAAGCAGCATTGACGAAACTTACAGGGAGTGCTGTGGTATTGGGCTGCAGGAACGGAGCACTGAACCAAGCATGGTACTCGTTCAATGTGAAGGGAAGTATACAAACCGGGACTTTCGTGCCCGCCGCACCCGCTGGCAGCGGAGCGGGGACCTGTCCCAGAGGCGGGATTCGGTACCTGCCTAAATCCTCGTAAGGACATGCTATGATTGAGGCTCGGAATGGAGCGGGAAGCCGGGGGCGGGATTGTGGGATTGGACACCCATACATCCATCTCTCCTCTTTGTACGACAAAGGGCGTAATTCCACGACGGCTGCCCTGCCTATCATCAGCCTTCGTCTGTCTCACCTCCTAGATCAGGAATCCCGTCAAGCGATTCCTATCCAATCCATGCTGGGATGAATCATTGACGCCTATCGCTATCGATAGACTTGTGCTACAGTCGCACACTTCACCCAGTATTGAACTTGCACCCTGTAATAATATAAGACATGATATGTTTGATATATATCATGAACCAAGAAAACCAAAACCAAAACCAAAACCAAGAACCAAGAACCAAGAACCAAAATAAAGCAAAGCATCTTTCAAAACAAATCCAAAAACAATCCCTCCCTAGCCCACACCTCCTATCCATTCATCCATCCTTGCGCCACGCTCTCAACCCGCGATCGAAAATCTAAGCGCGTATATGAATTCTACCTATCTAGATGAATGTCAGTCCGTCCGTCAATCCATCCATCTATCTCTCTTTTTTCATATCCCACAGCAATTCCCGCTTCCCCCCCAAGTTATTTTCATCCCTCCTCTCCATCCCCAATCTTCTTCTCTCTCAAGGAAATCAAGTCAAGATAAAACAAACTCAAAAACCCAACCAAAACAAATCAAAAGAACACACCAACTAACCCCCCACAAGACCCGACGCACACCAATCAAACAATGTATATGTCACGTCGACGCGTGTCCGACGGGGAATAAAGGGGCTTGCTGTGGTGGGATGTGGTGTTCTTGTGGGAAGAGAAAACCTATTCCGTGATAAATAGATACCTAAATAACCAAAACCTCCCTCACTCAACGCCACTTCCTCTCCTCTCGCAATCCACCCCCCCCCCCCTCCCCCTCTTTTCAAAATACATATCACCCACCACCTCTCTCTCTCTCTCTTCCAGCTTCTTGAACATGAACAAATAAATGGCTTTTTTTTATTTCCCTACCGAATTTTTACAATACATTTGGAACCCCCATATATCACAGCTGCTCATTCATATCCATACCTCCCTCCACAAACTCTCCATCCGTGATACATCCGTGGCTAGCATCGCTGACGACGCGCGAGTACTTGGCCAACGTGCCCTTCTTGTACTTCAGGGGGTGGGGAACGAATTCCTTCCGTCTCTTCTCCAACTCGGACTCGGGGACCACGAGGTCGAGCACTCTCTTCTCCGCATCGATGATGACGGTGTCGCCATCCCGCACCAATCCGATCGGTCCTCCTTCTTGCGCCTCGGGGACAATGTGTCCGATCAGGAATCCGTGGCTTCCACCGCTGAAGCGTCCGTCGGTGATCAGAGCCACGTCCTGTCCCAATCCCGCACCCATGATGGCAGAGCTGGGCTTCAGCATCTCCGGCATACCGGGGCCACCCTTGGGACCCTCGTAGCGGATCACCACAACCGTCTTCTCGCCCTTCTTGATCTCGCCGTTCTCCAAAGCAGTGATGAAGTCATCTTCGGCATCGTAGCACTTCGCCTTTCCTTCAAAGCGCAGACCTTCCTTGCCGGTGATCTTACCAACGCTACCACCCGGGGCCAGAGAGCCGCGCAGGATCTGGATGTGGCCAGTCTTCTTGATGGGGTTGGAGAAGGGACGGATGATGGTCTGGTCTGAGGGGAAGTCGGGTACCTTTTCGAGGTTCTGAGCGAGCGTCTTACCGGTGACTGTCATGCCGGAACCGTCGATGACTCCTTCTTTGAGGAGGAACTTGAGCAGAGAGGGAGTTCCACCGATGTTGGCAAGATCAGCCATGACATACTTGCCGGAGGGTTTGAGGTCAGCGAGGAAGGGAGTGCGGTCAGAGACAGCCTGGAAGTCGTCGATTGTTAACTTGATGCCTACGGCATCAGCCATAGCAATGAGATGGAGAACGGCGTTGGTGGATCCTCCAGTAATCATGACGAGGATCATTGCGTTCTCGAAAGCCTGTCGGGTCATGATGTCTTTTGGTCGGATGTCTTCCTTCAGCAGGGTGAGGATGGCCTCACCAGCGGCAAGACACTCGAGATGTTTGGCTTTAGATTCCGCAGGGTTGGAAGATGATCCAGGAAGGGTCATTCCCATGACTTCAATGGCAGTGGCCATAGTGTTCGCGGTGTACATGCCACCACAAGCTCCACATCCAGGAATGGCGTTGCCGATGATGTCTGATCTGGTCTCCTCCGTAATGTCACCCGAGATGTAGGATCCATACGCTTGGAAAGCAGAAACGATATCGATAGGAGCGTTGTTCTGAGTAGCAGCACAACCAGGCTTAATGGTTCCACCATAGACCATCAGAGAGGGTCGGTTGACTCTTCCCATCGCCATCATCACACCGGGCATGTTCTTGTCGCAACCAGGAATGGAGATATTGGCATCGTACCATTGGCCGCCCATGACGGTCTCGATACTATCTGCGATCAAGTCTCTCGATTGAAGACTGTACCGCATACCCTTTGTGCCCATGGAAATCCCGTCCGAGACTCCAATGGTGTTGAATTGATACCCGATCAGACCGGCTTTCTCCACACCTTCCTTGACCCTGTTGTTGAGGTCCAGCAGATGCATATTGCAAGGGTTGCCCGAATACCACACTGACGAGATACCGACCTGGGCCTTGTTTCTCCCTTCCTCAGTCATCCCCGTGGCATATAACATGGCCTGCGAAGCTCCCTGTGATTTTGGTTGCGTGATTTTGGAAGACATCTTGTTGAGCTTGAGGTCGGCGTCATTGGCTCGACATGAGGCGGTAGATGAGAGGGAGCGGCTTCGAATGAATATTAGCCCACGAGGCTCCAGAGAAGCAATTTGTTGACGGTTCAGCACTTACACATATTGTGAAGCTCTTCTCGAGCTCAGGATGGAGGCATTCGCCCGCATCCTTAATTGTGGAAGCATCTTTGCTATGTACGGCAATACAATAGCCAATTGCGAAGAGATGGCAGCCTCAGTGCTCCTCCACGCGAAAAAGAGAAAATTGCCGTTTTGAGGAATTCGGAGGATGATTCAGAAGTTCGCAGGAATTTGTTCTGGCGCTGACAATACCTTCTCCAGTATCGGAGGGCGGAACAGGTCTGTGCATCGCCAGTGCATTAGCGCAGAAACCTCCACACTAATAGGGGCGCTGTGATTGGTGGGATCAGCCACAGGGAGCTAACCCCTTCCGGACTATTACACTAGCTGTATCGGGAGTAGCGTACCCCTCGACCTCGGCTTCATATGTTCCACTCAAGGAACCAGGAACCCCTCCGCATTTGTCCCTGGACTTTCTATATATCCCCAGGTTCCCATGAACCATATGAGGAGAACTATAATTCCATGTTCTCCCCGCCTCTCTCTCACCTCCCCCCTCCATATCTTCAATCATTAGAGCTTCGCACTTCAGCCGCATCTAACGCACTTTCATTCACATCTCCAACCCCACTCTAAGACACCATGGCTGCTCCCCCAGAAGTCACCATCAAGGACCTCACGGGCACCTTTGTCATGGTATCTCCCCTGCATACCCCATATTCTATACCCCGACTTCTTCCCCGTGAATAAGCCCCGAGCTGACCACCCGCCGCCCTACCTAGAACAAAACGCTCTCCGACGATCCAGACCCCGTGCTCGCGCTCCAGGGCGTCGGCTGGCTGACGCGCAAAGCCATCGGGCTGGCGACCGTCTACCTGCACGTCAAGCAATACACCGACGAAGCCGGCGTCGTGCACATCGACATTGACCAGACGGCCACGGGCGGGCTCAAGGGCACTTCGGAGCTGCGCGCCCTGGACTGGGTCGAGCGTCCCCACAGCGACCATATCTTCGGCCAGCTGAATGGGAAGACGCGGTGGATCAAGATCGAGGATGTCGACGATGACTTTTTGAACCAGGGCTTCTTGGAGGACGACGCTGAGAATGGAGGCCCCGCCGGGGAGCGCCACGTCGAGAGTTTGGTCGTCTCCGATAAGGGCTGGACGGCGCGCCAGATCTGGGGCTTTGCTACGGTGGAGGGGGAGAGGTACTATATCAGGAGAATAGTGGTCTCCAAGGGTGATAAGTCAATCAAGATTAGACTCGTGTACAATTGGCAGAAGAAGTAGACCGTCTATCTGTCGCTGTTGGTTTGTACAGTTTTGCGGGCAGCACCTAGACGTAGGGCTGTGTCCTTCCCTTCAAGGTAGAAGGAAGGCAGGAGGATATTTTGAATATTGAGGTTTAAACCATAGTAGACCATCAATTGGCTACCAGTTATTGTCAATCGTTTAGGTTGTTGCAGTGGGTTGCTGCTATTGCTTTGGAAATACTATAGTCTAGAGACTATTAAAACCATGTTTCAAGGCCTATAGCTAAGTCTAATCAACTGGAACTGCTCTTCATCTATGAGTGCTTCTTGTGAATGTTTAATCGTATGAACGCCCATTACTCTGCATGTCGATTCCGTTGTGACTCCCCGCTCACTGGTATCTCTCATCACCAAGTTTTAGTGCAGACACGCAAGCGCCCCTTTTCATTCCAACTATCCTTAAACGCTTCATGGGATGGATGCCTTCAATCTTGCATCTTTTCAAAATCAATTGCCTCCAGTGTATAAAGAGAGGCCAAAAAGTCCGATTCAGCGTTTGGGGTTTCTCGTCCAATTGGTAAGAATACGACTGGCGTGTCTTCATTCTGAACAGCAATAACTTCAGAGCCGAAACTAGCATTCACAAGCGCTCTGACTTGAAGCCCTCTTTGACCAGGATGTGCTTGTAAATCAATATAAAATGACCGTGCGTGAATTTTCGGATGTAGAGGATGCTCAGGAGACCAGAAGCGGAAAACACCATACCCCACATTGTTGCGAGACGTCGGTGGTACGAAGGCGGGTAACTCGTCATCGCTCGCTGAAAGTAGATCTGTTCCAGAAAGCCGAAGCCGATGGTCTGGAGTGAACTCAAACACGTTGGCTAGCTCAGAATGGTTTGTAACAAAAACCAAGGCCCCTGTACCTAGCCAGGAGAACTGGTGCGTCATGACACTCAAATACCCCTTAGTTGCCCCTTTTGTTAGAGGGATGGCAAGAATCTTGAAGCGAGACACCCGGAGCTCTTCTTGCTTTGTATAGACTTGAGTCTGCAGTAGAGAATTAGTAAATATCCGTAAGAACTAATAAGGCTACGATGCCATCGGGGTGTTTCAAAGGGTGAACCCACATAGATTGGGGCTATGGCTAAAGTTGGGGTTGCTCCAGCACAAGCACAAGCTGAACCATAAACGTTGATAAGAGGCCTGGGATCCGAAGGATAATGGCACAAGCTCTCTACATAATGCGGAGGTTCGGTTGGCATTACTTTCCGGACACTCATCGTGGGCGATCCACTGTGCAGATGAGCCGACCATATCGTTTCCTCTGCATGGTTCGCCAGCATGTTATGGCCGTCATTATTCTGGATCATTGTAACAGTAGCGGTGGTGAGAATACTATGCAGAGAGATATTATCAGCACTTTGAGTCCAAGTGGCAATGGGCAATTTGAGGGGGAGGAAAATCATATACCTGCTGGTCAGATAGAGGGTTGTTGCAAGGAACATATCGCAATCAATCGAGAGACTGCTACGAGTAGGTTCATTGTCGTTGGAGGCAATGGCACTCGCACAACTATCTTTGCATTCCGCATGACTAGCAAGTACACCGGCGTTTCCAAAGCGTGAAGAGAGAAAAAGGATAAGGATTGAGTATCTCATGTTGGAGTCGAAGGCTATTTTGATTATTGGTAGCAGTAGAAAGAAGTATTAGAAGTTTGAAGAATGATGCTCTCAGATATCGGACAGAAGTACTTACTTTATAGAAGCAAACTATAAAGTAAACAATATCTGAGTTCATGGAAGGGAACGAAAGGTACTCTAGGAAGTAAAGTAATTAAGTCGAAGTGGCAGGTGCAGCCTTGCTGGAGGTAACTTGTCGGGGAAAAGCATACCCAGAGACATGAAATTTGAGACGTGCATCTGAAGAAATTCAGCAATCAATTCCCTAAACTTCTAGTTGTCAAGATAGGGAGACTCAAAAGACTTGGACTATTGAGAGTGATTATGCCTCTCCTTCCTAAGAAACTAGAGGCTACCTTTGTTCCGCACACGAAGTACTTACAAAAGGTTTGGCCAATACTATGCGGAATTCCTTGTTCGCACAAAATTTGCAATGCCATATATCTCATATCATGCCACCATTCCTAGCCCATAGGATTTGCGTAAAGTGAAAATATCTGGGACTGCCACAGTTCCTTAAGAGCTTCCATCCTCAGCCTCGGCTAGGCTTCTGCTACTTCTTGGTCTGTCTTCCCTTCACTTTTTTCGCCCCTGCTTCATCGCTTGGTTTCCCTTCCGCCTTCCTCTTACCCATATCTTTTGTTTCCTTCTCGACCTCAACCCCAGATTCGCTTTTCTTGGGTCTTCCCCTTCCTCTCTTCTTGGGAACATCCACGCCGTCATCTCGTTGTTTGACAGATTCTTTCGTCGGATTTGGAACTTGGCTGTCTTTCTTTTGCTGTGGTTCGCTTGAAACGTTTTTCTTTGGTGGACGTCCGCGGGGTCTCTTAACTTTCGTGGTTTCATTGGATTGTGGAGAGGGGGCGGGTTCGTTCGACAGGTGATTGCTGTCAAGTGGGGGAATTATTATGTCGAAGTTCCTTTCAGGTTGGGTAGTCGACTGGGATGGCTTGGGCGAGGATGGTCTTGGTAATGACTGATGTTCGAGTTTATCATCTCCTTGAATTTCGTTTCCACCATTACCTGAACTTTGTTGCTCTTTGTGGTGTTGGTCTTCTGCTACTGGCTGCAGATGAAATTCTTCGCCTTCGTCAAGTCCTTCCTGGTCAGACGGTTTACTCTGTTGGGGCTTTACTTTTACCAAATCAGAGCATTCTTCATATTGACTCGGACCCTGGTAGGTGCGAGCGTTGTCCTGGTGTTTCTCCTCATCAGGTTTCTCTTCGGATTCTTGAACTTCTTTATTCCCCTCTTCATCAGACAGTGGTACGTTGGTTCCGCCCCCAATTAGTTTCGCCGTTGGCATAGCGCTTATCTCTTTCTGAGTGTCCCTCAATAGGCCTCCACTTGTATTACTTACCCCGGTGTCAGTGTCTCCTAGTTGAGACCCTTCCGCCTCAGGGGCTGTCCCAGCGGAAGACCCCTTCTGGTCACTTTTGTCGTCAGCCTGACGAGGCTTTTCACAGACCGTATCCTTTGCTCGATTTCCTTGCTGGTCGAAGGTTTCTGCGGCTTGAGTTTTCTTCTGACTTAGATGTTCAAGTCCTTCTTCCGGATGCATATCTCCACCTGAGTCTTCATATGGTTGGTTTCCTTCAGGGCCAATTTTGTCTCCTGTTCGGCTTGGTTGTATATCACGTATGCTCGCTTGTCCCAGTCTTCCATCCTCAGCTGCGGTCACTTCTGCTAGGCTGTTCACTGCCAAGTTTTCTTTCTCCGCCAACTTAACTCCGTCACTCTCCTTCCCTGTGACCTTCAAGGAGTGAGCATCGGTTTCCTTGATGTCGAGCTCCTGAGGCACTCCGTTCCCCGATATCTCAGTGTCGGCTGGCGCCATTTTTGACTCTCTATCCTGCGAGTACGTCGACGTTGATTTTTGGGTTTCCTTGGGCCTTAGTATCTGTACTTGTATTAGCCTTGGCTTTATTCCACTTGGTTTCAACCATTATTCTCCTGTCTTCTGTGACCTGGACTTCAATCTTGAGTCTCTCAGTTTCCAACTTCACTTACCGTTTTGGATTCCGCTTTCTGCGTCTCGATTTCTTTGTTCCGACTTCCGATCGGAGTTCTCTCTGATTCGGCTTCTCCAGAGATCTTCCTCCCATCAAATTCCATCCCTTTCTCTCGTGTTTTCTAAATCATGCGCTCCGGCCTCCCTTTTGAGCGTGAATGAAAGATGTCTCGGCCTCAGCTCTAGTAGTTTTGGTTCTAGCGCTTTCCCACTTCTTAACCAGCTCCTCTCTCGACGTAGTTGAGGGAAACACGTAGTTGAGGGCTCCTAGTTGCACCCTAGTAAGTTGTGGTTGATGTCTCAACTGGTGGAAGAGGCGGGTTTCTCGGGCAGCCTTTCTAGGTCTTCTGGCTGAGGAACAATGGCAAAGTAGGATATAATACAATTGGGTTGCCCAATACCCAAGCGCAAAATCGCCAAGTAAACACACCTCTAGGAGACAAACAACGCGTCATCCGAATGTGGCTCCAGGGAGGACCTTTCGGCTTCCATTCAAGCTTTGGGAGGTAGGGACAATAAAGTAACCTTGGGACTCGATCTGGGTTGTTATGGAATTATATGGGGTGAATTACCATTGAACTAAATAAAGCGTTGTTGTAGTAGAAGGGAATGGAAGGTACCAAAACCGCCTCACTCTCTCGAGCAACACGAAGCGAAGCGGTAGATCCAAGAGAAAAAAATAAACAATGGAAATAAAACCACCACAATCACTAAAACCACAAAAATAAAACAAAAAAAAGGGGGGGTACACTAGTTGAGATAGTATAGGTAACATATATCTCACTGTGAGAGACCGTGCAACCAGTAGCCCAGTGAGCGAATCAACAGGGATACTAGTATACACAGAAAGCGACTTCGTCAGGTGTTCGTACTCGAAGTTTAGACCAAACGATCTTGGCCAAGGGACTCTTTAGGAAACACAAGCTTACGTGTCATAGTGAGGAGGAAGGTGTACTCTTCGACCACCAAGTTCTTTGTCTCTTGTGTTTGTTTGGTTGGGAACAAAACCCTTATTTTGAATCATAAGGTAGGTGAATAAGCGAGGCCCTCCCGATTGTCCTCACGCGTTCGAGTACAACTAGGTAGATGCCTATCGCTCTCGAAATCAAGATACAATTGCACCTGGACAGCGATCTTCTGCAATAGAAGATCGTATTCTTATACGATGCAAGTGCATCTAACCTTTGTACCTCCCCTTAAAGTACATTCTTTGAAACACTGAGGAGCAGGCTGGATATAGGGGGACAGTCCAAATGTCTCCCTCGCGAGGAGTGATTGCCTGTTCCCACAAATATCAGAATCAACTACAGAACTGAGTTATCATTTCTATTGGGGAGTCTCAAAGAAATATCTTCAGCAAACAGTAGGAAAGTTATTTTCGCGTTCCTCAAGTGGCAGACAAAGTTGTTACAAATTGCATGAACCCCTTTTCCCCTTCGCTTAATGAAATGCCACGTGATCTAAGATATTGACAGAGGCTGTAGACGGCCCTTCTTCTGGAAGGCTGCTTAAGGTAACTTTACTGGCCTCCGATGAATTCAAGTCATAATCCTCTGTGATTGAGTATATTCACATTCGTTACAATGAACTTACATCAACAGTGAGGCTTCACTTGCAACCCAAGAAAATGATATCAAATATTTAGCAGCCATTTCCTGAGAACAAACATTTGACTACCGCGTGTAAAATTACTTTGCGGTCAAGAACCATGAAATAAAGGAAAACTGCACTTGCAAAAGTCGAGGTCACCAAGTGGCTTCATCGCTTGAAAACATCTAGAGCTGCTTCAGATAGCTCAGAGCAGGAAAGCTACATAAAGCCACTTCAACATCTTAATGGGGAATCTTGCAAAAGCGGCTTCGCAGTCATATCGGAAATCGAGGATTTGGGAGCAACCCTTTGAGAATCGGCTGGATGATCTCTCCCAATCTATAGAGTTGCTCTCCTTCACTAATAAGTCCAAAAAGGATCGGTGCAAAAGTATAACTGTACGGTATGGAGATGCCGAGATTAAGGAAGCATGATCAGCATTGAAATGACATATATAGGAGAAAATTGTAAACAGACAATCGCCACTATGCGGCTGGAAAGAAGTTCGTGGTCTCCGGTCTGTTGGATTGTGAAGGGTTTGCAGGATGTGAAGTAAGGTTGCCGTGTTGGATTACACTAGTCCTAACGAAGTAGGTGGGGTAGGTAAGGTAGTTCAGGCTTGAGTACCGGATTCTCATCAATCACTCCGGATCGTGACAATATATCCAGTCCAATACCATGAAATTCTTATATGTTCAATCAAGAGAGAATCAATTAGCTCAGTATGAACAGGTAGTGTAAGAATAGGCAATGAACCTTCGAACAACCTCAATACAAAAGCGTCTTGGTTGAAGACCCCCCCAACCAAGGACAAAGCAACCAAAATGGCTACTCCAAGAACCCTCCACTTCTCCACCGATTTCTGCATCAGCTGTGGCACGGTCACAGTAGATATCCAAGCCAAAAAAGCCCTCCTCATCTTCGACCGTCTAAAAGGCGAGTACCTCCTGCCAAAGGGACGCAGAAACATCGGCGAAACGCTGGAGGCTGCAGCCGTGCGTGAAACCTTCGAAGAAACGGGCATCCGGTGCAGATTGCTGCCGCATTCCTTCCCAACCCTCGCGACGCAGCCTGCTGATGCCGAGGCGGACGCTGGAAAAGGTGGGGAAGACCTATCGAAAGATGGAAATGAACGGTTGACTACAGAGCCGATTGCTGTTCAGCAGCGTGCCTCGCGGGGTGTATGGAAGATCATCTTTTGGTTTGTGGCCGAGGCGGACTCTACGGTGGATAAGATCGATGGAACGCAGGAGGAATGGGAGCAATACGATACGTTGTGGGTGGATGTGAAAGATGCGAGACAGATTATGTCACGGGAGGATGATAGAGAAATTCTGGGTGAGGTGGTGGAGTCGGTCTTTGGGCTATGAGTTCGAAGGATGCTAGGAACCTGCAGTGGATTATAGGTTAAAGCTAGAGGAGAACGGACTATAAGATTTGCTTCATTCTGGAAAATGGGGTATGGAGAATAGGGAAGAGCCATGTATGTCCATGTTCGAGGACTTGGATGAGAGCACAGTACGGGATGTCTCTGGCTGCTGGGACCTTATAATGGAACACTATCAGATAATTGGTTCCGTGAATGTCGATGGTCCAACGGAGGGCCCAATCTTTGAAACCACAAGATCACTGTCTCGTGGTTCTTCTAGATTGAAATGCCTTCGCCTTTGTCCTATACTCTTGGAGGGGTTCAATATACTTTGTTTAGAGTTACTACGCAGCAAGCAAACAGTCGTATTGCAACTACAGACCTCTAGGGGTATATCCATCTATGGGTATATCCTGCTTGATGCACAAAGCATGTCCCTGACGCCAGTCATGCCAAAGAAGATGCCCAATCGTTGCTCATCTCTGATTTCTCGTATAGCCCAAGGAAATCTCCCTCAGATCGGGGTTTGGAGCACAAGCTCCTATGTTCACCGCCCTATTATTTTATCCTCATGATAGCGTTGCTTCTGCTCCGCTCGCCTTTACTACCCCGTCAACTACCCCGTCACCTGAATCCTGTGCCGTCATTGCGATAGGTTTTCCTCTTGATTTGGATGTTAAGCTTACGAGCTCCTTCAGCATCAATTCCCGAGTATCGCGCGTTAGATCATCGACGTCGGCAGAAGTCAAATTTTTCGTCTCAATGGGTTTTAAGACTTGTATAGATTAGCACGAATTTGCACAGGTCAGAATTCACAATAGCAAGAACCTACCTTTAACGGGAATTGTTCCAGCGTTAAACCTCCACTCTTTCGCATATAGCACATCTGAGTAGTTCGCTACCACCACCGGCACAATTGGCACACCTGCCTGGACGGCTAAATGGAAAGCCCCCTTCTTGAATGGTAGCAACGTTGGCTCCTTAGCATAGCTCCTTGTGCCCTCGGGGAATATATAAACACTCTGCTTCTCCCTCTGGATCTCCTCAGCCGCGCCTGCCATGGCTTGTCGTGCATTCGTCGAATTGGCCCTGTCAATGAAGACCGTACGCGACAGAGCCATGAACCATCCCAGAAAAGGGACGTTCTTCAACGATTTCTTTGCAGTAACCGAGCAGTATTTGGGGAATATGTGTCCCAGCATGAGGACATCGAGCTCCGTCTGATGATTCCCAATGAAGACGGCGGGTCGTGTCTTGTTCAGGTAGTCGTTCGGGTCTTCAATCGCGAACTGGATGCCAGTTGTACACCACATGACATACTTGAAGCTCCTTGCGGTGGCCCATTGTGAAATCCGACCATATCCCACGGCGCGCAATACGATAGAGGCAACGACCCCGTAACAGGCGCAAAGTAGGAGAGAGGCATACGAGGCGAGGGAACGTGCAACGAACCCAGCGGGTGGGAGTATGCGGGACAACATGTAGAGAAAGAGAGTGAGGACCCAGTAGACAACGGCGAAGGTTCCGAGGAACTGGAGAACGGCGGACATGTCGGGATTACGGCGACGAGCGGAGGACGGTGTACTTGTAAGCTAGCGGAGGCCCTCTCGAGGAGGGAAGAGGGCGAACATATGATGCTTTCCGGGGAGAAATTATAGAACGTCGCTCCAGATTCGGTGGCCGACAAACCTAGTCGCGAGCGTTGCCGAGGCGCTAGAGCGTTTACGGACTTGCGCTGTAGAAAACTGTTCTGGTGACTGGCAGGGTTTGAGGACGGTTGAGAAACATACCCCAGAAGTATGCAAGGCCAGTAATGTACGTAATTTGACGTCGGGTTTAAGATATACAAAGCAGATTAGGTACTATATCTACCTACCTTACGTATACGGGGAAGAAATCTAGAGCTTCGAAGCCCGAGGGGTTTGAACCTGGTTAGATCTCTTACGTGCCTGGGATTCGAGGTATCAAGGGATGGAATCTAAGGCACCAAGGGATAGAATCTATTGCTCAAGGTAATCAAGATATAAAACCGGCAGAATTCCATACTAAAGTATAGCCCCGCTCTACCATTGTCATTCTAGGTTTCTTGGATAGTACATCGTAGGACCATTCCGAAAACATACCGGCATCACAGAGGGGCAAATTAATCCCCTGGGTTTTCACTTTCGCCTTCTACAAGTGTTGACCTCTCGAAAACCGGATCCAACAGTCCGGCATGGCTTCAGGTGGGCAGAAGGCGGATGTGACCGTGGGCGTGCTGGCGTTGCAAGGTGCCTTCAGCGAGCATGTGCAATTACTGAGACAGGCGGCACAGATCCTCGACTCCAAGGACGCTGTCAAGAGGCACTGGGCCTTCCTGGAGGTGCGCACCCCGGCAGAACTGGCATCATGTGATGCTTTGATCATCCCGGGGGGAGAGAGCACGACAATGTCGTTGGTTGCCCAGCGGTCTCAGATGCTGGAACCTCTTCGTGATTTCGTCAAGTGAGTCACCCCATCCTTGAAGAGATCCAGCTGTTAATAAATCCATAGAGTGCTGAGAAAGCCAACGTGGGGAACTTGCGCGGGGCTGATATTGCTTGCGGAGTCTGCAAATCGGACCAAGCAAGGAGGCCAGGAGCTTATCGGCGGTCTGGACGTTCGAGTCAACCGCAACCATTTCGGACGCCAAATTGAGAGCTTCCAGGCCAATCTAGATCTTCCCTTCTTGAAGCAGGCTGATGGGAAGGACTTTGATACAACCCAGCAACCGTTCAGGGCCATCTTCATCCGGGCACCCATTGTGGAGAAACTGCTTCCACGTGTTGCTGGTCCCCAAGAAGGAGAAGCAAAAGTTGAAGGCACAGTCGTTGCTCCCTCGAGGCCGATTGACGAACAGGTGGCCAAAAGCGTCAAGCTGGGAGATGTCGAAGTCATGGGGATCCTACCAGGTCGGTCTGCTGCGCTGAAGGATGATGCCACGAAAGAGAAATTGGACGCAGAGGCTGGAGATATCATCGCTGTCCGTCAAGCCAATGTGTTCGGCACGAGCTTCCACCCCGAATTGACTGGCGACCCGAGAATACATGTTTGGTGGCTCGAGCAGGTGAGGCAGTGGACCGAAGGAGCGGTGCACCCTTAACCCGCTCACTAAAAATCAACAAAGGCCACACCTTCCTACTTGACAGCTTGCAGATGGACTGGCAGATGAAAAGAGATGCCCGAGAGACATCGATCACGTGATTCTGCCTCACAATACTGAGGTGGAGTTCAAGGGAACCCGACCCAACGAATTTCCTGTGGTTAGTGCATTTCAGCAGACTTATAGACATGTAGACAATAGAGATGATATCTTACTACATGTGATAACCCAGTGTTTGTTCCAATGAGAAAAGATAAGAGGTTCGTGGGGCCCATGTTTGGCCAGGAAGTGCGTTGCTGCTCATCTGCGGACAGTCTTGTCGGAAGTCTGATCTATCCGATATGGGAGGTCTGCTAGATGAACGGTTTAGGCTGTTGTCAGGGTTATAAGAGAGTATTTCTTGATATCAATGAACATATTACCTATACGTTACAGGGATTAACGTACTCAAAAGAAGCATGAGCAGCATCTGCTTTCGGAATGGTGGGCGTAAATAAGCCTCATTGGTATTCTCTTTCGCCTCATGATCTAATACTACGCTGGAAGCCATGATAATTACACAACCAACCACAACTCCATTCTCGTCAACCATCACTAGTATCACTAAACCGTAATACACCATGAGCATATGCCGTCGCTCGATCATCAGCTCTCGTCTATCTTATTGACTTCGGCTTTAGCCTCTTCCCAAGTATCCTTGTTCTTCTTCGCCCATTCGATTTGACTCTTAGCGTAGGCAAGCTGGAAATAGTTAGTATCATAATACAAAGAGAAAATTGGGCAGTCGTTGAATACTTACCATATATCGCTTCAGGTCATCTTCCTTCTCTGCTTGGAAACGCTTCAAATCCTTCAATATTCCACTACTGGCATTCCGGACGTCTTGCTCTGATGCTTCTTGAGCTTGTTCCAATTGCCCAATCGACTCTCTCGTCTTGCCAATCAGATCCCTCCGTGTTCTTTCTGGGTCGACATCAACAACGCCATGGACTGCATGGCTTATGCGCCCAAAGATCTTATTGGTAATGAAGTTGCCGCTCGAGCTTTTCCGATGGGTAGGAGAGGCCTCAGTCTGGGGAGCTCCTTGGGTTGCCGACGGTGTACTGGAAGGATCGCCGTGAGTGGGTGGGAAATCTGAATCTATGGAAGCAGTATCCTCCTGGGCATTCTCTCGTCTTTGGAGTGGTGGCTCTCCAGCCGAAGATGCCGATCGACGATGTAAATTACCCGTACCGCTACTGCTGAGATATTGCTCGATTCGCTTGGCTTCTGCTTCACTTCTCTCCAAAGATTCAAGTAGTGTTCTCTTCTTGGATAACTCATCACTTGTCATCTCTTGTTGGATCCTCTTCAACACACGATATCGTAGGACGTTTCGAACAACGCCAGCAAATTGCGCACTCTCGCGCATAGGTTCGGCAAAACTCGCACCTAACGATCCGGATAACTCTTCCGTTGCTATGTATGAGGAGTCAACAGCTTGGCCAACTCGCTCAATAGCCGCCGCCAAGGATGGGGACGGTTCTGAAAGAGCGAAACCATTAAACCTAGCACCGAGCTCTGCAAGATCCGAAGCTAGCGAGGATAAGTGCGTCAAGGTCCGACGATTAACTTTCTCAATTGGACCAGTCAACAGTGATTCAAGATCTTTCGTTGCTGACTCAAAATTAATGAAATAAGGATCAAGATCCTGCTCGCTCAGATTTTGGGAATCGGGTGGAAAGCGACCAGAGAGTTGTTGGCCAGGAGCTGTGTGTGCAGCGGTCGAAGGACTCGCCATGTATTCGGATGTTTGATTTGGCATGTTTTGTGGATTGGTAGGGAGATTAGATACGGACTTGAGCTTAGCAGATGATGCGGGGATAGGAAGGAATGCATGAGCTGGTGAGGGGTTGGCGGGGTCAAGTGGTGGAGCTTTCATATTGGACTTGGGAATTGATGCGATGGGGTGAGAATGCAGGACCTCGTTCTTATTACAATTAGCAGAAGCAGAAGATCGGACAAGACGTGTAGCTTACCCAGCTTGCATTTGGATCAAGGAATCTCCACCAAACTCCATCGTTCCGGACCTCGTCCATTCTCCTGCATCTGTTCAGGAACACAGCTAACATTCGTTTTCGAAGATCGATAATTTGCTGGTCCTGCTTTGCTTTTGTCGGATTTGCAGCATAATCAGCCATTGTGTGCTTCTCCGGAATGGGCGGTATGATCAAGGAGGGGTGTAATCGAGAGAGCGCATCTCTAAGGGAAGCAAATTCAGAATATCTCCGGCGAACTTCTAGATCCTGCCAGGAGGTCAGCGCGCGGAGCTCAATCTAGAGATACCAGACTCACACCCGTCCGTATGGTGTACACGATGTATTTCCCTCCGCTTTCCACGCTCTTGCCAGCATCAACAATTAAGATGGGAAGATCGGGGTTCTCATAGAGAATTTGCTCAATTCGACTGTCGTAACCACCCTTCTTCTTTCTCGCAGCAACTTGTGTAGATCCTCCATATTCCTCATCACTGCCATCACTCGTGTCATCGTAACGCTGAGCCGGAAGGTCACTCTCGCCTTCGGGGTGATCGCTTATGGTGGAGGGAGTGCGGGGCCCAGCAAAGCCATGTTCTACATGCTCCCAATCGTTGTCAGTGTCAGGCTCATCATCATCGAGGCAAATAGAGTGCATCATCTTGCAATCCTGCAAGCGTGGCAAGGCAGATAAACTCACGAGAGCCTGGAGAGAGGGGATTCGTGGTGGAGGAGGTAATTGAATCGCGACGCTCAAAGCTGGTCCCGTAAGGGTTATTATCTTCGTCGTTCCACATCATGCGCGATCGCGAGCTCCGTCTGGAGCTGTGCGAAACAAACGGATGTGGTGAATCTTGTTGTTGTGAATAACAAACGCGGTTAATATCCTTTGGTATCCCGCCTGAGGGAAGATTACAGCTGCTTATGACGAAGCTTACGGAGTAGCCGAACGGGTGCACAGACCACCTCTGGTTGGAAGCGACGGACGACTACCGACGAAGGCTGATACTTCACCTTTATCAACACAGATATAAATAGCTACGTCAATATATGCTTTCAGGACGCCTACCTATTCAAAAGCCTTATGAAGAGGCTCATGTTCATGATTTTCCTGTTGCGTATCTCTTATATTCCCGGCCTTCTCTTGGGCTTGGGAGCTTTACCCCTCGGTTCAGCTCTTCAGTCTTGACAGACATTGGTACCAAACAGCCTTTACCTCATTCATTGTCTCAAGTGCAGTCACTACAATGGGCTCAGTTAATGGCAAGGTCCTCAGTCTATTTCTGCTAGATACATTCTGCTGGTCTAAAACACATATGGCTTTTGAAGCTCTGATACCTCGTCCGTGAATAGCTTCTGTCTCACAGCCATGCTCTACTGTATAAGTGAGGGTTGGCTTGTATTGCATAATCCAGAGTAAGGGAATAAAAAAGTTTCTACCAAGGCCTTTCTTTTTATCAGTATAAGTCTAGCAATATTCATGCAGATTCTCAGCTTGCATCAGTTCTTTTGGTTATTACCATTTAGTTTCAAAGTTTTTCAGTAACAGAATCCACCAAGTGCCCTGATTTGATTGCAGTATCATCAGAACTTTTGTAAGCCAGCCTTCCTGCAGGTACCCGAGCAATCATCTGGAGTTACGAAGGGATACAAAACCTGGTCACAACACTTGCATGAGTCTGCATTTATTATTTATTTTTGGGTCTGATTGGCCTTGGAGAAAGCATGGTAGTATTTGCTTGTTGCACTTCATTTCGTACTTGTGCCTCTGCTTGTAACTACTAAACAGCAAGCCGGTCTCTGACTCTAGAGCTACGATCTGTTGCTGATGACTCGGTTTCAATGTAGTGGCTTTCAGCATCTTCCTAGAATAGGGCAGCCTATTAACTCGAGTCCATCGCTTCATCCATGTCAGTGATATTACTGTTGTGTCGAAGACCTCCTTGGCCGGCGCCTTCCTCGCGAAGTTGCAACACTTTGGATTCCTTCTTCCACTGCTTTCGTTTGACTCCTCCTTCGAGGTCGGTCTCTCTCGTTACTGCGCCCCCTTGTTCGCTCAACCGGTGGCTCCCTCGCGCCCCGACTTCTGGGCTCTCTCGGTAATCGCATTATCGATGGTGGCATACTGACTGTTGATCTTCTCCCTACTCTAGCAAGGGAAGTAGCATGATTTGTGGAACTTCGCATGTTCGAAATATGAGAACCAGCTTGCATCGGCCTGTGCCTTGTAACCGCCATTGACACATTCTCTGAAGACGCCAACGGAGAAAGTACCATCGGAGGATCTTCCATTCTAGTCGAGACCCTCACTTCGGCGATGGAGTTACAGCTGGAGCTTCTCGATGCCGCGGATGACGAACGTCGCCTTCGGCGACTCCTTCGATGTCTCCTTTGTTGTCTCTGAACTCTTCCCCCATGTGCATGTTTTGGCTTCCCCAAGAAAAAGGCGGCAATTGGTCCTCTCCTTTTCATCCTTCCCCCTTCTTCATCTCCTGTTCTGGGATTCTCTTTCAGTGCTTGTGCTCTTGGCTTCCACCAAAGACCCCATATCAAAACTCCAAAAATACCAATTATGGCGAGAGCGATAGCAACTGCTGTCCCAGCCTGTTGGGCCTTTGGCCAGCAGCTCCATGCTGAGCAGATAAACTGTGATACGTTCATTCTATCTGAACTAGCGGCTCCTGATGACTGAATTGGGGAAGCTTGCGCCAGCGTTGCAGTGTTTAGTTGATTTTTCTCAATGTCAACCACATCCATCGTGGGCAAGACATCAGGCGAAGAGTTACCTGAGATAGGTGGTGGCGGAGGAGCGGTTGGCGTTTGTAGAGACTTGGTAGTCGTTGACCACGGATATAGTATCCCAATAGATCGATCGTTCGGAGCTGCGATGATGGATGTTGTGGAAGTGGCGCTTGAGGTTGGTCCATGGATAACGGTCGAGAAGGTTGATGTTGACATTCAGGAGCTTCGAGGGCTGGTAGTAGAGAGAGTGTGTGTGATCCGAAGATTATAGGACGGCTATTCTGAATACAATGTAGTATTACGAAAGAAATAAGCTAAATGTAAATAAACTGCTGTGTTTCTAATAGTTGCTGGCCGCGAATCTGGGACTCTGTCAGCATATTCGTTCTGACTCGAATCATATGATGCACATATCACAAGAACATTAGTCTTGTTATGCATTTCTCTACAAAGATGCATGTAATTTTGACGTGATGATGTGACTGGTACTAGAGCGTTATTGTGAGAATTGTGTCGTGAGAAGGAAGATGCAGCATCACATAACGTTCATGAATCACTTGTAAACATCAGCAGTATAGTAAGGACTTGGATTTGACTGCACATCTGAATAACACAAGCTCGATAGAGAGCCTCACTTGAATATGATTTCTGATGTAACAGTCGACCTTGTCATCCACGCCTGCTTTTCGCTTCCCATAACATCACACCTTCTATAACAGCCATATTCAAAGCCGCGCAGCACATAGCGAGACTGTGATCGTATCAATCCAGGAAAATTGAACCAGAGCTCAAGCTCAACCCTCCGTGACCATCACTGTAGCTGCAGTTGAAGAAGTTTCTTCTCTGGCATTGGCCTTCGCCCGAGCCCTAAAGAACCACCGTTAGAATGAATCAGACTAAAAGCTGTTGCTTGGGAAGGTTATGTTATACATTCTGATAGCCTGTGTAGGAGAAGTCAGTGTTGATACTTTGAAGGAATATGTGGTGGCTAACCAGTCTCTGAAGTAGCTTCACGCCAGCGTAGATGAGAAGCACAAAGCAGACGAAAATTACGACAATGATGATGCCGATCAAAGTATTGGATTGCATGTTCGCGGTCTCTTATTTTGGTACTGTTGGAGTTCAGATGGATGCCAGGAGGAAAGGAGGGTCTCGGAAATAGCTTGCTGTTACTGTCTGATTAGCCGGGGAAGCTGAAGTCGACGAGATAATAGACAGCGGTCTACCTTTGTATTCCCCAACTTGGATAACTTGCAGGCTTGACTACTTGAGTGGCCGTGCGAAGCTTAGATTTTTGTGTCGGAGAGGTGAACCAGTCCAGACGCGATTGTTTTGGAGGATTAGACGGGGTCGAGTAAACAAGCGTAAAGAGCCCTTCTCCTTTACAGGTTCCAAACCGATAAAAACAACAACATAAGTTAGCGAGTGAAGGCTATAGCTTTCCTTGAACTTCAAAAAGAAGGCTTTCGTGAACCCTTTTATCATGACCAAGAGTAGCAAATCTCTCCAGGGCAGATATGATATCCCCAGCCATAGAAGCTTGGGGCTCCTGAGAGGCGGCACCAGATTCAAGTAGCCGTTCATGAAGTTGAATGACTGCTCTTGCTGATAGAAGGACTCTCATACATGCTGCGAATACAGCGGGCTTTGATGTCCACCCAAGCGGCCCATCCTCTTTGTCAAGAAGGTCGGTCATGATCACCAGCCCTTCGAGCACCCAGGCAGCCAGAGCCGCGTAGGGCTGTGCCAGAATATTTTTGATGTCTGCTGCTGTCCATGAATTCTCCCCCATTTTCTCGAAGGCTTTACTCCACAGTCTTGCTTCTCTAATCTCATCAACAAACAGGTTCTGCTCTTCTTCTACAAATAGCGAGTCATCCTCTTTAAGAACTTTGGAGAAATGGGCCCTGATAGGCTCGAGCTGAGGCAGCGGAGTGTCCAAATCCTGGAAATCATTTCCCGTCATTCGAAAGATGATATTCCGAATAAATAATGGGCTTCGACCATATAACTCGCAGACATATTTTACCAACTCTGCTCGCGCTGCGAGCGGAACTAGAGACTTATGCAGTAATCTTGATACTGTCAGTGCGCTCAAGTCACGAATCTCGTCGTCGTCGTCGTTTAAAGTATCATATAAGGCAAGCAAAGAAGGTAGCATGCATTCATCTGCAGTGATATGGGGTACAAAGTGCGGGTTGTTGTACAATGATTGCAGAGCCGCAGCCGCAGCATAGCGAGTATCGAAATCCTGTCATAGTCAGTATAAAGAATATACGGTGTCAAGAGGAAGATATACATTGCTAGCATTACCAGCAGTTGAGAGCAACTGGCCCCATGCCTTCATCTGGGGCCTGTAAGATTCCATCGGCCATTTGCAATGTCCCTGAGATGCGAACTGGCTGGTAAGAATAAGTCCACTAATCCTAATCTGAGCATTTGAGAGAGACGGGCTCTCTTGCACAATTGATACGGTGGAACCGAGTTCCTTCACCCTATCGTTGAAATCAAGTTTTAAATGGTGAACACTCAGATTGTTGTCGGATTCGGACGCTTCGATCGAACCAGATTCCTTATCAAGAGCTTCCGCAAGATCGTAACAGATACGCGAGCAAACCTCGGGAGCCTTTGAGACTTCGAGAAGGCCAATATATGCCCGAGAAACCCCAAAAATTGATTTGGCTGACGGATTATTTTGCCATGCAACGGGAACACAATCTATCGCAGCTAGGATAATATCGGTGTTGAGCGTTGCTACAGAACTGAGAATCTTTTGAAGAGCACCCTCATCCTCTAGCAGTGCTGTGGTGTAAATCGCTCGGCGAACGATTGCATTTCCAAGAGCCGCACTAGCAGGGCCAGCAGTGGATATCTTTGAATAAGTTTCCATCAGTTGGTTGAATTCTTCCAAGGCAGAATCTGCGAATAGATAGCCAATTGTGGATCGTATCGATGAGGGACCATCAGTTTTAGCATCCCCACTAGAGCAAGATAGAAGAATCTTTGCGATTGTGTTGCTGACCTCCAGGAAAGCTGCGAGAATCTCTGGGTGCTCGCCATTTGGAAAATCATTTGTCTTGGATATTCTGAGCGCAGCAGCAATATCCAATAAACCATCTACCATAATTCAGTAAAACTAATAGGAAACATTTCTCTGACTACTCACCGGTGGCTGAGAGACGGTCAAGCTCTAATCGGCGCTCCAAGATCAGCCTGACCGCGATTAGAACACCATGAAAATGGTTTACTGACTGGTGCGCGCTTTGAATAAGGGCCACCACAGATGATAACCATTCAGGATGCAGAAGCAGGGTGCATATAGTACGGGCAGCTATCTCTCTAACGTGCCAAACCTGACTGCCGAGATGCATTGAAACCAGTCGAGATATCTCATCGCGATATGTAGGAGGAGGTCCAGCACGTCTAATAATGTCAAGGGCCGGAAATACCGATTCCACTGCGCCGATAGTAGGCACGTCGAGTGTCGCAGAGCTCCTTGTATCGGTATCAAGAAGTTTAAGCAAAAGCCCGGGGAGGGAAGGGTATCTGTCATAAGAAAGTCTTGTCGATCGACCATCCCACCCAGCTTCAGTGATAGCTTTACTTTCACTGGTGCCAAAAAGACAGTCGATAAGGCTTCGTAATAGGAGTAGCCCGCAATTTCGAATTGCCCAGCTTTGAGATAACGTCAGCAGAAAGTAGTCGAGAATAATTCGCCTACTCACATCTCGGAATTGAGGCTGTCTGCGGCAAGTTGCAAACACTCCGCTATATGTCCTTCGGACTTCTTACCCAAAGTAGAGCTCTTGAAGATCTCTTTCAAGCAGTTCATAGCATGGACTTGAGGTAGATTGGTCTCATCCTTTTCCGATAGTACGACTGGCCTTTTGGCCAAAGATATAAGCTCCATCATGACATCTTGGAAGGATGGATTGTCTGAATTTGCAGATAGAATACCCGTCATTAGTGCCGGAATTCCGGCTGAGCGTCTTGTCGTTGAAGCTTGTTCGAAGATGCATCTCATGGCGCCCTGACAATGTCAATCTTATGCAGATAGTGAGTTTGTAATGGGAAGGAAAAACATACACGATGCCATCTACTAAGAATATGAGGATCCAATAACTTAACAGAAATCTGATTTTGAGTGAGTTGACAACATCGAGCAAAAGTCAAGGATACAGTAGAGAACGCTCCACGGTGACGGAGGCTAGAGAGCTGTTCGAATGTGAGATTTCCAATTCCTGTAAAAACTTCTGTCGAGATTACGGCTGAACCATCTTCCCAAGTGGACGTAACTTTGCCAGCCATAGTTCTCATGAGATTGCTAGAGACGACAATTAGCAATAATTATCCGAGTTTCGAATGGTTAAATGCCCACGCACCTCGACTCGTGAACCGCTCGAAAGCTGTAACTCAAAACATCCTTTGTATCGACACTATCAAGCTCATCAATGTCTAGTGGTAAATAACCTTCTGGAGAATCATTGCATAGTACATCTTTGACCTGCCTCCAGATCCGAGAGCATGCTGATAACATGAGCTCCTGCAGGTTTTCCCACCCCTCGCGGCCGCTCTCTTCATTTTGAGATGGATTACTTTGACAGTCAGAGGCAAGATTGATCGATTCCCACACGAGACTAGGCATAATAGGTCAGCAGCTGTATGAATTCGAGGAAGGTCCGTCTGTTACTTTAGAGCAGAAAATGTCCCATGAATAGGGGCATCTATGACAGCTTGAGCGAGATCTTGCTCTGCAATTTGCACCTTTGCGTCCAGGTCATGAAGTAGCTCTTTTACTAGATCGAAGCGGGACTCTGCAGAAGGAAGGAGACTGTAGAGAAGCTCGTAGCACCGAGCGACACCATCGGCATAATCAGCGCGGCCCGTCCGTTTGGAAAGTTCTTCCGCCCGAGTAATGAAATCCTCTAGAGGGCCTAGAGCTCTGCCTGCTCTGGTCTTCTGCGATGAGGTAGTCGGGCTAGCCGGTACTCGGTGGTCAATCGCCGGTTCTGTGCTATGCAGTTGCGTTACTGGTTTTCTCCGCAAGAGCTTTGGCTTGTAATATTCTGAGTCTTTTGTCGCTCGTCCAATAGCAAAGTCATCGCTGGATGTCAGCTTCAAAATAGCGGTCGCACTACTTCGTACATCCTCGAATGGGTCCATAAGAAGATCCAGCAGAAGTCGCATAGACCTTGGGGTAAAGAAATTAATAGTATAGGGCCAGATTGGGGTATTACCCGAAACTGGAGGTGATGATAGTGCGGGGGAAAGGTTCTGTATTCCGGACCGGAGCAGCAGTGCAATGGCTCTTAGTGCTGTTATGTGGCGCTGATAGGATACTGTTGGAATGAGTTCACCCAACAAGAATTCCAGGTACCATTCAATGAAGCTCTCATGCCTCTGCAGAAGTCTGGAGATCTCGTCATACAAATCTTGATTTGTTTGAGATCTGAGCGAAACATCAGAACCATGTGACAAGGACGGTGCTTCAAGCTCTCGATGTAGATAGGCGGTCGCCCCTCTAATTCTTTCGATCATCTGTTTCGTATTACTGAGAACATCATTCCGAAACTTTGCATCTGTGTCTGCGTACAGGATTCCCATGTGTAACTGGAGAAAATCAAGAGCCATCGAACTGAATGGCCTGATAGAAGAAGGTGACGATACCAGCACAGAGAAAGCAAGTGATCGAACTGTATTAGACGCGCAGGTCAAGAGAGAACCTATCACCTCCTCCTGGAGGATTACACAATTGGTACTCTTTTTGAAAGATTTATGAGACTGGATAGTGCCTACACACATATATCAGCATAGCGACAAGCACAACTTCGAAGAAACATACTTGGTTCCTCGACTAGCCCAGCTTTCTTCCCTGCCTCAATAGCAGCCAATTGTAGCAACGAATGTGCATTCAATTCCCGTGCGTTGAGGTCAGAAATTGGTCTTTGCTTGTTAAGATCTTCCAAAAATGACAAAGATCCAGGCCGGTCAAGTTTGAAAAGAGCCGGGAAAAGATAATTCTTGACATTCTCCAGGGCGTCTGGATTCTTGTCAAGCCCACTTCTGATCCATCGTTGCCACAGAAGTGTGTGATCAACTACATCATTGCCAGAAATTCTTTTCATTTGCCCGAATAGAGTCACTAGGCACTTCCCTGCCGCTGGTGAGATGTCCGGCAAAGTCATCCAATCGAATATATCAGAAATAAGGGGATCCCAACGGGCCAGTGTCTCTGCCTTTGCATGGGTATATAGGGCACTTTTGATTGCTATCTTTTCATAAATTTCAATCACCTTCACAGGATGAAGAGTACGTTTACTCAGAAAGAACTCCAGTGATTTGAATGCAGGCTTGACCAAAGGTTGAGCAGCTTGATGAGTGATAATGGAAACAAGCCTGAAAAGGATCGACTCCTTAATGGAACTGGCAGTTTCTTCCTTCGGATGAAGGGCAATTAAAGATGCTATTAGCTCCAGCACTTGTCTCATTGACCGGTTCTGGTTCTTCTCGTTCCATTCAATGTAGAAATTGAACAAGTCAAGAGAGGCTTCTTTTGAGAGGGCAACCTCCTGGATCAGGGGCGATTGAGAGCTTCTGCATTGTTCAACGAAGTAACATAGCTTTATGCAAGCATCTCTCGAAACATGCCGTGGTTGAGCAGCCTGGTCAAGCAAACTATCCAGCCTTTCTCGGGCATATCTGCAAGTTGTTAAGTCAGAAAATCTAGACAGGGTCCGAGTTAACTTACCTGGATTGAGATGGGCCCACCTGAGACTCGATCCATTTTATAATCAATCGGTCGTCCACATCCAGAGGCACCTTTCCAACGCCGGATGAGTCTTCATCCCGGCCCTGATGTTCTGTGCTCATTTCTTAAGAACTCCACGAGTGTTATCTGCACAATATCAACGCCATAGATTGACAATTGTTTTACTGATATTGGGCAAATACCACTGGGTATTCTTCGTATCCGAATAAATAGAAGTGTAAATCTTGAATTTGATGTCAATATCTAGCTATAAGCTGTTTGAAATTTTGAAGTTCAGAAGTTCGCCTTTTCCCTTTTGGTCATGTGAGGAAAGCGCACGGGCCACATCCGATGTTTAAACTTTTTCAAAAGCTGGACATCGTTGACCTCAATCTCGACCAGCGCCAAAGCAAACAAACCCGACCGCCCGCCCTCTGCCTCTCCAACACGCTTCAAGATGTCGATCTGGGATAAGCTTACAGGACGCAAGTCATCCTCAACGAGTTCTAGTACCTCATCCTCAGACACAACAACCGACTCTTTCCAAACCACTCCTTTCAATCCCTCGGAAGCCCAAGATGTCTCCTCTTTCCTCACAGGCCCTTCCTTCGCCGATCCATCACAATTACATCCCCTTGCCGGTCTTAACCAGCAGACACTCGACTACCTGTCACTAGAAGACTCCACACTCTCAGATCTTCCCGGCGCGCAATCAGCTTTGCCATCGCGAGGCTGGTCGGACGATCTATGTTATGGTACGGGGGTAACATACTTGACAGCCTTGACAGTAGGGGGCGCGTGGGGGTTACAGGAGGGTCTTAGAAGATCAAACGGCCAACCTCCGAAGTTGCGACTAAACTCGGTGCTAAATGCAGTCACACGGCGAGGACCATTCCTAGGCAACTCGGCGGGTGTTATCGCGATGGTATACAATGGCTTCAACTCCTTCCTTGGTCATATGAGGGGAAAACATGACGCGGCAAACAGTATTCTGGCAGGAGCATTGAGCGGGATGGTCTTCAAGAGCACCAAAGGTGTTCGACCCATGATGATTTCGGGGGGGATCGTGGCTACAGTTGCCGGGGCATGGGCGGTACGTCAATTCCTTTCTAGTGATATCTCTTTATACTAACGGTAACGCTGGCAGGTAACGAGAAAGGCACTCTTTTAATGAACCCTTATCAAACTCATCTGGCTCATCCTCCCTCCTCAACATTCCTCCCCTAGGCCTCTCGAGCAACAGACTATGACATACGCCGAGACGTCGAGCAAACCGAAATCCTTTCCATGTACCAGTACCTTTCGACCAGCATCTTTCGCCTTGTTTGATTACTAAAGATTTGTTTTTGGGCGCGGGATGCATAAGCGATGGATGATCTCACCTCTGCCTCGGGAACATGTAAATATAGACTGATAGACGCCGCGGCGTGTATCAAAGGCGCGGTGGGCGTCTGCAGAAGAACTGGAGCATAATGCAAGTATATTAAGACTTTTGAAGGACTCGTTCGCGAGCTGCGTGTGAATCCCTGATCTACCTAGGAGCATGCGAGATCTTGGGTTTCAACTCGAGCCATTTATGACTTTTAAGTGCCTGTTTCACCTGATTGAGCCAAGAATGTTTATCCTTGAAGATGCCGTATACGATCACTTGTTTTCTTACGTTCCCTTGATGTTTGAATATAATGGATGGTTCAAAGTTGGCAGATCCTCAAAAATCTTCTGTGAGGGAAAGGTTGATTGGTGATTGCTAAGGTGCCTAGGTGTATTTTCGTTCCAATTGTTTTGACTTTTGGGTTTGGGGGAAGAAGGAACATGCGACTTCCAGCTCATTGAGGTGGGTATTAGAGAAAAGGTCGATTTTCCCTTCACCCTCGTCAACTTTACGATTCCAATTCGACGCGACGCCAACAGACACGCCTTCCTTCATACAAGACAGCAGGAATCATGTCGCAACTGATACCTCCCAAGGAGGCAGCGGAATTGTATATTGAGTGGGTCATTCAGTCTAAGGACTATGGTTACATGAACGGTGTGAGCCCAGCGAATATCGTCAAAATGGCCATGCTGGACTTGGATGCCCTACAATCTGGCAAATACGGAGCAGATTATTATCCAAGTGCTGACCTAGGGACATCTCTTCAGTCCGCCGTGGATGAAGCAAACACGACGGATGGCCTCCCAAAGATAGTCTCGTGGATAGAACATAGGGACGAAGAAAGTGTTGTGCGAAGCAAGGAGATCGAGAAGGTTCTGTCTGAAGAGTTTAAGCAGATTAGTATCCCTGAAGTCCCAGTGGAGCGATGGGAAAGATTTACTCTATATGAGAAGGTCGGTGTCTCATTTGATGCTAAAGCGTGGTCTTCTGTTTGCCATATTTTCGGGCATCCATAACTGACACTTCCTCCAACAGGTGTCCACTATCGCTCAATATCGAGTAGCAAAGGACCTCGTCTGCTTGTCTAAACCTACCGATTACAACTACAACTACAAGAAGTACGAGTTCACTATCCAGCTCTATTTGCTTAAGGGCGGGTATGGTGGCAATCATTTTGCGACAAAATTGTGTTCCGGTTACAATGTTCCTTTTTACAGCTTTCTGAAGACTCTTCAAGATGAGAGCCAATTGTGTGTAATTCCACCTCTCGATGACACTCAACCTTTCACCATCCCCAAGGGCCCCAGCTTCGGGTCTTCTACAGAACTCACCGCATCGGTCTTTGGCAAAGCAGAGAAAGAGAAACGCGTGAAGCAACGACGCAGCAGTGTGAGAGGGTACACGCTCGAGGATGGGCCATGGGTGTATTTTCTCGTCAACAACGCATCACGGACCAGGTCCGACTACACTGAGATTTCCAACCAAAAAGATTATGTGGAGATGCTGGATACTCTTAAAAAGGCCCACCAGAGAAATCCGGAACACGGGGAAGTACTACACATTTGGCATGTGTGTATATATCTCAATACTAGACCCCTCTGATCTTTTGCTAACAATAACAGTCAGCGGATCTAGCGGCGTATAGCAAATGGAGAGAGTCTGCTCGCCAGGAGATACAAGATAGGAATCGCCCTTGGAGATCAGCTGAATCGGATGAGGGGAATGAAGAGGATCGAGAGGATGGAGAAGACGATGAGGGTGAGCCATACTTTCAATGGTTGATGAGGACATTGCAATAGGCCAGATATGGCGAAAGATACATACGCATTCAATGGGAAGATATCAGGAGGAGAGTTGTGTTACCTCAAAGGATTGGACTTTCCGCCTTACGAGGATGTCTTCAGCATGTTTGTATTATGCCTTCTCTCTTCCCCTACAGTAGTCATGTATCGTTGTCTGTGGAATGGAACGGAACAGCGTCGAGAGAGTTTTACGTTGACTTAGTGTATTGGCAATAACATAAGCTCTGCACTTCAAACTTCTGTTTGGCTATATTGCTGAACACGTATGTGTTAAGCCTCGAGAGAACTCCTCAAGTACATACCCTTAAGTGACACATATGAACATAAGCACACCAAGTAATGAGGAAACATCAATTATCTATCTACATTCAGACATTGGATAACTCCTTGGTCCTAAGATGGATTATCTCACCCTCCCATCTCTGCTATGCCTCTTCTGAAAGTGATATAGAGGGAAGAGATACATCCACTTGCACAGTCCCGGCGTAGCCAAACGGCTTGTGATGAGCTGATAATCATAATATAAGCTCTTGCTAGAGCTTGTTGTCCCGCTTCCGTAGAAACTCTTGTCGTTAATTCTGAATGATCCTCGATTTGACACATTCCATGGGGGAAACCGGCTTGATAAGTGCCTAGGTACCTAGGTAAGGAAGTGCACTTCTAACTTCCGTCAGGTGTCTCCAACCTTCCTTCCTCTCTCCACTGTGATATATTCACTTCAAAATATGCTCTAATCTTTACCCTCGAGAATAAACTGGCGGGACAGAGGACACAATATAAAGTCCAGAGCATCTTCAGAAGCTCCTATGACCAAACTTTCCCTCATTTTTTCGCTTTCCCCTCGTCTCCTTCCGAGTTCATACCACCTAAGACCACATAAAAAGAGATAAAACAAAAGAAGCAACGTCCAAGATGTGCTTTCCGTGTTGGCCCTGGGCTAAGGTCTATTTGGAGGAAGAGCCTGAGCAGAAGAAAGACCCGGGGGTGTTGGTTTGGGATCCCATTGCAAGAAGCATGGTGCGTGTTACAGGTGTCAAAACCGTGAGTTTTATTTTCGATTTTCCTGGGTTTGTTTTGTCTTTGTCAAACACACTAGGTTGCAAAGAAACTGCAGAAGCCTAGCCTCTTCGCGTCTCCAGCTGTTTGTTGTCATTCACTTTCCTATTTCCTTCTATATCCTCGCGCTCCCTTTTCGCGTCGAATGCTCTTCCACCTACCACCCACAACAACAATATCTGGACGTCGACTACTGGACAACCAGCTTCGATCTCGACCAGATTAAAGACTCCTATTCCTCAAACTGTCTATTCCCCATTTGTAACGACAACAACTGGAACGACGTCTCGACATGACGCAAGCCGAGCAACACTTCCAACCTCAGGTTCGGGACACCACTAATGGCCCAAACCTCCATACCTATATCCCACGCGCCGATGGTTCTGTCTTGATTGGTGGCATCATCTATGTCCCACAATCAAATGTTGCTACCGCTGCTACTACGACGGTTGGACCAATGCCTACTTTTGGAGCCCAGCCATTCATGGTTCCTCCCGGGGGTCCTGCTATCCCAACATTTAATGTACCTCTTATCCCTCAAAATTGCCCATACCTATGTTATTCTTCAAAGTACTCTTACTAGATTTACTACCCAGCAAGACTCTTTTCTTCTGCTTGTAGTACCAACTTTGGTCCGGTCACAACTAACATCTCCATCACAGGTTGCCGCACCGCCAATTTCGTACCCTCAACCCATGGCTGCCCCTTTCCAGTACCCACCTTATCAGCCTTACCCCCAATACATGATCCAGCCTCAGCCTTCTACAACTGGCCTCCCTACTTTCCACATCAGCCAGCCAGCCTACAACACCATCGGCCTCACCGGTAGCGACGTCCTCCAGCAACAGCTTGCCACAGCGCAAGGCCTTGAGATGAACACGAAGCAGGAGATGAAACCCTCCGACGATGATCCTATGCGCATGTACTGGGTCCGTGAACTTGACGGCACGTATACGCAGAGGAACCGCTTGACGATTGACATTGGTGACATTGGTGACTGTCGCTGGTATGCGCAAGATGGCGTGTTCTATGCCGTTAGATTGCCATCTTAGAGGAGGCACCTGAGGTGAGTGAGCCTTGCTCTAAATCTAATGGGGCCAGCTGAGCATTTTCTGACGACTCTGGATATTGAAGGCAAACATAAGCATAGGTACCCCATCTCGCAACCATACAAAGAAAGGTTTACAACCTCTCGATGATGTGATGAAGGGGAGGAGACTGGTCAATTGACGGATCGTTTGACAAGGGCATTACAAAAATTGCATTGCCTTTGGATTGCTCCAGAATCAATGTGAAGCAGAAGATAAACTGACTTTGGGAATTGCACTTGCAAATGGCTTTAGCAGTGGAGGGGCCCGACTTAGACGATTCAATGAAAGTGCACTCTTCCAACTCAGGACAAACTTATGCTGGCAAGTATTGTGATACCTGCTTGGATGTTTCCCTTCTCTCTTCAGTCTTCAGAAGAATACAACAGAACACTATGTGGTACCGCTGCCAGCGCGTGGGCTACAGGACATGTACGATGACTAATCAACCTGCCCCTGAACCCCTGAAGCTGCTCCACACATTCATAAATCAAAGCCAGAGACCATTTCAACAGGATTAAAATCCTCATACATTGAATGTACTAACCTCACAATACTCGAAAGTATTAAAAGAGAAAATCAGTAGTACAATAGAATGTGATCAATTGTCAGGTCATACCCAGTCTCGAGGCATACCAGCCGCGATCTTAAGTGTAGGCATCGGAATTTTGGCATTATTCATATCATACAGAGTCATCAGCGGCCACGCTGTGATACGTGCCCGCAGTATCACCTCCACCCATCGTCATCGTTAGTCTTGGATTTTCATACATCGTCGTATAGTTCACGACCTCGCCCCTCAAGGACGCTGTACCATTTTCCCGCTTCCCAAAGATCGGAGCTGGATCGCACCAGAAATCCTTACAGTTCTGGACACAACCCGCCGAAAAGGGGTTTTGGTTGCGGCGTGACCGATTCCGATTCCCCTCATACCCGTTCTTTGCGGTCTCGACGAAGGTATCAACACCGAGGATCCTCTTCCATTGTGCAAAACAACCCCCCCTATGATGGTGGTGGTGATGTCCGTGGCCGCCAGGCGCATGAGTGGGTGGCAGTGCTGGATCGGGTCCAAGGCCACTGTCTCCAAGCTGAGCTCCAGCTCGGGATGTTGTACCAGTTGTGAGGGCTGATGTGATCGATTGCGAAACTTTGCCGCCATGGCCATGACTTGCCCGCATATTCTCCCACGTTGTCATTGCCCTCGAAATCTGAACTAGCTGCACAAAGAGCAGCATAGTGACCCATGTCAGTTGCAAAGTTGACCATATCACTAGGACGAGAGTGAAAGGGTCCGCATTCACAATGCGACACAAGCCCTCTGCCAAGATATTGCATTCGTTGCTGCCTTTTTCTCCAAGCACCTCATAGTCTTCGAAAGTAAGTTGCTATTCAATTTCTGATAATGGGAACTTACATGATATGGTTAACCTCACAAGGACAATAAGCCCGGTTGCTAGAGTCACTAGGTAGAGAAAAAAGTGGCGGTGATTGTTAACACCAATACAATTGTAGACCCAAGGACAGTGACTGATGTGCCGAGTTAGCAACTGCCTTGTTCTAGGGCTATAGTTGACTTACTGATCATGCTTTGCTACACAGCGCTTACACTTCTTGCAATGCTTGCTTCTCAACGGCATGCGAACCATGCATGGCACACAAAAGTTTTGGTCGTCAAACTTCCAGAGACTCAGGAGCTCATCGATCACTGCTTTCTGCTCGGATAAGCCCCCGAGCTTTGGGACATAACCAGGTTCGTAAAACATCGTACAAAAGTAGAAGTAAGTACAGAGGCTGCAAAGTACAGAAAAGGCAATATTGGAGATAATGTGTGATGAAAAGGTCACTGCGTTTAGTTAGTAAAACCCCTTGTTGAAATTGGTACTTTTTCTGACCTGGAAGGATGTGGGTTAGGTAACGAACTTCCACGAGAAACAAGGTTCCCGCAAATATTCCTGCAAGCCAAGGCTACTAAATCAGCACAGTTTGATCATTATATAATCCTTTCAAAACTTACCGTATTGTGTAGATGTTTCATATCGGATGGAGCATACTCGATAGCTTGTTGAGCAACCCACTGAAGAGAATAACCTGCAAACAAGGCAAGAGGTACTCCAGCAAAAATAACCATATGACTGACAATCATGATCATGACCCAGATGATAAAAAGTGGCCAAAGGAAGTAGAACTTGGTCATAAAGCCCCGCTTGTCTTTTAACAGCCGCGACGCCAGTGGAATACTAGGGACTATTGGCATCCCGTCCTCATCATAGCCGCATTCTTTCAACGCCCTGTGCCATATTCTCTCTGTTCTCATTTCCTCTGCAGTTATAGCTGGGGTCTTCCCGTTGGAAGTTTCGGCAAATCGATCAGCACCATATTCGATCAATTTCTGTATGCAGCCTTGCGACCCCTTTACAAGAGCCCAATGTAGTGCCGTAAATCCTGTCTCGTCTGTAGCATGGACATCTGCGCCCCATCTCAGAAAAAGGTCCACACAGGCAGGGAAACCTTTATATGCAGCCCACATCAGACATGTATGCCCATGGCTATCTGTGATATCGACTGATACATTCTGGTGAAGTAGAAGAACAAGGAGGAAGATATTGCCTTCGAAAGTCGCGAGGTGAAGGATATTGTAGCCTTGGACATCCGTCAAGAGCAAATCGGCGCCATGTTGGATCAGAAGGTTAACGGTATAGTAATGGCATCTCTGCGCAGCCCACATTATAGGAGTAGCAACCGACTCTCCTCCCTTTTTGTTCACATCGGCCCCTGCTCTCAGAAGAAAGTCGCACATCGCATATTGGTTGTTGATAGCGGCCCACTACAGGAAGAGTTAATAGACTGGTCCAGATAGGCAACACTGGGACAAATACATGTAATGGGGTTATCCCTTCTTCGTCGCAATACTGAGCATCGAATTTTCCAAGAGCATACAGCCTCTCTATGCCAGCGATGTCGCCCACACGAGCAAGCTGCATGATATCCTCCTCTGGCGGTGGCCCGGATGGAGGTATTTCTGCCAATTCGACATGGTCATCATCGCTCAGCTTTGGCGCTGCAGCCGTCGTCTTTCCATTCGGGATCATTGTACGAGTCGGATTCGAATTGGACTTCGGGTCCACGCGAGACATGTCAGCGGCGCTGGGGGTTTCCTCGATCGCGCTGTTGAAGATCGAACGATTGCAAGAACTGTTCTAGGAATACATGTCGAAGTGAACGATGAGATAAAAGACGCGCGTTGGAAGCTGAACAGATCAGTAGGGGGGTGGAAATTGGTTTTCAGCTAGGTATTGGCCTGATTATGAATTTATGGGGGTACGATTGACGATTGACGAGGCTGAGCCTACTTTTCGCTACGGCATCGTTGCAGGGGTCATCAGGGATGATAGCCACATGAAATAAAGTCTGGTCCCAACCCTGCTTCAACTTGCCAAGACTCGCTCTCGCGCCCATTGTGATGGAGAATCAGACAGTTGCGTCCAGCGTACAAGACTGGGTGCAAGCTGTCATTAGCCCATCATCTCCTCTGGGCCTCATTCTCGCCGTCCTCCTCGTCCTGACAATCCCTATCGCTCTTCACAGATCTGTCTTCAAAGCGAGTGGTCTGACTGTATTACCCTCCATTCTTCTCCTCGGCCCAAGTGGTTCTGGGAAGACAGCACTTCTTACTCTGGTGAGTTGCAGCGTGGGCTTGGTCTTGCTGAATCTAACATGATCACAGTTTGAGCGTGGAACGAACGCCGCAACTCACACGTCCCAGTCCCCAATCGCCGTTGAATGCTCACTACCAGTTGGGACTACAGCTGCGTCCGACAAATACCGCTCCACCTATGATCCTACGAATCAGACGCACAAGAAGTTCCTTTTGATTGATACCCCAGGGCATGGCAAACTACGGCACCATGCGCTACAGAACATCACGAATCCAAAGAACCTTAAGGGTATCATATTCCTAGTGGATGCCGCAACCATGTCAGCGGGGAATGGGGGGTTGAGACAGACGGCAGACTATCTCCATGATGTATTACTTGTCTTGCAGAAGAGAATGACTGGAGGGAAGGCTATGAAGGCGCTGAAGGAAGTATCAGTTTTGATAGCGGCAAACAAGATGGACCTCTTCACAGCACTGCCAGCAGCGCTGGTCAAGAAAAGTCTCGAGTCAGAAATCACTAAAGTTAGGGCTTCGAGATCTAAGGGTTTACTGGATTCGGGTATCGGGATGGGCGAGGATGTGGACGACGACAAGGACGATTGGCTAGGAGAGACGGGGTCCAGTGAGTTCAAGTTTTCTCAGATGGAAGAGTTCGATATTACCGTTGAGGTTGCAGGGGGTAATGTTACGGGAGGCGATGGACCAGGTGTTGACAAGTGGTGGAAATGGGTTTCAGAGAGGCTGTAGCAAGTCCATGAAAACAAGAGGCATGTCCCAAAACCTTGATCACAAGTCTATACATCGATTACAAGTGCTATCTCACACGTAGAACTGTAAGTATCGGAACATGCGATTTCAAACACTCTGGTCTTCTCGATCACTGACTAGGTAGGTAAAAGGGGCCTCGGATTCAACCGGTCTAGGCACTTTTTCAAATATCTCCAGTTACTGAAATAAAATCGGTAGCTACTATTCATCTACTCATATCCACTACATGTCTCTTATGTCTGTTAGCTGCAACATATTTCATTTCAACATTTTGGGATTGGGCTTGAAGTATTCATTTGCCCCCCCCCCCCCCCCCCCCCCCCCCCC